GCAATTTCAGTGCTTGAAATTAAATGTCGAATCCTAACTAACCTATAAATGCCTAAATACTTACTATTCTTAATCTAGGAATATAATACATGCGCTTTAGCAAAATAGAAAATATAATTTTTATTTGTCTATGTACATATTTTGATCAATTGAATTACCTGAGTTATTCATAAGTCAATCTGTATTTATAAGTTTATTTTTTTCAGTACATACTATATTGACAAAGTAATGAAGTAGAGACAAAATTTTGAACAAATATATAAAATCTTTTGAAATACTTAACGATTTAATACGAACACTATGAACAATTCAAGTACTACAAAGCCAGCCGGTAGTATCTGATACATTATAATAGCTGGCTGGTTATTCGAACAAGTATTTATATAAGGAATACAAATAATAAAAAAAACAAACATTAAAAATCCCCTTCTAACACACCCCATAAAAGAATATTTTAGTGATTTCGATTTCACACTGTACGTTTAACGTGCAAGAGTTTCATTTAACTTGCTGGAATAGCTATCTCTTTTTGATTACCTATTTATTTCTACGTTGAAACAGCAAAGCGTACATTGTTGCATTTCACCCTGAAAAGCTAGTACGGGTATATGATATAGCCAGTGTAATTCTAAAAGAATACCATAAGCGACACGTATATTTAGTGTTGCTGAGGTGTTATTATTAGTATCGTCTCTTTATAGTTATTCGTTAGTATATGCGAAATGAAAGCATAAAGAGTGTTAAGTTTACCACAATGGTAAGTTGTTTTTATTGCATGCTAATGGAATTTAACTAACATAATACGCTGGCAGGTCACCACTGAGGGATGATAGATGAGTATGAAATAGCAGGTCAGTTAGCTCACCATGATGAATACATCTGGAATTCAGCACGATGGTTTTCAGGGGGAACCACGTGGAGGTCGACCTGACAAGGTATATTGCTAGCAATGGGACTAGTAGTCCGCATTACTAATATTCCCTTCCCCCCAACGGTAACAGTTGTACAAGTGCACTCTATGATAACATATCCTATAAAGAATGATGACACAGTGGCCCCAACTACTTGACTTTATCCTCCCCTATCATTATTTAATCAGCGTAATCCTATAGAGTAAGCGGGGCTATCATTCCTTGCAATGCCTTACATCCATCATTAAAATCATAAAAAATAAACAAAAATATTTTTTAACCACTATTTTCTATATATTAAAAATCATGTTTGATTACAAAGAACTTTTGAATCATTCAATACGTCGTTCTAATGTAAAAACGATAATGACAAAATATGAAAAACGGTGCGATACTTTAATGGTTCCCCCGGTGTGTCAATCACGCGAGGGGGACGCCGGCAGTGACCTTGCACGGTGCCAGTAACGCTTCACGATACCATCTACTTACACTAAAACTACAAACGAGGATTTTTTAATTCGTAGCTTATAGAATTATAAACATCGAACGAAAATTAAAAAATAAATTTAATGGAGTATAATAAGTACGGTCATCATAAATTATTTAGATGCTAGGTACCTATTTACTTTATCCTGTAATTAAATAAGGTCATAAACGTATCAAATTGTGATCTTACTGACTACAGAGATATAAAACGTAGGCAACCTACGTCAGATGTTATCTAATATTTAAAGATTGAAAAAATCTCAACTGATAGTTGGATAACGACAGTACTTGACGTACCTAATTAGAAACACACGTACGAGTTTCAAATCCTATCGGAGAGTTATTTTTTTTTTTTCATAAACGAATATTTAACATTCCTCCAAACTATATAGGCATTTTCAGTTCAAATAGCTGAAAATAGGTTTTTATTTTATTTTACGCTTTTTACTGGTTGTACAAAGTCTCCCTCTGGTAATAATAAAGTACCTATTATAACTGATAACATAAAGAAATATTTTATTCAAAGTAGTAATTTAGATTTATCTTATAGGAAATTTTCCTCATCTTATATGTTAAATTGAATTTATTATTAATTTCTTTATAAACAAAATCGCTTCGGTAGATAGGTACCTATCTCTCAAATCTGTGGTAGGTACTCGAGTTGCCTATTACTTTTTCGATTTAAATTTAAAATACAACCTTTTTTTATTCTTATGCAATAAATTTACGTTTTGGCGCGCAAATAGTTACTACCATAGTAATAAGTAAGAGTAGCTACTTTCATTATACTGCGAATCTAAATAAATAGACATTTCTTTTACAGGAATACAAACAAAAAAACAGGTTTAATAATAGATCTTTAAACAAAATTTAGCTATGGTATTACTTTTTCCCCTATTTTAAAAAAGTAGCTACTTTCCAAGCTGGTGTGGCATAAAATAATTATACGATTGCGTATATTAGGGATAATAAATAATTGTGAAATTCGTGAAGCGTGCAGTTCTAGCAACCTTCGTGAATATGCATAAGAAATGAGGCTGTTAAGCTGATTCCGGTCGGTCAAGGTCTTGCGTTACATTTCCATAAACTGCGGTGATTCGTTGTAATTAAGTACCTACAGGTGATATAATTAATGAAAATATTTGAAAAAAGAAAATATATTATAACATAAAAACATTTCCATTTAAAGTTTATATTAATTATGACTATTCACAGTATTAAATTCTTATTTGATTTTAAATAGTTGGTTGTCAGTATACATTTATTTTATTTATTTAAGCTTTAATGCACAGTACATCTGGCGGACTTAACACTGTGTCTTTTAGCTGTCAACCATTGAGCAAACAGAGAAATAGGCGATGCGTTGAATTGAAGAAACATATACTACTAATACTTAACATATTTATACATGGTAAACATATAATTACAGTAATATAAATGTACACAAAAATACTTAATTGATTTGTAAAGATAGTACAGAAATATTCTATGTATTTATTTGTGTGTATTTAGACTCGTAAATACACGCAAATAAATATATAGAATATTTTTGTATCAAACAATTAACTGTATGAGGAGAGTAAAAAAAACAGTAAACAAAGTATAATAATCTTTTATAATAAAGTAGCTGTTGTTTTCGAGTTTGCCCAAATAAATTATAATAAAAAATATACTCTGTGTTAAGTCAGTGCATGGTTAATTTTTCTATCAAATTTTATTAAAATCTTGTAATATTACTGATTAAAATTTATTTAGTGTGTATGATCAAATAATATCAATTTTATTCCCTAAGGGACTTTATTGTGCACCTATATAAAATATATTTGAATTTATTGCAAAGAAAAATTGTTTATGGGACTAGCAGTGAAAAATTATAATTACCGTAAAACTTGGTACCTAGGTATGTACACACCCAGCGCATATTATTTATGGAATGTATAAATAAGTATACATATTAAAAGTAAACTAAACAATAAACGAAGGCTGCTAAAGTCACGAGCCATCCTGTAAATTGAGTGAATATTATCGTGAAACACAGTGGGTATACCTATATATTTACCTAAAATATTTCCATATTATCTTTACTCATAACCTTATTTCTCATCATTTGTTAGAATAGTGATAGTTACATTTATTAATATAATGTCAAATCAGATTTTAATTTCACTATAATTCACAATAAAATATAATTAACTGTAATACAGCTACTAAAAGTAAATAATCTGCTTGTCTGGAGAAACAGACTGACTGATCTACAGACCAAATCCCACAGGATCATGGTTATCGATTGTGAACGGTAGTTCTTTGAATATAAATGTTAGTGGTATTAGTAGGTATTTAGGTATAGTCTTTCCTAATAGAACCCAACAAAAATATAAATAAACGATAATTGGTCTGACCATAATACTGATATCCAACAATAGGATAAATAAAAAATTAATTAATTAATTCAATATTTCGATTGTTTACTACTTAATAACATTTAGAAAATACTTATATGATAATTTTAACAAAACTTGATTATCTTTTCAATAAGTTCTTTTAAATGAGACTATATTTTAAAATGGAGAGAATTTATTTATTTATCATAAATTAAAAAACTTTTAATTTATATAATAATCGTCATGTTCCTATAATTCAGATAAATATTAATTTGGGGTTCTCACACTTACAATTATTTTTAGGTTTGAGCATTCTAGCAAATATTGAAGGAGAATTGACAAAACATATCTTAATAGATATCTGCGAAAGAACTAATGAAAGAAAAGTCATGAGAAGGTCGACTTTTCATCACGATGCGGTGGAATAAGTATGCCGCCGTTCCACCACCGGTTCGACCTTGCCGGAAGTGTCTGCTGAATGAATAATGGAGACACGCTATTAGCTTCCATTCAACCAAATTCCCTACAATTACACCTTTGTATGACGCACTGACGATAGAACACATCATTGAAAGAACCTCTTTCTTTAATAAAAGTAAAATTTTACGATGCATATTTATTTTGCCTAGGTAACGTGACTCGTGTTCAACAATGCTTTTACCGCTTATTTTTATGCCTGTCACGAAATAATGCAAAATCAACATGAGCGGCTTTTAAAATTTACTATTATTATACAGTTTTCTGCGGGAATTAGCTATACGCTCTACTCCGGGTTGCCATCGCTCATCGTATGGCCAAAAAATTTTTTTCTTTTTATTATAAAATAAATTTTCCGGGAATTCGTAAAATTAATACGCAATATGCGTTATGAATCCTTTTTTTAATTTAAGAGTTTTCTCATTTCGGGGCAATTAATACATAACTTCTATGATTTGAAAGCGACAGTAAAAGGAATCCCACATACGAGTACTTACAGGTTAAAGACAACACCCTTGACCGGTTTTTAATATTTAAAATACTTACTATACGACTATTTTAATCCTGCAAACAAATATATCTATTCATATTCTGTAGGTACCCCCATCATTAAAACTCAGCCACCAATGCTGATCTTCATCTATTGAACATTTTCAAATCGTTTACTTGAACAGTTTCTTCACTAAAGAACCTTTTATACCTAAATAATTAAATATTAAAAAAGTAGAAACTGATAATTAATTACCTCGTGAGACTTATGTTCGCTCTCAGCAATGCTCGTGAAGAGATGGTTCAATGCACGCGACATTAGCCCGGTCATGGTATGAGTCTTTCCGGCCCCAGTCGCTCCATAAGCGAACACAGCCCCGGCAAACCCCCGCAAAGTATCGCCCACCAGTGGGGCACAAACTGTGTCGTAAACATCTTCCTGAAAAGACAGGCTTCCGATTAAGTGTACAGTAGGTAAATCTATTTCTAATTCAGAGAGTGTTTCTGTGATAATTTCCGCAAAAGTTAGTTGCCTTTTTAAGTTATATTGGAACAAACCATAGTTAACATTAATCTAATTCATACTGTTATAATAGTCTGCTGGCTGTATCTTATGTAATATATCATATACGTAATTTTTAAATTGGGCTAATTGTCCCAATTGACTGCAAAATTATATATTTTTTAACCCATTTAGCTATTTCCACTAGATAACAACAGATACCAATTCCAAAAATGACTGATTTATATTTCATTATTTATTTCTAGTCTAATTTTTGTAATAAAAAGTGCTAATTTTTATAATTGATATCTAATAGCCTAAATTAAATTTCTTGGAGTGTTTCATGAGTGTCGATTTAATGTAATACGTCAGACATATTCGCAGGCATAACTATGTGGTTATAAATATGTATGTAACGCAAAGGTTCACTGCCATATGGATTGATTACTGATATATGTATAGTCAAGTATATAATGTTGACTCTATATGACTCTATGTAACCTTGATCTCAATCTAGAAATCTTTAGATACTAATAGTACAAATGTGAAATTTGTTTGTTACCTCATAGTACTTTTATGATTGATTAACCCTTTAAGAGTCAATTAATCGTAATTGACTCATAATTAAATTATTGGGAATGGAGAAGGAGACTACTTTTTATCAATCAATACTTTATAGTATTCAAACAATTCAGTCACGCGGACGAACTCGCGGATTGAAATTTGTCACAAATAAGTAGGTGTTTAAACGATATCTTCACGTAAATTTGTGAACTTGCCTTAATTAAAGAGATGAATGTATTATAATTTACTTTTTAGACTTTTAGGACGATAGCGACACCGTCATACAAGTAAAGGTATGAATATGACGTCAGTAAATATGACGTACTTGCGTGCTGTCCTCGCCAAAAACTCGATCATATACGTAATGTTTATCGTTGAGTCGACGCTGTCGCAGAACGTCACGTCGACTGTCTGCCTCCTCTTCTAAAACCAGCATCTGTAGGCAAGACAATATTTTTTTAGTCAATGTAGTAAAACCTTCTGTTACTTTAGTTTGTGCTTCTTATTCATCTAAAGTTAGCAAATATTTCTTTAACAAAGATCAAATTTTGTTTCATCGAATAAAAACAACACCAAACTTGTATATATGTATATGTATACTTGTAGGTAGTTTAGGAGATCGTAAAACTAATCGCATATTTTTAATCTGGTGAACCAGCTTATGGACTGGGGGAAAGGGATTGTTAGTAATGGGGTCTAATGAACTCATTGCTAGCAATATACCCTATCAGGTCGACCTCCACGCGATTCCCCCTGAAAGCTATCGTAGTTAATTTTTGTGAAAATCTTCACGACGGGCTAAGTGACCTGCTTTCATCGTCACCTATCATCCCTCACTGGTGTCCCGCCAGCGTATACCGATAGCGCAGTCGGAATTATCATTCCATTATCACCCATTAAAAAAAATTACACAGTAGTGGTAGGTAATTACAATATACAGAGACCATTTACGATGTCTTGTTATCGTAGTAATATATAATTTTCTTGATTATTCGACAGTTTCTTATCTTAATAACAATGTCATCTTTGTAAATCGAGAGAAGATGATATTTGTGGCTATCTACTTATAAGTATAACCAATGGTTAGCGAATTGATTGTTATTAAATCTCAAAATAAATTGAAAATAATTAAATAAATAAATCAAAAACTGAAACACTTGGCCCAAAAAATATTTAAGATCTAATGATATTAAAATTAAACCGATCATTTTTGAATGTTTATAGAATGTTGTGAATGACAAACAAGCTCATCAAGTACTCTTTTGATTATATTTTTCATGAATGTAAGTTCCTTGGGACAAAGCATGAAGTCTAAACGGTTTGATAAATTAGGCCTACGCCTTTCTAGCAATGACATGATAATATTATATTAGCCTTAACAATCCATTGCTGAACATAGGCTTCCCTATTTGGGGGTTTTGCCAGTAATTGCCATGCTTGGCAGGTGGTTTGACAACCGCAGTTAGCCGGGGGGAAAGGGATTGGATTGACAATCACAGCAATATACCCAACCAGGTCGTTCGCGGTTCTGAAACTATCATGGCTGAATTAATGATGGGACGTTTTCATTCTCATCGCTGGTGCTCCGCCAGCCGTTAGCGCAGGCGGGGTTACCATTCCATTTTCACCCATAAGGAAAAAAACCGCAGTTAGCCTTTGCAGATGTTTTAAGAGAGACGCTGCTGCCCAATCCTCGACCCTTAAGTTCCCTTAGTTGCCTCTTACAACACCTACGGTAAAAGGAGTGGCCACACAGATAAAGCAATGACACAATTAGGTTGAAAATAGTAATTAACAGCTGTAGTTATAGATAGAACTATGGATATCACAGAATAATGTGATATATTCGTCATATTCGTTATATATAATCATCCTCCACGCTTGGGCACAAAAAAGTGTAGATAAATAATATATTAGTTATATTATTATAATAATATCAGTTGCAAATCTGCCTCCAGTGTCACCTTATCGCTGACCACGTGCACGATGCGAGGACCTTCATCGTTGCGCAGCGGTCGCACACGCACCGCCACCTACAAGAAAAACCGTAATTAAAACAGATAACAACATATGCTGCTGTATTTTTAACCTACTTTTCAAGAAGGAGGTTCTAAATCCAACATATTGTTTTACGTTGAAATAAGTACCTAACCTGTTATATTATCAATTATAAAAAAATTCATTCAAATGTATATATTATCCAAATATATTGTTTTCACCAATGTAGACACATTTCGATGAATCTATTTTCAAACAAAAGAAATTAGAAACTCTGTATTCCCTGGTCTAGTAAATAATAGAGTCAGTTGTTGGGTCCAAATTTGGTTGATTGGTTGGTTTATCTAATGTTTGTAATTATTGGTGACACCAAAAAAAAACATTTAAATTTTTATTTAAATTAGTCACACAGATTTCCACGTGAATGATACCTATCGCTAATGATAATATTTACAATAAATATAAGGTCATATCAGGTCGTCAATAGTCCGATATCTTTAACTTATTTATGTATGTAATAATAGAAACTTTTAAATCTAATTCTTCATCTCAATGACAAAAAAATTAAATAAATAGCTGCGTGTTCCTTTATTTCGTTTAACTAAAGAAAATCATCACACCTCATTGGACGAGCTAATACATAATACCTATATTATAATGAATTTATAACAAAGTACATGTAATTTAACAGTTTTTAATTTTGTATATATAATATTAACGTCTATACAAAGATTTTATATTTATCTGTGCCTATACCTATGCATATATTTTAATGGTTACACTCATATCCGTAGCATGTTTGGTGCAGTGCAGTGATTCCATGTATGTATGTACTTTTAGACTTTACCTATTGTATTTTAATTATTACCTAATAACTGCTTACTAAAATTAAATTAGTAAAGCTTTTAACCAACTTAAATCGAATCAATCCGACTATATGTTCATATAATGATTACTTTTAATTTGATAAATAATAACAAGTTTAATTTCTGGGTGGCCCATAATAAGTTCTTAAAGTCTTATTGAAGTTCTATCTAAAATATTACTTTATATTAAAACGGCATGTTTACCCATCTGATGGAAATATTCTTAATGTAGCATATAAATATTAATCGTGTAGATAGATATTACAGAACCGCCCGCGGTTTACCTAATAAATTGCCACTGGGGGAAAAGGGATTGTTAGCAATGGAATTTGACAGCCCCATTGCTAGCAATATCCTATTAGGTCGACCTCCACGTGGTTTCCCCTGGAAACCATCGTGAACAATTCTTGTTGAATTCGTCACGATGAGCTAACTGACCTGCTTCATCCTCACCTATTATCCTTTACTAGTGCCCCGCCGGTATATACTGATAGCGCGGTGGGGTTACCACTCCATTATCACCCATTAAAAAAATACATTGCCACTACTTAGAACGTAAGTATTACATTGAGACCAGAGATAAAATAACTTTATCGGAATGCACAATACAGTATATTGCTCGCCAAAAGCCTGTTTGTATGCCAAAACTTAATGTCCCCAATACCTTACCTATTATATTCAGAATACACGTTAGTGATACTGGAAAACAACAATGTTCTAACATAAAATTACGCCTGCATCAAAATATATAGAAATTTTATTTATAAGAAGTTATGCGATACTAAACCGAAAACGATGGATAGTTTTTTTAATATTTTCTCTTTTTAGATTGCACATAAAAATAACTGGACTTGATTAAATTTTTTAAATTATTTAGTAGAAGTTTATTATAAGTAATAAAAGTAATATGCTATCTACAGCTGTATGCTAACTATACCTACCTATTGACTATAGGTAAATACAAAGTATATTTATGCATCCATCATTCATTGCAGCCGTGCACAATGTTCTATTTCTATACCTGTGAGATATTTTTGCGCTAAAACAGTTCCGAGTTAACATGTTACAAAGTCGTTACTACCTGACCAACGGTCAAGGCCTCGATACAATTTCCTATATATCCAAGGAAAAGTTAGGGAGGTAGATACCTTATAATATATTGTTAGCGTGACCGTAATAGGTATCAAAGATAATTTGTAAAATTACAAAAACTGCTTGGACTTCCTTAGGCACAGAGAAGAAAAAATAAGTATCTACTTACCTATCCATAATTATTTTTTCTTTTTAGTAGTTTTTACATGCGACATAAAATGGCAAACAAAACGGAATACCTATTTAGTATTAAGTGGTAACAGTCGCCTATAATCGTAATCAACATTTTGTAACCCCAAAATAAATACACTAAGTCGCTCAAAACAATACTTAAAACAATTATGATTATACTCGTAACTACTTACAAAATTCACGACATAAATGACTTACACATATTCTTTTACCCTTAAAATCTTCTCAGGAAGAAAGAAATTGTTATTGAGTAATGGGTTACGTTAAAGTTTGCAACTATATACCTAATACTGAAACAACTAATTGGTTTACTGTTTTAATAGTTACATATCCAGTAGTATATTTATAAGTATATATATTTCGCATTAGTTTACATTACTTTACCTAGTATATTTATATTTTGCAAACTTAACGAAGATAGTCCGAGATCGTAATCACTTATCATCATCTATCTCAACCGTATTCGTTACGTCAATCTTATCATAGTAGCGATAACTTGATTCTAATGGTGGAAATATTAACAGACTATTAGATAGGTAGGTACCTAATTTACTCAGTAGTTCTGTTTTGTAATACCATTAGGACACAAACCAACCGTGTACTATTTTCTCCCACTATTCAATAAAGTACCTACCATCAACTTCTCTTCAGTAACGGTGCGTATACCACCATGGTGTTTATCCGGAGTTGTTAGATTGCTCTGAGTCATTGCATCGCTCCTCTAAATGTAGATATTTAACAGAACCACTGACCTATCCTTCGCGCACATTCAAACTGTTTTAACGTTATTAACCCTTAAAAAATATACCTGTTAATAAAGTTCAGAAAAAAAAACAAACTTTTACAAGGTGTAATCAATCATACAGAATTATTGGCTCCCGTAACAATTAAGGTTGAAACAATAAATGAAGAGCAATTCATTAATTCATTTGACACGATAATAAGAGAGGCGCAATTGGGGCGGTTTCCGCCTTTGCAACTTCACGTGGACTGAACGCTAGTCAAAATACAACCTTCGCTTTGGACGGTCGCTGTGGCAACAAGTAATAACCACAAACAAAGTTCATACAGCTCCTGCTCACAAAATATAATATTACCCCTGTATGGTATAGGTCTATCTATACTAATATTCTCTGTGACCTTTTCAGTACCGCAACAGTTTTCATTCCTTTAGACGTTCACTCTTTCCGCTTGATGTATCATAACGACCTCATACAAAGTTACATTCTTTGGCGTATTTAATGTTAGTTTGTAGAGTTGGGCTGATCTCTTAAAAAAGGATAGACTTAGTATAACGTACTACGCACTGTCCAACATGTCTTTCCGAAGCTTCGCTTGCATCCTGGGGTGGGCACGGCTCGGCGGGCCTCACTGTAAATATGCCTATGGTTTATTTCTCATTGTATGCAATCTTATGGACTATAAATATAATTTTATATAAGTACTACCTGACCCCAAAAACGCCATTTTGTTCCATGCTACTTGTAGTCTGCTTTTCATTTGGATAAAACTTATATATCCTAAGTACAAACACATTTAAAAAAAATATTAAAATAATATGTCGATCTGTTTCGAAGATTTGCATAATAGAATCCGGAGTTTTTATATATCTATTAAAATTTATGATAACCTTTTTGGGAATTTATCAATATAGAATAAATTTCAGGATTAAAATAATGTAACTTATTCTCATTATTACCTTAGTTCTCAAGAATAGCAACAAATGAAGGGTATCATACAGTATGATACAGTATCCTCTGTTATGTCCATGGTACTTACTATTCATGTCTGTGGGTATTGGTTACCATTTTCCAGTAGGTGGACCATCATAAAAAAAGTATAATAATTTCCAGTAGTATAGTATAGATAGGTAAATATAAAATAATTAAACAATATTGTTGATAATTTATATATTAATTTTAAAATGCTATATACAAAAAATTTAAGCATTTTGTATATTGTATGTATGTTCATTATTTCTATAATTGGAAAAGTAACATAAATTTTTTTCTTGTATTAAACAGTGTTTAAATCCAGAAATTGAAATAAAATAAATAACATTTAATTAAAATATAATCCTGTTATTACATGAGATCTATAAAATCAAAGACAGCTAAATCCGAGTATATCAAATGTTCAGGAAACTACAAAAACTATTTCGTCAAGAATATGGAATGATATTCTATATTTTAAACCAGATTAAAAAAATTAGAATATTAGTAATGATTTGAATTTTAATTATAGAACTCCCTCTATATTTGAGTTTAGAGTCAAAATGAAATCTATGGTGTTTAGCTACTTTTGATTTTACAGTCTTAAAATAATATCTACATTGAAATAAAAATGTACAATATTTGTATAAATTTATACAGTACCAGGAGCAAATAATCTAACACCTCTATCAAATAATTTAAATAAATAATGAGATGGTTTATAATCCATTATATACATGTGTTCAATGTCAAATTTTTGCCCAATATTTTTTATGGTAAGATGGCCTGTAACATCAGCACTCCAACCAGAAGATAAACTTTCTACTTCCAATAGAATGTGTGCTCTGTGAGACATAAGATTTGACATTACACATGTAAGATCATCATCACTGGCAACATTACAATGAAACAATATAAATGAACTATATTTTCTAGCAAGCTTTACAAATTCATTACAAATTTCATTTACTGATTTTAAATTAAATTCTAAGTCAAAAAGATGAGTCACTCCATCCCAAATTATATCAACTTTATCATATTTCTCCCTAATTATAGATACTTTTTTATTCAAGTTAAAAATTAGTTGTTGCACAGACTTATTTTCATTCTTCAACAAATTATTAACACAGTCTTCACCTAAATCGTAGAATGTCACCAGACCTGACTCTACATGCTTCTGCAAATTGTAATTCATTTTAATGCCCACATTCTGATAGTGTGACATTGAATTATGTGTTGAAACCAGTATAACAGCATTTCTGTTCTTGATACAGTGACCTAGCACACAGCTTGTGATGAAAGAACTGTCACACTTGTTTAGCTCCTTTACTACAATAACTTTTCCTAATGACTGCTTCTCTAGGTGTAGTACGGCTATAATATCTGATGCCATGCTGAAATGAAATACTTATTTACAATGACAGATCTAATAAGTAGATAATTAAGTATGCGATTATTAATTTAAACGAAGTCATCGATAAGCGTCATGCAATTTATAAATGTTCATCTTACGTTTACATTTGTCGTTTCAGTCTTCAGTCGCATCAATGGGAGATAAAATCACTCTCGCCACGATCGCGCCAGCCAGCAGTGTGTGTTGACGTTAACGAGCGTCTGTCTAAAATAAATATAAAACATTACTTTCAATTTGGAACTTATTAAATAATTTAAGTAGATTTATTTAGAGACATTTGAAGTTTTAAAAATTGTTGCTGTAATATTGACATATACATTTAGAAACAGGTAAGAAATATTTAATTTTTAATAGAAACAATTATAATAATAATAAAAACTTTTAAATAACATTACAAACAATTATAATGTCAACAATGTAAACAACTTAAAATTTTAATTTTATAATTTTAAGTTTACCTATAAAGAAAAAAAGAATAAAAATTGGACAATTAAAGAATTGAAGGTTACTATTTCAATGTTGCCCGATAATGTAATTTGGCTAAATTTGCTTTCTTATATAAAAAATCAAATAATATTTCATTTTTAAAATAAAAATTATTCGTACGTATAAATATATATAAATTATTCATAAATTTACCAATATGTGATGCGAATAATATACTAATTTTCATATAATTTGTTATTTAAAAGTGCTCTGATAATGAAGACCTTAACTATAGAATAAATTGTACTTAAACCTCAAACTAAAAGTTTTGTACCTACTTCATATTTTGCTGAATTATGTTAAACACTACTACTGTAATTTAGTTTGTTTTTTTATTATTTAAAAATCCATTTGTAACGTCATTAAAAATATTGCTACACTTTAGTAAGAAAGATATTAAACGTGGAGTTAGATATGCCTAATTAATTAATTATTTAATTAGAATATACCCCGCTTATTGTTACTATCTCTTAGATGATAATAATTATTGTTACTATTTTAACATTCAATTAACCGCAATATGCTGGCCTCTTATTATTACTATATATATTATGATTATTATTACTCTAGTACGTAAAGTGTGGCTACATAAATGCTTTACCAAAAACTTTTTTATTTCTGTATGCTCTTTTTCCAATAAACAAAGCTTTTATCGATAAATAACTTTAGATTTTTGAGGAAGAAGTTATTCATAACAGCAATTTTAATTTTTATATCACGCTGCAAAATCTTTGAGTTTATTACTTGAAAATATATTAAAAATTAAAGGCTGGCAGCTACAGTCGACATCAAATATCGTACAATTTCAAACATTTTTTTTTTTTTGTTATTGCTGTTATAGGGAATTAACAGAGAGCTACATTCAGCATATTTCGATACCTATGATTTCGAATATATTAGGTTGATATAACTTACTATATGCTACAAGTAAATGAAACAGGTATTTTGGAGAAACATATTTATAATTTGGGGAGAAATCGACAATCATATCGGGCAGCCCTGCTATAGTAAGCGAGCAACTGTTAGGCATAGATTAAGAACAGTAACCTAGAAGTATTCGTTATCCGTCCAATGGTAATTAAATACCTATCTGTCAAAAGTTCAAAACATTACCTACTTTTTATATAGGTGCCTATTCAAATTAAATTAATACTGTATTTTATTAATTTGGTTGTAGTCGATGTAGGTAATTATTGTATGTCATGATATATTTGTGTTTTTATACTTTATAATAAGTTGATATTTATTTATTCAATAGGTTACCAAAAAGGTTAAATCAATAGGTCTCAATACATTTTAATATTTTTATATTCCTATTAGATGTGTATAATTGTGTATAAATACGATTTATATTTAAATTTTTAATTTTAATTACTATTGTAACAAGATACTACTCTAGTAGTTATAATAATTTTACTTATTTTATCAATAATTTTTTTTTATTTATTATATTTACAGAAGTCACTGTATAATGTCGAAACCAAAAGAAGTAAGGATATCCGAGTGGTATTTTGGTGGGCTAGCTTCAGCTGGAGCCGCATGTATAACTCATCCGTTAGATTTACTCAAAGTTCAAATGCAAACACAGAAAGGCAAAAATATTTCAATGTTTAAACTGACTGGTGTTGTTATAAAAAATCAAGGTGAGAAATTATAAGTTAAAGTATACTTAACAAATTCCATAAATCCGGAACTAATATTCCTTGTAAATAATTATTACAGTTTATGGACTAATGGATTTTACAATTGAGAAGAAATAAATGATTGTATGATGTAGTATTTTGTATATCATTTTATAATGAATATTGTTTATAGATTTATGGTTTATACCAAAGTGGTTTTTATTTTATGCCAAATGAAAAAAAATACTATAAGATTCTGCAAATATTTGAATCATGCAAAATTTAAAATATAGCCCTACAAATACCTAGATTATTATTATTCCAACTGATTATATGCCTAGTTAAAAGTATTTTGAAACAAATACATGTTATGTATTAATTGCTTAAATTAATGAAATTAGTAAATGAATGAGTCTAATATGTATTTTATTTCAGGCACTGAGTTTCATTATTTTTCTTGCAGGTATATTGGGACTATATAATGGTATATCAGCATCTTTATTACGACAACTCACGTATTCAACTGCCAGATTTGGTATTTATGAAATGGCTAAACAACACTTTGCACCGAAAGATGTAAGTCTGTGTTTTAATTATTGTTATTTTTAAGTATTCCAATTTTTATCAATTTCTGATATCTCTATCTGTACTGAATATTATAAAAGATCTATAAAAACTTCTTCTTAATTAACTAAAAAAACATTGAATGAGTAAATTATTTCAGGGAAGTGCTATACCATTTTATATGTCTGCATTCTTAGCAGGCTTAGGTGGTTTTGCTGGAGGATTTGTAGGAAACCCAGCAGATTTAGTCAATGTGCGAATGCAAAATGATGTTAAATTGCCACCTGAACATAGAAGGAAGTAAGTATTTAATCTACATAAATACAAATTAAACACTGTTTATAGGTGAGCTTGTAGCTTATTAATTACTAGAAAGTGGCTGGAGTGATTTAAGTTTTATTAAATTTTCATAGTTCCTATAAAGCTGGCATAGTCACTCCATTGTACTAAAGCCTCAACAAAAATTTGAATTAAATTTTTTTTGATTTGAAAAAGCTAGTAATATAAATTTAAATAATACTTGCTAAGTAATTTAAGAATACATGAGGCTATTCTGTGCTATAGTTTTAATTGCAATCGAAGGTCGTATATGTAATTTAAATATTATACAACTTTGTATATATAGGTAATGTTAATATATATAATTATTTATCATTATTCAGCTACAAAAATGCTCTACATGGTCTCTGGCGAGTGGCGGCCAGTGAAGGTGTGTTTCGCCTCTGGGCTGGCGCCACAATGACTTGCAGTCGAGCTGTTCTTATGACTATTGGTCAACTCTCCTTCTATGATCAGATCAAAGCTATACTTCTCACCACACCTTATTTTGAAGATAATGTAGTTACACATGTTTCCTCAAGTTTACTAGCCGTAAGTATACAAGTAACTATATAATACTCCAATCACTTAATAAAATTACTATAAATATTTCTCTAAAATGTCACAGTAGGCTTCATAGCTCATGAAGATCTTATCCACAAAATTTTGCAACAACTAACTGCTTTGGGAGGTTTTGATCACTCCTACACTCTTAACACTCTTTTATATACTAAAAAAGCAAGGGTAGTAAAATCCCAAAAATGTTGAACTTCCTATACTAACATGACCCATTCATCTGTTAAGTAGTATAAAACATTCAAATTCCTGTCCTAATATGTTCTGCAGTATACAGTTTACATACATACATTTTTTTTAATAAAAATAGTTTATTGCATAAATCAGCTTACAATTTTATGTACTTAGTCTTGATTCCTGAAATAGTGTTAGCCGTGTATTAGGAATCAGTTCAATACTGCAACTTCGTTTTCACTCTTTATGCAGACCATAAAACTGGCCTTAATATTTTCCTACCATGAATATGAGAAAATTGAATAATTCTTCAACTAAGAATAATCAAGCCCAAATGGACATATAACATGTTGATGCAATTAGATTAGCATATTGGTATTTTATTCTTTACAGGGTGCTATAGCAACGACACTAACACAACCTGTAGATGTTTTGAAAACGAGAGCAATGAATGCAAAGCCTGGTGAAGTGAAGAGTATGTTGAAGCTTATCAAAAGTACAGCCAAAGAGAGCCCTTTGGCATTTTTTAAAGGCTACATTCCAGCCTTCGCAAGGCTTGCCCCTCATACCATACTCACTTTTGTCTTCTTAGAACAACTAAGAATAAATTTTGGAAAAGTGAAAAAGGAACAGTAACTATTTTAATCTCTACATTAATGTATCTTCATTAGATTATTATTTTAGTTGCATTTAGATACACATTCGAATTTTAAGCAATGCAGTACTACTGCTTTGCTCATATAAGATTGAGAGTGTTCCTGGTCATATCATTCATTTACTATTGCTGCAGTATTTATAAAAATAGATAATATTTAAAAAATTTAAAAATACTTTTTATTTTAGATGAAATTTTATTTTATATTGCATATACAAGTTTATATTACAATGAAAATAGGACAATAGTTCCTTAAGTTCCTGAGTCACTAATTCATTTAAAGCCTATTAAGAATATTAATATAAGATTATTATGATAATAATAATTATTTTTGTTATGACGTTATAAAACTTTTATACATTTTTTTACTATTATATCATACATAAAAGATAAGAGAAAATCTCTAGAAGACTGTATATAATAAAAGCAGTATTTCCAAAATGTACACATAAAATTGTATAAATCAAGTTTATAAAAAGACCACAACATTCCAAATTTTTTTATACAATAAAAAAATTATTCTACATAAAAAAGTTATAAATATAACTATAACCATATACCTACATATTTTATTATTATCCATAGCCGTATGCCACGATTGGCAAACACGCGAGTTAGTATATTGGGTTATGGTGAAAGATATGCGACAACCACAGCTAGTCATGGTTGATTTATCGCTACTCTTCGGTTTCGGTTCATAAAAATCTAATTATTTACACTTCACATGCTTAGTTCAAAACATTAAAAATTTTTATATTACATTTTTTTTTTCTATACCTATGTAGTATTTACATATTGTGTTCCTCTTTTCCTTTAAAGTTGAGATAGATTTGTTTAAAATATTAAAATTAACCGTCTCATTTTTGAAAATATTTATAAATTAGTTTAACATAATAATTATAGAAATTTTATTTACTTAATAATTATTTTACTATTATATTAATATCACAATAATGGCTATAATAATATTGTGAAACAAATACTGAAATGGCTGTGAATCATTTCTAATGAACTTCCAAAATGGTGCCACCATTTTATTAACAGTTTTTATAGAGAGAATAATTTGTGGTATGATTACTATTATAATTTATGAACGCTATTATAATTTTTCTATAAATTGACAACAAATATTTATTTTATTGTTAAATATTCAATGTACTAAGTATGAGTAAAGAGAAAGTTTGAGATGTCACAAGTGATAATCCTTACATGCATGGCATGTAACGCGATTTGTTGATTTTATAATTGATATTTATGAGCATTCCTAGATTTAAAAAAGTGTGCTGGTTTTATTTTATTATTGACATGTAAGAAAAAAATAAGACTATACGTTCCATCCTTCCAATTCCAATATTTCCATCTTAATATTTATTTAATATTCTTTCCTCTTTGGGCTGGTACCCATCTCCATTCGAGGCATCCTTAGCTTTATTTATATCTGAAATTGTGAATCTTTCATATAAATAGAAAGTATATTACTGTAATAAATAATATACAAATATATTTTAATATTTATGTATAAATGGTTACGGTTAATATAACAGTCAAACTGTTTTATTGTATTGTCGGGTAAGAAATATAAAAATTCCATATTTTGTTAATATTGACGTTGTGTAATAAATGGTTGTTATTTATTTAATTGTTTTATTTTCCATTTTAAATACATTATTTTCTGTAGTTTTTTTACATACAAAATATTATTACAACAAGCATATATAACGGTATAAAGACTTATAATATACCAAACATTGGATTTTCTTTTACTACGGTATTGCTTATTTATAAAGTTGGCGTTTGAAATTATTTATGTTGTCATTTATAACAACGATGACATTACAGGTCTTGCCTAATGCGACAGTGTTAGGTTGTGATAAACATTAACTGCCTACGTAATAGAATGTGATAACCGTGCTCTACGTTGACAAGGCAATGAAGGTTACTGGGGGGAAAGGGATTGTTAGTAATGGAGACTAAGAATCCCATTGCTAGCAATATAGCTAACCAGGTCGACCTCCTCGCGGTTTCCCCTGGAAATTATCATGGTTAATTCCTGATGAATTCATCATGATGGACTAACTGGCCTGTTTTCGTTCTCATCTATCACCCTTCACTGGTGCTCCGCCAGCGTATCCCGTTAGCGCTGGCGGGGCTACCATACCATTTTCACCCATAAAAACAAATATAAATAAAGGTTACTGGTCATGTATAGACCTGAATGGTGGAAATCACATAGGTGGGGGACAGAGGATTATTAGAAATGGGGATTACAACTCCACTGCTAGCAATAAACCCCATAAGGTCGACCTCCTCGCGGTTCTGATTGGTTTATTTTTTAATTTGTCACTATAGGCTAAATGACCTGCTTCATTCTTATCTATCATCTCTCACTGGTGCCCCGCCAGCATATACCAATAGCGAAGATACCATTAAAAGGGTTACCATTCCTTTATCATCCATTAAAAAAAAATCACAGGTAATTTACTGACACAACCATTGCATCTCTTGCGTTATAACCTTCAAAAAAAGAGTATATTCCTTTTAAAAGACCGGCAGCACACCTGCAATGCCGCTGGTGTAATGGATGATCATGGGCGGCGGTAGTCACTTACCATCAGGTGAGCCGCATGCTCGTTTGCCCCTGTGTTGTAAAAACAAAAACATCTGAGGATTAAAACAACTCTGGTGTTAATAATCATAATTATAATGTAATATAAATTGGACTCTCTTTTCTGCGCTAAGCCTCTCGAGCCATTGTGCATATGAGTCGTAGCTAGTACGTACAGTCAGCTCAGCTCTGCCCAGAAGCTTTCTAGGATTTTTACATGCCTCAAGGAGCGACCTCACTGTTCTGATGATTTTAAAATGTTAAGAGGACCCAGTTACAAATTAACCATGTTAATCATAAATTTTTCAATTATTAAGTCTGTCCATTATTATTATTATTATTTTATCAGCAAATGTAGTATACAAATTACATACTGTCACAAAAAATGTTTATTTATATATTATCTGGTTTCAATCCCAATGATTATTAAAATAAATATGCATAAATATAAAGTAAAAACAATATATGATCAATAATTAAATGCTTTAATATTTCCTATAAATTAACATTCGTAATAATACTATTAAAGAGAATAAAATAAAAATAACCCTGTAACATTTAAAATGAACTATAAATAAGTATAAATTTGTAATTATTCAGATCTACGATTTGTTGCGCGCAATACGACACTGTGACCGGCGTGCTCGATCAGGATAGTGGCTGGACCTTGCATCCATGGCTCGCCGTCTACTTGCATCGCACAAGATCCTTCCATCTCGATCTGTAAACAGTAGATAGGTTATTACCATAGACGTATTTAGCAAAGAAGGGGTGGGAGGACCCTGGCCTCTCCAAAATCGTCTGGTGCTCGTCCAATAACGCGAGCGGAACTTAAAACAATAGCACGAACAATGTCTAAGAGTACATAATGTGCCCGGGGTCAGGTTAATTTTATTAGGTCAGTCCCCAATGTAACATTATGTATACATTTACGTCATTGTATTACATAAACATTAGTAACAAAACGACATATATATCGGTAATCTACTTTGCAATGACACTATTACAGTGGATAATAATATATATAGAAATAGTATTGCGATAACACAGAGGTAGTAAAATTTACTTTTTATCATTCATTGAAGCGAACCAAAATTTTTTTACCAACCACGCTTGTAAAGATAAAGCAGCTAATAAACATTAAAATTAAAAATAAACATGTTTTTAATTTTTTACTTTACTTAGAAATCATCGGTTCATTAAAACAAAACCTTACGACAGTAACTTTAATGTTATTAAAAAAAACTAACTATTTATACAGATTTAATTATAATTTTAATAAATTACACATACAATTGATTAGCATATCCTAATAATTAATATTACTAAAACAATTTTATGTATTCCTTAAGTATTTTTTATGTTTAGAATATAGGTACTTCAATAATAATCTTACCTTAATCCTCGAAGCTTGTGTAAAGCGATACGGTTCAGCTAGGCCACATTGAAGTCGCGCTATATGGATCGATGATGAAATTCCTACCACCTGGGTGAAAATTTAAAATATCTAAAATAATATTCACAAATAAAACGGATGGGAGCAGTTATTTTGCAGTCCACCATTGTACTCATTATTTTCCTAAGAACTCTATATCCTATAATTTAATATTTTACTGTACAATAAAGTGTTACAAACAAATAGCGATAAATATATTTTTATATTACATCTGCTCGGAAAGTGGCCACTTTCTTCTCCCAAAACATGAGAGAAAGTATTTCAAAACATGGGCAAACTAATGTTATTAAATAGAAAAGACTACCAAAATTAAACTTTAATACATGTTATTGTTAATGTTACCTCTAGTTTTCCATCGTTTATACTCTGCTCAGGTACTTCTCCTTCGTTACCCATCCCTGAAAATAAAATATATTTCATCAAATAAAAACATGTAACATTATAAAATGAATTTATATAACAGTTTCTTGTTTCTAAGTGTTACTACCATGTTTGTTACTTAATAGGTATTATAAATTCTTAAATTTCAACGGACAATTATTTACACAAAGCACTTATTTCACTTGGGATGTCATTCAAAATTTTAAATCAAGATTTAGCTTGGCTAGTTTTTACCAATAAACTAAATGTTAGAAAAGCTTAGGAATATCATTACCTTTCGTACAGAAATTATTAGTATTCATCATTAATACTTGTAAAATTACTTTATTTTTCTATATTTACGCTGTTTTCTTTTTCATGGTATTTTTTAATATTTTTTTTTTTTACTTTTTAGCCACTCCCTCTCTCTCTCCTTTATTGTCATAAAAATGCCAGTTTTAAACATTAATATATCAACAATTTGAGCAAAATTTGTGATATTGTGGATAGATATAAACAAGCTAAGGGTTTTTAATAACTGTGCCAAATTACGTGTATTTTTTTGTCTGTAATGAAAAAAAGAAATACATAACCGATTTAAAAAAAAAAAACTTTTATAAAACCACTTTGACCGCAAGTAACATGGGCAGCGGGGAGGACTTTTTTTATTGGTAGAAAATGGAATAGTAACCTTACCTGCGCTAACGGGATACGCTGGCGGGGCACCAGTGAAGGGTGATCGATGAGGATGAAAACAGGCCAGTTAGCCCATCATGATGAATTCATCAGGAATTAATCATGATAATTTCCAGGGGGAACCGCGAGGAGGTCGACTTGGTTGGGTATATTGCTAGCAATAGAATTCTCAATCTCCATTACTAACAATCCCTTTCCCCCCTAGCGGGGAGGATTGTAAGTGAGTATAAATAACGTGTGGTCTCACCCCAGAGATGCACGCCGGCGCCCCAGGAGGGTATGTTGAGCGCGACGAGCGCCTGCAGCGGCGGCAGCGGCACGTCGCGCGCGTCCGCCCGCAGCCGCAGCCGCCGCTCGAGCCCCGCGCACGCGCCCGCCGCCCACCACCGGCCCGCGCCCAGCACCGCGTACGCTATCTATCGCCGGTCACACACACTTTTTTTTAATTGATGATAATGAAATGGTAATAATGCGCTGGAATGATAAGTGACGATGAAAGCGCCGCCATCGACGTACTCCATTAGAATTTATCATGATGGTTTTCAGGGGAAACCGCGTGGAGGTCGATCTGATAGGGTGTATTGCTAGCAATGGGTCAATCAGATCCCATAACTAGCAATCTCTCCTCCCCCCCCCACCCCAATACCCCGCTTGCGCTATCGGTATACACTGGCGGGGCAACAGTGAGGAATAGATGAACATAAAAGCAGGTCTGTTAGCCCATCGTGACGAATGCAACAAGTATTAGTCACAATGGTTTCCAGGGGGAACCGCGTGTCAACCTAACGGGAATTGCTAGCAATGGGGTCATTTAGTCCTTATTACTAACAATCCCTTTCCCCCGCCCGCACACACTTATTAGCCCTACTATTCAAACTAACTCGTGTACTGACTCATACATCTAATACGTACTTGAGTAATCAATATCAACACAAGAGCTACGCATTAGTAAATAATCGCAGGAACTTCTAACTCAGTACTTTTGACTAAATAGCGGAGTTGTGCCCCCAAAAGAAACTCTCTCTATCGGCTTACTCGACATCCAATTTCTTTTTCGTTTACGGGGGTAGCTGTCAAATATTTAATTTAAATGCAATTTAAAAGTTATACCTTATAAATCTGAAACAGAGTTTCTTCGTTGCCTCTCGAGTTCTCAACGCTTTAATATTTGGGGCGAAAAAGAACACAATTATCAAATCTTGGCCACGCAAATGGATTGCTGATAAAAAGTAATAATATTATAATTAAAAATACGTCGACAGTTTAAACACTAACATAATTAATGGTTCTGCTCGCATATCTGTAAAGGAATTGAGTCCTAGCGTTGTGGAAGTCGAGCGCGACTTGCGCGTCCACGCCGATGCTAGCATAGTTGTACGCGTAGAGCACGCGGTCTGGTCGCAACCGCCCCAGTCTACGTCGCTTTGGTTTTATAGTTACCTTCCATCTAAAAACAATGGATAGGAGTTAGCTAAGTATGCAATAGAGAACATCGGTATTTTACTATTAAAAACGTTTATATCGAAACTTAAAGTGTATATTGGCTAACAGAGCGCTTTTAAAATAATCACTCAATAATATTTAATTGTGAATAGTTTCAAAATCATTTAATATTTTTTTTTTTTTAAATTGACACAATTCACTCTGGCCACACTTTGGTAAGCTTCGGTATAAACGCTCTATAATAAATAATTAAAAATTTTACAATTTTGCTTAATTACATGAAATAATATATAATATTTCAGCATGCAAAATAAATTAATATGATGGGCGGATATTTATTTATTTATTCGAATTGACGGAAATTTACAGTTATACTTAATAATTAAATATATATGACAATAGTAAGCCAATTAAATAGTGACCAATGAACAATGTTGTACCTATCTAAAATTTGTTCTTCAGCTTGTTTTATTGAAGTTATAATGGAATTTGCATTTAAATGTGAATCGCAAGTCGGACCCCAGCCTAATACTCGAGACAAATCGTTTCCCGTCCCCATAGGTAATATAGCAACCGGAGCCTGTAATGAAAAGGATATTATATATTAGTATTGGTCACAGCTAAACCATATACATACCAGCTATATTCAAAACATCAAAAAGACAAGCAAAGGCATTCAATATATATCTTAACATATTTTAACATATAAAAATCACCCGCAATTGATTTCAATTAAATTTTGTGGCCGTATATTTTAGGTTCCAGCTTGATTAGGATAGGACATATACAAATTAAGAAGTTGTAATGCAGTTCTCAAAGTAGAGTACATATATCTAAATAATAGAAATATCATTTATCTGTTACCCTTTTGTTATACCTTTTTTTTTAATAAAATAAATTATTTGTTCTATTAGTTTTTTAAAGGTACGCCGTGCTCTGCAGAGCCCAATAGAGGTACGTAGAGCCATAAGTTTGAGAAATCCTATCAAAATGCACCCACGCAAGTAAATTATTTTTAACGAACTCAAGAAGGTTCTCGATTATTATTATTATTATAGCTTTTTATCCACATTAGTGGTCCCCAAGGGTAAAAGCCTCCTCCATCTTTTTACACTTCTCCTTATCTATAGCAATACTAGTCCAGTTTTTTCCTGCTGTCTTTATTATGTCATCTGCCCATCTCTTTCTTTGCCTTCCAACATTTCTTTTTCCTGCTGGACCTCGCCATTTTGTTGTTTGGTGAGTCCACCTTTTATCTTTATACCTCACTATATGACCTGCCCATCTCCACTTCTGTTTCATACTATATTGAAGAGCATCTGTTATTTTGGTTTTCTTCCTAATATCAGTGTTTCTTATTTTCTGTATTTTTCTTAACTTTAAGATACTTCTTTCCATCGCATGCTGACATGATAGGATTTTGTTCTTTATTTTTTCAGTATAGGTCCATGTTTGGCATGCATATGTCAGGCTTGGCAGGATGCAGGAATTCATAATTATCTTTTTAATTATTTTTTTAAGGTTCTCGATTAACCTATATTAATTTATGGGTGTGTTATGCGATATCTTCGCTAATTCCAATTTTTATAATTTCTTTTTTAATCGATTAAGTTGAGTGACAGCAGTGGTTACCTTTACGTGTGGAACGGAATGTAGGGCGTTGAGCACCCAAGCAACAGTGCCGTCGCCGCCGGCTGCTAGCACGCGGCAACGGTCCGGCAGCCATCGCGCCACGCTCTCCGGTGACATAACGCTAATGTCCACCACCTGCCCCAGTATATATATATATATATATACTTTACTATCTTTACTGATCACATTTACAAAAATATACTTGTATGATTGAGACAATACGAATAATAAATATCTATAAAATATCTGCATTAAAAAGTCCATAGCATAGAATATATTGATCAACATCGAAGACCAATGGCTATTCAGGCCCGCACATGCTATGCGGACGGAGCGAATGACAATCAGCATCGGACTCTACACCTATAATATTAAGGTTTATTCTACATTGTGTTACACTCCATTTGTTGTGTTAGAATACTTATCAGTACCAACATGTAATATTCAGTACTATACTGGTCAGTGATATAACAATATAAACTTATTATTACATTTTTACTACACTATCCACTTATATTAAAAATGATGTTCATTGTTGCGCCGACGCTGTCCGAAACCGACAAAATTTTAACTATTTTTATAAAAGAATTACCAGTAAGCATAAAAGTATTCAGGATGGATGAGAAGTTTTTTTTAATTTTGTGACTCACCATTAGGTAGCTACTGAATACTAAAGTACTACACAGATTATCAGTCATCACTAACATATTTTTATGTTATAGCATGAAAAATATACTATCTCACCAAAAAAGTTATCAAGCTATTCGAAACTATTATTTTTGATGATGTTTATAAAATAAAAATGACCTGTATTGGATTAAGAAGACCTCTGAAAATGGAGAGTACTTCATCACTTCTGTTGCTGCCTGATTTGCGGTTTGCTAGAAGTGAAAAACTGATTAATTTGTTGATTACAAAATAATATTTCTAATTTTACTTATATGAAAAATAGTGATAGTAGTTAGTAGTTGTGTAGTTGTAAAAGCAACCTATAGCCTTTTAAGAAATTCCTATGTTTTAAAGATAATGGTGTTAACTCATGATATTATACTAATAACTTTAAAATTTGTACATACCAAAAATTATTAATGGCTCCCAATTTTTATCTTGTAATGGTTTTATATTAGTTATTTTCCCTTTCTCAATTTGTACACAAGATGGAGGAATAATAATATTTTTGAACTTCTGAAAATCACATTCCTAAAACATACAATGAACAATGTAATCTAATGTGCAAAAAAAAAAAAATTACATATGTATTCACAGAATCATAGTTTACCTCAGAGTCATTTAAGGTAATATTATGACTCAACTTTGTTCTTTGACACCAACAGCAAAAATATTTTTTAATACAGTCTTCCATATTATCAGGATTCTCAACACGAACTATGCTAACTGTATGTGAGAACATAATGTGTATGTATGTTATGTTGGTAATTATAATGTGCAATAAAATATAAAGAAAAATATTTAAATATCAGTAGAACACACAACAGTAGACAACAGTTTCCATCCCTTTTGACAATATGCCTATAAATGTAGATCAAACTATGTATCTAATTTAAATCACTAATCTAAAATGAGTTCTAAAATATATTAATTAGTAGTTACATAATTTTACTTCTTCTTTCGTACCAGTCTACATAATCTTCTGAATAGGTTTAATCTGTCAATTTCTAAAAATACAATTACTTTTACAACTTTTCAATATTTCTTTGATGATAATGATAATGATTAATGATATGATAATGATTATTTAAAAACTGTTCTTATAACAAACTATGAAAAACCATGAAAAAATCTATGTAATTATGATATATATTTTTTTATTTTGATGATAAGTTATTTACAAACTTTAAAAGCAAAATATATAGTGGCAAAATTTTTATTAATAGATCATTGTTATTTATTTATTTAATGTTATAATTTACTATAAGGCAACATTTAAAATAGTAATTCTGAAAAATATTGAAAATTATTTTAAATTATATGATGATTTTATAATCAAAACTAATTACCATTAACCCAATGATGGTGAAAGGGTTTATCATTTGGCCATGAAACAGATTTACATTGGAACTTTTTCTCTATCACATAGTGGCACCTCTTACATGCACTGACAGCACAGCACTCACAGAACAGCCCCACTAATGGTAACATGAGCTTACCACAAACTGTGCACTGAAAATAATTTAACATGAAAATTATTAACAATGGGAGTTCCATATAACATTTTGATGCCATCATATTTTGTGAGGTGATCATATATTTTCAAAGGTATTTAGGTTCTTCTACCTACTTACTCACATTAATAAAAAAAAATTAATAAAAAAGCCTTTTTAATTTTATATCTATGTATTTACTTAGATCTAGTAAATATCTAAAGATATCCACTGATCAATAAGTTTATTAAAAATATATTGCAGAATACTGTTTTATTCTTACTTACATAAATATTATAGGGTATAGATTTATTACATTCTATGCTTCTCCAAGTATGTCCCCGATTTCTATATTTGAAATGTATATATATATTATCAGGTAGAAATGAATGAAAAATCCGGTAAATCAAATAAGTAAGAAATAATCCACCAATTAAAGAATAATAGTTGAAAATAACATCATTTAATTTGAATATATCTTCCATGGCAAAAATCAATTAGATGTTAAATAAAATTGTAATGAACAATATTTAGTTTTTGTCTTAAAGAAAATTTAAAGCACTGAGTGTAAAATCACTAAGTTTTATAAGAAAATTCAGCGAAAGCAACATTTTTTGTCGAATTGTAAAAGAAATTGGTAACAAATTCTTATTGTTTACAAAAACACAATACGTCAAATACCTATCGGATTCATTTTCAAATTCATTGAATATCTAAATAAAACAGATACAAAATAAACGTAGATATAGAACATTCTTAACGAACATGACTACTGAAGTAAAATGACCATAGATATATATTCCACATCTATACCTTATTCCAAAATTGTTAAAAATCTGAGACTACCTGGACAACTGCCTCACTTGGAATAAGCAGATCGGAGAGGTGAGCAGGAGAGTTATAGCCTCCTTACGCTTTCTGTACAAATTTTAAAAAAATCTGCCTATCGATACTGTCTTCTGGTACAGGCTTTGGTTCCACCCATTATCGATTACGGCGATGTTTGTTATTCGAACCTCAACTAGGAGTTATTAAATATATTGGATCATTTGCTTAATAACTGTATACGGTTTATTTACAGTTTTCGTAGGTATGACAATGTATCGTCTTACCGCTCTCAAAGCTGATTTGGCGGAAGTATAAACAAAATAATTTTTAATTATTTTCACGTTTTGAAATGGAATTAGTTTTAAGTGAACGTAGTTAGTTAGAATTAAGTGTACTATACTTGAATGTAATATAAATAATAGAGAAAACACAATTTCATGTTTTACGTGTAAATACGCTTAAAACATTTTACTTATTTCAATACAATTTTTAAAACCACAAAATATATTTTAAATATAAATCGACAGAGAAAATTATCACTTTGATACTAATTATTACTCTGAAGCCTTAAGTATTCAAATTAAAATAATAACAAATACGTGAATATCTAACTTCAATTCCTTAGAGATAATATAATCTTATCGATAGTATCAATCGATACAACAAATTGACAAAGGCAACAGGTTGTTATATATACAGCTATAATAATTATATACAATAAAACAAAAAATTATAAATAAATTTTGAATGACCACTGACGTAAAGAATAAAATTATATCATCGTTAATAAATTGTAATATATGTATGCAATTTTAATTTTATTTTAATACAATCCATCCGTTATACATTGTTGAGCAGACTTTTTCTATAATATGACATAAAATCACATTCTGAATTTAAACTATAATTTGATACAATAGTTCGCCTGTCGTCGTATCCGATCGGATTCTTTCGGCTGTCCTCGCGTGCGTTCAATGCTATCTTCTGTTTTATGATTATTTTCTTCTTTTAATGCAATAGTCGACAATACTACGCCCACTTAAACCATTTTCAAAATTAAAACACGTCAACAGGGTAGGAATGTAACTGTTTGACTAAGCTGGGACCACAGGACTAAGCATAGAAACGGATACGTTGACAAGCGACGATACGGAACCGATCGTTTGCGTCGACATTCTGCCGGACACGATTGACTGTAGCCGCATCCATACGTATCCCTATCAATCCGATATGATGCGAGCTGTTTGGTGGAAATTATCCCTTCATCTGTACTTTAGTTTGTTGTAAAATCACGGAGGATTTGTAAATCTGTATCAGATCAATAACAGAAAAATTAAATAATGTGTTGAATAAAGTTTTATTTGATAGTAATATTTTACGAATATTCTTCCATTAATCCAGTTAAACATTTATTTAGTTTGGACGAGCACATATTAAGTGGTGATTTTTCTTCTTTATTTTTAATATGTATATCTGCCCCTGCTTTTACTAACATACAAGCGACAGCTTCTCTATCCTCTTCACAAGCTAGATGTCTGTAACATATACATATATAGATACTAGTTATATACAACGAAACTTTTAGTAGACCTCATATTCAATTCAAAATGGCGAAAAATGTTATTATATTTTTTTATTCATGCTTACATGACAGAGTTATCAGCATATTAAGTTAAAATTTTAAGAAATTAAAAAAAAAAAAATGTTAGCGAAATTTTGAAGAAACGTGGAGAAATTTCAATTTTTTTTTTATAGTTCTAGAATTCTCAAACTATATGTATCAGTATATAGATCTGTAGTATATTGCTATATAAGTAGTAAAATTTAGAGAAAAAGTTAGCTTTGGAGTTCGGGTTACTTTTAATTCATATTGTTGTTAAATTGTAAAACGTGGTAAAAATAGACAAACTTTGGATAAAATGAAGGTAAATAAAAGAAATTTGGAGAAAAAATATTTAGAATTTGAGATCACATCTGACAATGCTGTCAGCTGGCTTCTAGATTTTCATTTTCACGACATTTGTTATCAAATTTTATTGACGGTGCTCGGGAAAGCTATGGTCATGGGGGTCCAAAAGGTTAATCGTTAGGAAGTCGTCATTTTTTTATTGTTTCGGCCAAGTACTACAGTAATGTCTCAGTAGTCGTTAATGGATTAGAGTAATGAAGAGGGCTATGTGCGGAGTTTCTTTGCGTGATAGCTCGAAGGAACAACAAGCTGAAGTGGCAATGGGCTGGTCACATAGCTCGAAGAACCCACAACCAATGGGGAAGAAAGGCTCTTGAGTGGCGACCCCGTACAGGCAAACGCAGTGTAGGAAGACCTCCAACTAGATGTAGTGACAATCTGAATTGAATTGCAGGGAGTCAGTGGATACAGATGGCTCAGGACCATTCCTTACGTCAATCTATGGGGGAGGCCTATGTTCAGCAGTAAACAGATAATGGTCGAAATGATAAATTTAAGTTTCATTGGCTGCGGTGGTTGATTATTATATAAATTCGTAATACTTACAAAGGTGTCGAGCCAGTGGAATCACAGAGATCCACCTTTATTTTGGGGGACAACAAAAGTAATTCGACAATGTTATTCCTGCCTTGAGCAGCAGCTCTGTGTAACGGAGTTGCATTTAGCACATCAGTATTATTTACATTTGCGTCATTCTCAATTAATATTTTTGCTACCTGGGAGAAAGCAAAATATATCTTGATTAGTTTTCTGTTAATATATAAATGGTAAGTCAAAAATACATTTTAGTGTGAGTTTATATATATATATATATATATATGCTTTAAATATTATACAATTTCAATCATAGGTAATATTATCCACAATTACTCTTCGCGTTGAAATATATATTATAGGGGTTTTATTGTTATTAAACTAAAATATAAGACTATGAGGAGGCGAAAGGAACAAAAGGGTAATATTGTCTGTGAATAATTTTTTTTTTATACAACTTAGAATGGCAAGCAAGCTGACGGCCCACCTGATGGAAAGTGGTAACCGTCGCCTATAGACATGAGCAGTACCATGAACATAACAGAGTATACTATTTAGCCCATGATACCCCCCATGCGTTGCCATTCCTGAGGACTCAGGTGTTATTTTTCTGTACCCAGTAAATTCACGCCATATTCCACCCTACAAACCGAAACACAGCTATGCAAACAACTGCTTCACGGTTGAAACACGAATGGGACAGAGGTACCCAAGCAATCAACTTTTATACAAAGTCTCCCTCTGGTATCTGTGGAATATGCTAGTGCTAATGAGCAAGTTAATGTGTTTCGTCTCATTTACGAAGGGACTAAGACAGTGAAAAATTAAGCGTTTACGTGTTTACAGAGTCATGAACCTTCGCATATAAGATTTAAATTTAAGGATGTTTTCACATATAGATATATATTTCCTTGAGGTAGTGGTCGTATATATACATAGTTTATAGCTAGACATCCTTCGACATAAACATACTACTGAAAAAACGATTGTTACAGTAAACTAAGAAAAGGTCAAAACCGCCTTTTTACAGCCAAAACTTGCAAGAAAAAATACAGTGACATACATACATACCCATATATGTATGTAACTGTATTTTTTTTTACTACCTAATCTGAGATTAGCAAAGTTTTTTTTTTATATCTTACTCTTAATATATTTATTACTCAATTACGCTTAAATATCTTAATGGTTTATATAGCCATAACAGATGTCCTGTTTTGTGTTTATGTTTAGATGTCATAGCCAGATTATAGAATTCACTTCATGATGGACCGTCCATTCGGATGTTTTTATTCCATTTCACATTGACAAAGTCACGGGACATATGTTTATATACGAGTTAATAATAACCTATTAATAATAACAATAAACTTTACCGAATAATGTCCTTTGGAGCATGCATAATGCAATGATGACTGGCCACGATTTGTTTTATGATTAATATCTGCTCCTTTACCAATCAATAATAAAACAACTTCACTTTTCCCAGCAGATGCAGCTAATATAAGTGGTGTAGATCCTGTATCGTCCACCGAATTTACAATACTTCCACAGTCAATTAAATATTCTACAAGATGTATATTTCCACTAAGGGCTGCCCAATGAAGAAGTTGACGACCATTCTGGATATTCAAATTATAAAATAATGGTTAACAGCGTAATATATAATCATCGTCATATCCGCCGTTGACTGTCCACTATTGAACATAAGCCTTCCCCATAAGTTTTGCCAGTAGCGGGTTGGTAAACGCAGTTTGGTTTTTGGTGATGTTTTAGAGGGACATTGCTGCCCATCCCTCCCTCATTAAACTCCCTTAGTCGCCTCCACGACACTCACGGTAAAGAAAGGGATGGCTCATTCTATGCCCGGAACACACGGCAAGTAATATGTAATACATAACATAACGGCTGTTAAAACCAGGTCGCATAATTTTGTAGAGTTAATAATTTTTCAATAACTGTTTTACTACATAACTCGACCAATTAACTGACTTCTTTGTTCTCTGATACATACGACTGCCGCATAAATATCACCCGGAAAAATTCATCCAGTAAATATGGCAGTTAAAGATATACAAAATAAAATAAGTTTTTGTTTACTATGTATGTATGTATTTATAAATATTATATTGAAAACTGCAGGAACCCATTGGAAGTACGTCACAAACGATTGATTTGACAATTAACGACTTCGACCGACACGTAACGAGTGAAATAAATTCATCAGTTGGCTAATCTACAATTTATTTACATACTAATTATTACTTTTACACTTACCGAGTCCCGCTGAGAAACTATTCCACTGTCTTGATCGATTTTAACTTTAACCTGATTTAAATCCCCTTTGTAAGCCATTTCAAAAACTGATCCAATAGACATATTGGAATTTGTAATAGTGCTTATAAATAAATTAGTATTATAACTGTAATCTTCAGTCCAAGTGTAGATAATTAGATTTTATAAATTAAAAATCACTGCAAATAAATATTCAAGAAAATAACTTTAAGTTTTCAGTATGAATCTGATAGCGTGAACCAGAAACCCAAGAGGTCTTTAGTTGTTGTGTTAACACAAAATACCTCCAAAGTTGAAAAGACAAATCAATATGGAAACAGACCAGTTTTTGCCGCTCAACTTTGACAAAATATATTCAAAAGCTCTATGTTACAGAAATGAAGATGTCAAAGTGAATAAGCGATGTAACGCAGTATGACTATATAGGTATTGGAAAAAAGATATTGTTAGTAATAGAGACTACATTGGAGGGTTCCATTGCTAGTAATATACCTAACCAGGTCAACCTCCACGTGCCCTTCCCTAGAAACTATCGTACTGAATTTTAGGTCTATTTATCACAATGAGCTAACTGACCTGCGTTTTCATCTTTATCTTTCGATCCTCACTCTTGTGCTGCTGGCGTAAACCGTTTGATGGGTGAAAATGGTATAGTAGCTTCCGCTTGCGCTAACGGGATTCACTGGCGGAGCACCAGTGAAAGGTGGTAGATGAGAATAAAAATAGGCCAGTTAGCCCATCATGATAAATTCATCAGGAATGTGAATGTGTGAATGTGAAAAGGACTCCATTTTCCGCGCTTAGCCTCTCATTTGGGCCATTGTACGTATGAGTCGTGGCTAGTGCAGCCAACCTAGCTCCGTCCAGAAGCACAAAAGCTTCCTGGGTTCTTCACAGGCCTCACAGAGTGACCTCACCGTTCCGAGGATTTCTAAACGTTGATGGGCCACAGCCTCACATTCCAAGATTACGTGAGCAGCTGCCTCGACATAGAGGCCCCCTCGACATAGAGGGCTGTCTGTGGCTCCTATTGAATTCATCAGGAATCAACTATGATAGTTTCCAGGGAGAACCGTGAGGAGGTCGACTTGGTTGGGTATATTGCTAGCAATGGGATTCTCAGTCTCCATTACTAACAATCCCTTTCCCCCTGGCGTAAACCGTTAGAGCGCACGGGGTTATCATTCCATTGTCATCCATTAAAAAAAAACCATATAGGTAACTTGTACACATATTATACCTATAGGAGATAAACTATAGAAAGACTAATTGAGGTGCATTGACTATGTAATGTACGAACCATATCAATATATCTATCTGTCTTTTGAATGCGATTTTGCAAGCATTCTAATAAAAAGAGGCATATTTTATATTTATTCTGTTACACCTCTTTGTATTATTTATCACATATATCTAATAAGTGTACAGAGAACTTATTAGAATACCAACTGCTGAATTTTATCACCATACAACCATTATAAGCTGAAGTTCTATCCTGACCATCTGGATGTTTGATGATCCTTCACCATATATATCTGTAGACTATTTCATTATAAAGTTACATATATTTTTAAAGCAATATAATGTTATCTTTGCATTCCTTTACAACATTATGGTTTAAGATTTAAATGACAATGGACCAAATACAAGGTATTAGGATGACTGATAAACCCTCAAAACAATTAGATAAAAATAACTACATTGCAATTATAATCTAAGAAATAATAAAGATAACAGAAAAATGGGATCACAATATCAATATAATAAAGAGAAAAACAAATTTGAGAAGGGAAAAACCCGAAAAAGGATCTCGATCTTAATCAATAGAATGGAAAAGAAAAATTAAAAACCTAACTACTAACACAAACTAGGTTCTAACATTAAATATTATATTTATTAACACAACACTCAATAATATAAAAAAGAATAAGGAAATTAAAAAAGCTATATTATTACACTATAAAACTTATATGAAATCTAGTTTAAAAAAAAAAAAGTACTTAGAACCTAACTAAGTAGCAATCAGAATCAAAGAAACAATTCTTGAAAAAGTTGTACTGTTCTGGGTCTACACAATACTACTCAGTTTCACAGTTTAACTATTGCTAAATTGCATCTTATTGTACCATTTATGTTTCAACCTACATTCCCATAATAAGAAAATATATTTAATTAACAAAAGTTATTTTCATATTTGGTAGAAATAGCAATATTTAAAGTATATCTCTACCATAATTCTGAATAACTGGAATGAGCCAATATCTATTTAGACATTGGATTCAGAATGTAAGAGTTGCATAAAATATCTAACCACCTCCAAGGTTATCCAGTGACCAAACTTCTTTCAGAATGTTACATGTGCCAAGCGGAACCCGAGGACTTTTAAGACAAGATTTCCTATAGCCTAAAATAATATTTGAGAGCAAAAATGTAAAACAAATAATTAAAAATTAATTATTTTATCTATTTTTTGATGCATATATTGAATATATAAAAGAATATTTACTAAACTTTATATTAAACATATTATAAATGAAATTTAAGAATAACTGATATTTTTTAACTAATAATTGTAACCTATTATACTGGTAGTAAGGCAGATAGTTATAATACATAGCTTTATTACAATCGTGAGGGCTAGTTTTTTTATTCAGAATCTAATGGACATTCAGGCTAATACCAGAGGTAAATGACACTGTACTGCATATCAATTTCTACCACTGTTTACAATTACATGATTGACATGAAAATTGGTTTGCATATGTATCTAAGTACGGAAAATATTTTATTTCTACTTTACTCATCCTACTTTATTGTAATATAGATAATCAAAAATAGAAAAATGGAAAAAATAATGTACGCAATCGAGGACGAAAAACATAAATTGTTCATATAAATGTTTACGAACCATTAGTCACTTTAACAGTAACATTTATTTGTTTTTAATTTTGCTCTCAAATTCTATTTCGGGCTATTGTGGCTTTTTACACTTTTCACAAGATACCGGATTTTCTTACTTTTAAATGTCCTTACACTTCGTAGGCGGGAAGGTAGCTACCCTAGAAAAAATTAACAACAGAGAGCATAAAAACCAATAATTTAGGCAGGTAATTTTCATCACAAATTACCTGTTCCGGAAGATTTTACTCTCGATAATTGTTATTACAACTTTACTACAAGTAATATTCAAAGTAAAACACTCAATAAAATCACAACAAACAATTACAAAAAAAATCAAAATGACAAATCATACCCAACAGAGTAGGTAACACAAATGCACAGTCGTACAGATCAATGAGACTAGATTATACATTATTATTATCTGTATATTAATTAATTTTATTTCTTAAATTGTTCAAAAGAGGCAGGACCAACGCGGTCGCTAATCGCTTTTAAGTAGGTATGTAAGCTTTCAAAATATTTAGTCAAACATGAACATTTGACATAAACTCTCGTGTAATTCGGCTTTACTCTTCTTATTCACCGATATCTATATTTTGTACATTTTACTTCCAAGTGGTTTACTTATATTCACAGAACAAAACAGTACCTATATTAACACCTACCATCAATCTGATTCTACGGTCAATCCAGTAAGATTATGCTAGTACGTATGTTAGTCACCTACCTAAATATTTGTTTGATTTCAATTGTAAATTGGTTCATCTATCTTTCACAATATATTTTTTAACCTTTTTTTTTCATAACATAGTGTTTCAAGCGAATTGTGTTTCATTATATCTTTCATTCATTAGTATTATTAGTATATTCATTTTTAGGTCAAACATAAGTGAAAGCGAAATTTTCGTAAATTAACAAGAAGTGGATAATCAATTCTAGCACAGAGAAATTTGTTCTAGCTTTAAAAGAATGTCTACGACTTACTATGATTATTATGATGGCAGTAAAATATTTCTATTTGTTTCAAATAGAATTGGTCTTCCTATAGATCTTGTAAGTATCACCAGGACAAATTATTTAACCACTTAGTACAATACTTCTCCTTTCGTTTGTTATTATTATTATATGTCAAGCAATCTAAATGAATTAAACTACAAGATAGCATGTTATTTTTGTAAACAATATAAAATTAACCATGTCTGCATGTTTATTTAACTTTAAAATTGTAATTCTTACTTACTATTTTTTTAAACTGCCTGCTTTTATATTTAGAAGGAACCAAAATGGGTGGTGTGGGTTATTAAAGAGGGGCAAGAAATCAGAGCTTGTCTTGCCCGCAGAGTGAAAAAATGTACATTATTATAAATCTAACCTTAAAATTAATGAATGTATTAGTGGTAAGAAGTGAAGGTTTTTATCCAAAAAGGGATGCATATTCCTCAAAAAGGGAATTGAGCAATTTTTTTTCTAGTAGTTTGTTTTAGGTCTACAATACTTAAAAGATTTTGTAAATCCAATGATGCTTGCAAATTTGAGTTCAAACTTGAATCATATTATAAAGGGGTAAATGAGACAAAAAATATATTTGTCTTATAAATTGTAATCTAAATAATCTGTTTTGTTAACTTGAAAAACTTCATAAGTGACAATTTTTTTTTTATTAATTTACTAAAAAACCATTAAATGTTAATTCATTCCCTTATTGGAGTATACTGAAAGAGATAGAATTCCCTGTTATTTATGCTATACTGTTACTCCTCTTACTCTATAATCCATAATACCAATATAAAATTCCTTCTGTTTTGACCTGTGATTAAAGATATTTGTTTTTTATTTTTTTTATTTTAATTTTTTTTTTTTTTTTTTGTAGAAAAAGCTGCTTTGCTTGTTTACAGTGTAAACTTCATATAATGAAAAGTGTTCTATAATATAGGAAACCCTTTGGTTCTTAATTTTATTTTCCATTAGCAATCTGGTCTGACTTCATATTGGTAGATAGAATTTTCGAAAATAGTATATAACTTATGGTCCTCAATGTGGCTTTCTATATTTTTTTATAGGTGAGAGAATTTTTAAATCAGTTGAGTGTTTTTGAATGTATCCATTACAAACAAACAATCAAATTGTTCCTCTCTGCAATATTAGCCATTCATATATTAAAATACTATAAGAATAGTGCACCCTTAAAAAAAATATTTTCTAGTGTATTGTTTTGATGCCTAACACATGTCTAACCATTGACTTCCACTGCCAATATCATATATATTAATATACTTTTGTTGTAATGGTCTGATTTGATTGCCAGTTTACCTGGACTATTTAATATAACTATTTATTTTTAATTTTTATACATCATAGTTGATTTAGTTGATATGCATTGTCTTTACATTATTGTTTATCCATCTAAACTTTAAAATAATAAATGGAATAAAAGTTTTATTTATTTCGACTAAAGTTTCATTAATATGTTTGATAGCCATTGTAAAAGTTATATACACATTAAAATAAATTGATCTTTATTTAATTTTAATCTAGAATTACATAAATTATTATTATATATATATATATATATATATATATATATATATATATATATATATATATATATATTACTTACTAATTTCCATTTAATGAACTAAAGTTATATATGCAATTGGTAGAATTAAACAATTATCATGTAAGTCAGAGTATAATTTCTTACACATTTTTGTGCAAAATAGTGAAATAGTGCAAAAAAGTAAGTATTCCAGAATCATCTTGCATTTAAATAATTGTAATAAAGTACTTAATCCTCTAAATTTCATTATATAGAGTTTACACTGTATTTTTAGATTTCACCTTGTGGCACTTTAATTTATTAGTCTCATAACGTCATATTTTCCTTCCATTAGGTAAATTTTTTGATAGCACAAATAGCTGCACTATGCCTGGCCAGACTGTTTCGGAAACCATTGAAACTTGCTTCACCAGAGTTTCGTCATTCTGTGTGCCTTGTTATAGGTTTGATAATGGGATATTTCTGCTTTGGAAAGTAAGTTTAATATTTACATATTCATCTTTGCTCATAAGTATAAAAATCCTAGATTCATATTATCATAAAAAGTTACTCTCAAAGTATTCTAAGTTAAAATTAAAAATAACGAAAAAAATAATAAAATATTTTTCAATAGTAGATGCTTTATGTATGCTTATAGATATTTGTTATTACAATAATAGTTTTTTTTTTATTAAGTGGCCCTAAGTAGCAAAAATTGAAATAAAAATTAGTTTTTATTTTTTTTAAACACAATATCATTTGTCTTTCAACAATTTAATTACCTATTAAGAAAGTATACAATTGTTTATAACGCCATCTAATAATATAAAAGTCTATTTAATATTAATAGCTTCCGTAATGCAATGGTTGGTGCGTTATGACGTATATCCTTTGCAAAAATAAGGTTTTGGGCTCGATTCTTTGTCGGGCCAATTTAGAATATAAACTTTTCGGAATTCGGATATGTGTATTCTGTGTTGTGCCGCCAGATGTTTATTGCTTCGTTTCTCATAATATAAGGAATCTCAGACTGAGGTTCAGGCAATTGGTACGATTATATGACAAATATTATTATCGTTTTAGGTGAAGTAGTCAAAAATAATAATAGATGACGTTGTAGACAAATGTATATAATTAAACGGAGTTAAAAGAATTATTAGAAGATTAAAAGAATTGAATGAAAAACAAAAAGACAAAATTCAAATATCAGTAATACTTAGTGTTATGTATCAAATATTTTCTCTATATGAAGTACGATAAAGAATTTTGAATTCTTTATATTACATCACAATATTACAATGAAAAATATTTTATATATACATAAGTGTATAAAAATGTCCCTTCAATATGATTTTGTATTTTTTTATTTCATGGTGACGCTGCCGTAGAATACGATCTGTAAATAGTTCAAAATAATTTTACAGATAAATTATTCTATAATGGGAATATTGTAGTGGTTTTTTATGCACCTTAAAATAGCAAACAAGCTGACGTTCCACCTGATGGAAAGTGGTAACCGTCGCCTATAAACATGAGCACCATGGATACTATGGAGATAACAGAGTGTACTGTTTTGCCCGTGATACACTCCATGGGTTGCCAATCCTGAGTACTCAGGTGTTATTTCTCTGTACACTGTAAATTTACTGCCATATCCCACTATCTCACTCTTCAAACTGAAACACAGCCATGCAAACAACTGCTTCACGGTAGAAACACGAATGGGACAGAGGTGCCCAAGCAAACGACTTTTGTACAAAGTCTTCCTCTGGTATTTATGTGTGTATGTATTAATCGTAATAAATGAGTTTTAGTCTGGTTTTATGAAATATCGTTTCGTTCTGCCGTGGTGTTGTTGCTGTGCCATTAATAATTTATGTTAAAACTTATATTTGTCAAGATGTACCTATATCTTTAATCAATTTTTCCGCCACAGCGTTATATTACAGCAACGTCTAATGCTTTTGAATAGTTTAAATGTAGTCGAATCTCGTTTATTACAAAAGAAATAATTAGAAAATTTTTGCTAGAATTTTTCAATTTAAATTCATAACAGCTCCTCGATTTCATGGTTAAAGGGGGGGGGGGGGGGGACAATTATATATTGTCAAGTCGTCAAACCGACTTGATCATTATTTGTATATTTTAAAACAAATATTTAACTCTGAAGATATTTCAAAGGTTAAACCTGATTAAAAAGTACTCTATCTAATTTTTTATGTATTTTCATATTCATGACATACTAGCTGTCAATCATACTCGTAACGTAATAACTGGTAGCTTTGCTAAAATACATTTACAAAAAAAATACAAGTATAATCGATGTAAAGAAAAACAAAACAATATACTTATGAAATATGTGCGTTTACAGTTTTTTATTCATTATCTAAACATACCTCTTGTGTTATATATAAATGAAAAAAATAATTATTATTATACAATTTAATAAAAAAACGTATTTTTAGCGGTATATTATCTGAATCTGTAATGCTCTCTTTAATGGCTTGAACAGCTTTTTTTGTAACTTAGATTGTATAGTTATATAAAATAGTTCTATTGGAAAAGAGGAATTTTTATAATGTTGATGATGTATCAATATCAATCTGATACTGTTTTTGTAAGAACGAGCCAAAGGAAGGTCAAAATACAGCCACTGCCCTCCCCTGACCGCGTCACTCTATCCTCCTTTTCATCTTCCAACACTATTCTTGTGTTTCCTTATGATATCTAGTTGGATCATAGAGTTTTGGGATAAACACTAAATTTCCTCTGTAGTTGTCATAGATATTAACTATCAAGACTGGATTAGAAACGATTGTTAGTAATGAGTAGATTAGTCCTTATTGCTAGCAGTATAAGGTATACTCAGGTCGGGTCAATCTCAACGCGGTCTTCACTAGAAACCATCACGGTTAATTCCTGATAAAATAATTATGATGAGCCAACGGACTTAATTCTATCATCAATCACTGATGCCCCATCATCGCGTACCAATTGCGCAGGCAAGGTTACCATTCCATTTTCAATATCCAAAAACAATATGGCCTGTTACCAGTTTATACTCGTTGCATTGGATTTGTCTGACAGAGGTATCAGTGCTTGATATTAATTGTAGGTATATATAAAAACTTGTTTATGAAAAGATTTTGAAATTTGTAATTTAATATAACCTTGAAAAATCTATTTTTGTCAACTTTACAATACTCAAGTTTTATTCTTCGCTAAAAGATAGTAATAACTATTATCGTCGTAGCCTTATTATCATAATCTTTATCATTTGTTTACTTTTGTCAGAGTAAAGAGACATGTTATAAACCGTCGGCCTGTTTATTGTTTTAGTTTAGACCAAACATAACTTATACACTGAATACCAAATAATAATTATGCACTTATGTTTTTCTATAACAAAAAAAAGTACGTCATTAAGAGCGTTCATAACGAAGTAGGTTAAGCAATATCGCAATTAACTGTCAAATTTTAAAAACAATTAGACGTTTTTCCATATTTCTAATTTATTATTTAAAAAGTGCTCTGCTTGCGAGCTTTAATCATGCAATAATATTCTTGTTATGCTGTCACTGCAAAAATTGGATTTTGATGGCAAAAATGTAATTTAATTTTTTAATAGCAACGTCGTAATTCTCTATCAATCTTTAAAAATGTTAACTTATTTTTAAACATTGATTGATAGATAATTGCTATGTTATTACAATTCGGTAAGCAAGAACGCTCTTAAATTTAAGTTTTATGTATATATTTTTTTATTGATGAGGATCAAATAATACTTACATCCTCTTATGGTAATAGTATAGAATGGCGAAGCACTAGTACAAGATTACAAGGGTGAAGACAGGTTAATAGAGCTATCATGGCAAATTCACTACGAATTAACTGCAATGGTTTTCAGATAGAACCGCGTGGAAACATTAGTATATTTAAGATTATTTTTCGCAGGAGAGACTGGCCCCTTAAAAAAGGTGCATATATATGTTTAGACATGTCTTTGTTCAAAGTTGAAAGTTCTGCCCTTGATCCTGAAAGGGATTAGAGTTCCCATTACTGATAATCAATTATGATAATACAATCTCAATACGTGATCCTACTTCCTACTGATAAGTATTCATACCCAAGATTCACACATAGGATATTTTTCATTCCAATTGATATTAAAGCCAATGCATTTTAAATCTGTAATATCTTCGGAAATATTCTTTCAAATTACATATTATCAACGGCCATATTGATCTATAATAAATGAACAATGTATTTAAGGTACTTAATTGGATAAAAAATAATGCGGTTTTGCTTAAAATCACTTTGTAAATAAGCCATTTTTTCCCGTAAAATGTAAAGGATAAAAAATGGTTATTGTGGGTTATCTTTAAGAGACTAAGTGGACTTTTTGTTGACCTTTTTAAGGTGTACAATACTGCAGTACATTATTTTGTTTTATCTCGTGGGGTTCAGCCAGTGTTTGCATTGTAATCGCAAAAAGTGTTTATTTAAGACATCACATTAGAAACCTCTAAATTTATCAGAGTTTCACTACAATATTATACACGTATTATACATATAAACCTTCCTTTTGAATCACTCTATCTATTAAAAAAACTGTTCAAAAATCCGTTGCGTAGTTTTAAAGATTTAAGCATACATAGGGACGAACAGACAGCGACAGCGACTTTGTTTTATACTATGTAGTGATAGTATAAAACAAAGCATAAATAAGCATTAAGTTTTCTGGATTCTATTCTATTACACATTCTAGATATAACAAAGAATCGATCAAATCATTTTAATTATCCGATTACACATTAATTTTATATTACATATTTTAATATAAAATAATAGTTCATACTTATGGGATTATACTTTCCTTTCAGACAAGCAATACATTTATCAGTTCTGCCTATGTTAAGTTACACATTGCTCAAGACTGTACCGCAACATCTTATGGGAAAGTAAGTAAATTAGCAATTTTATCATAGGTAGGTCCTAAAATTGTACTTTCAATGAGCTATAAATTAATAATACCATTTGGTTAACGATGTTAGTCATAGGATCCTAACATGGAGTATAAAATAGAATCTTAACACGAAATAGGAAGATAATATTTATAAAATTTTCAAACATTGCAATAAAATATTTTTTACATACTAAATTTTACCCGCGACTTTGTCCGCGTGATCGGTATATGTTCACTGGCCAGAATAAAAAGTAGCCTATAACCTTCATGCCATATCGTATGTAGATGCCAAATTTCATTGTAATCGGTTAAGCCGTTATGTTGTTATAACACCTTAACGGCTATACCTTATAAGGTAACAAACAGATAAACAAACTCACTTTCACATCTATAATAGTAAGGGTTATGTTAGAATATCCTTAATAATATTTAATAATCTTATCTCTATTTTTTCAGTGTAATACTGGCTGTATCTATGTTATATTTGTCTTGTTTACATCTACACCGACAAATATACCACACTGCAGACTATACGTTAGATATTACCGGTAAGAAGGAATAATGTTATTTGTAAACTTGGAAATAGAAAAAAAAATACATTAATTAAAAAATCATTCTCCTTATAATAATGGTCCAATTCCGATATATCGTGCTCCATTGTATACAGAGCGAAGTCGAAAGTATTTCCCAAAAAAAAATTATTCGAAAAACGAAAAAAATTCTTCCATAGTAGATAGCTAGATGAGACATATAATTTTTGAACCATGTTTCTTATAGAAAAGTGGTCAGTTTCACTTATAAAACTCTTTAATAGGATGCTAATGTTTTCGATTTTAAACTGTATACACATAAAATTTAGATTCGACATTTCAAGATAATATATGTACGCTTAAGGTATTGTTAAGGTTAAGTAAATATAATATTTCCATACAAATTAAATATTACAGCAATGTTATTATATAACTGCGTAAACTGTAAATTACCATTTGAATATTAGTATATTCAAATAATAATTTACTTTTATATTTAAATTATTATTTAGTGATATAATGATCATGAAATATTCATAACAAGTACATATAATATACCTAAATATTTTTAGATAAAAAATATATTTACCTATATTTAATTTGTCGAAAATGTAAATAATAGGTAATGAGGTTTAAAACTACAAACATGTATGTTAACAATAAGGATGGCATGTTATTCATTATATAAATAGGAGGAAAATACAAATAGACAACATATTATTAAAAATGTTACGTCTTCAATTTTATCGATGCTTAATCACCATTGACATTAATTCTAAATTTTCAGGTCCTCTAATGGTGATAACACAACGAGTAACGTCATTGGCATATTCATTACAAGATAGCTTAACTAAGAAGGAAATTAATTCTAATTCAACGAGTTGTTCAACGGAAAAATCTGTGGTCGAGAAGACTCCTTCGCCTCTCGAATATTTTGCTTACACTTTGGCCTTCCAAACATTGATGTGCGGCCCTGTCGTATTCTATTCGGATTACATCAATTTTATAGAAGGCACCTGTGTTGAAGGGGTAAGACAAACTCCTCTGAATAATATGTATAATTCTTTATGAACTGTCACCCCGTACATTATTTATTTATGCCATGTATACATACCAGAACACATATATATATCAGAAGGAGACTTTGTACAAAAGTCGTTTGCTTGGATACCTCTGTCCCATTCGTGTTTCAACCGTAAAGCAGTTGTGTTTGCATGGCTGTGTTTCGGTTTCAAGGATGGGATATGGCGTGAATTTACAGGGTACAGAGAAATAATACCTGAGTCCTCAGGAATGGCAACCCATGGGGGGTATCATGGGCGAAACAGTATACTCTGTTATGTTCATGGTACTGCTTATGTCTATAGGCGACGGTTACCACTTTCCATCAGGTGGGCCAACAGCTTGTTTGCCATTCTAAGTTGTATAAAAAAAATTGCATAATTTTTATGCAGTAAGAATTTAACGGCCTACCTGATGGAAATTTATAACCGTCACATTGCTTGCAGGCGTAAACAATACCATGGACATGACAGAATATCATATAATCCATACTCATATAATAAAGTTCTAATATTTTTTAGAATTTCTGTTAGTCTGTATATTTATTCTGGCATTATGCAAAAACTACTACACCTAATTCAGTGTATTCCCAATAGTAGAATTTAATTATGAAACCGTAATAAGTATACGAATATACATATATACATTTACATATGTATATTAGTATACTGATTACGGTAACATAACGGTAACTACATACGATACATTTATTGTTTATAAAAGATAGGTATAAATTAAACAAGTAGTCAATGTCGGCATAGATACTGTAAGCGCGGTGATTGATCGTCACTTGCAAACATATTGGTATCAATTTACTCATGGGCGAATTGTGTTTGTCAAGTGCACGTAATGATTGCTTTATTGTGTATCTGTATATCTATTATTATACTCGTAGAACAGAAATATAACTAGCGGGTGTATATTACGAGTAAAAATACATGTGATTGGTAGTTTAGCTCCGCAACAGTTATCGATAATCTATTTATCTTCACATCAAGTGTCCTTGCAGGGTAGGCAGAGAGAATATTTTAATAATTTCTATTTTCATTCTAAGTCAAATTCTAATTTATAATTTAAAATCATTAGTATGCACTTTTTTTCCTTACTAATTTGTAATATAACTATTTAGTTATACATGATCCTACTGCTATTATAAACTATATATATATATATATTCTCTATAATGTATAACACACGTACGTAAACACTGAATTTGAATGACATGATTTTTGGCACGCGGCTAAATTTACATATATGCAAACTTAACATATAGAACACCTTATATATGAAAGTCGCGGGATATAGCTAGTATGTATGTATAGTAGATATGCTGATTAAAATCTAAGGTGGCATTAAAATATACCTTTTTAAAAAGCTGGCAGTACACTTGCAATTCCACTTTGAACTTACCAAACAAGTGTACTGCATGCTCGTTTGCCCTATGTTATAAAAAAAAATCGCGCGATAAATTTTACAGTGCCCTACCCTTATCCCTCACCCCTGACTCTACCCTACCGTACCCTTAGTCGAATTATATTTTAGGTAATTTATGACAATAATATTTATTAGGTTGGAAAGGATAAAAGTAGTACGGAACCTTCACCTCGTCGAGCTGTAATATACAAGGTGGGAGGATCCGTGGCTGCTGCAGTGCTCTACCTGACGCTGGCGAAGAAATACCCATTAACAGTATTAGAAGGTATGTATCTTATGAAAATTTTCCATAAAATATAAAGCAAATATTTTTTTTATACGACTTAGAATGGCAAACAAGTTGACGGCCCACCTGATGGAAAATTGTAACCGTCGCCTATAGACATGAGCAGTACCATGGACATAACAGACTATACTGTTTCGCCCATGATACCCCCCATGCGTTGCCATTCCTGAGAACTCAGATATTATTCCTCTGTACCCTGTAAATTCACTGCCATATCCCACCCTACAAACCAAAACACAGCCATGCAAACACAACTGCTTTACGGTTGAAACACGAATGGGACAGAGGTACCCAAGCAATCGACTTTTGTACAAAGTCTCCCTCTGTTGCCGTAGAGAGCTGGCAGTTCATAATAGAAAATGGAAATCCAAATCATTGATATTCCATTAAGAGAGTTTTCCATCTGAAACTATTATTTTTTTAAAGACTAAACTTGAAAGACGAAAAAAAATTGACCCCTTTATTTATTTTTAAATAATTTAAATTATTTAACTTTAAAAAGCAATACTTAATACGATTGCCGTTTGTTTTACAGAGCTAACCGATCCAACTTCTGAGGTGTCTCGGTCGTGGTCCGCAGTGTATTTGCTGTGGTATGCATACTTGTCGACTTTAGTAGTTCGCTGCAAATACTACCACGCGTGGCTGCTCTCCGAGGCCATCTGTAACAACTCCGGCATGGGCTTCAATGGCTACGATAACGACGGCACACCCAAATGGGACAAAATGTCCAATATTGATGTGTTTGGATTTGAGGTGTGTATAATGTCCGTATTACAGTACAATTTTTAGATAAAAGTTGCATAAAAGCGTAATATGTATGAGAATAAAATTACTAGGTAGTGGGTACAGTGATTTAAGATTTTTCGTGTAAGGTTCAGATACGCCTGGTATCTGGGTGTTTACTATTTGGCGTATGGTATGCTTGATTGCCATCCAAGTTTTTCAGTTTAATGTGTTCTATCATTTAGAAACAGAATTTTAGCAACGCTGAGATTTGAATTCGGAAAGTTGTAATTTATACTTATAATAAATCTGTAGAGAGGTTAATTCTGTACATGAAATATATTTCCAAAATAACTATCAGGGGGTGATTAGTGATCGATACTGATGCCAAAAATGCAATCAGTAAAAATTTTGTCTGTCTGTTCGTTATAGAAACAAAAACTACTCAACAGATTTTAACGAAACTTGGTACAATTAATCTTCATACTCCTGGGCAGGTTATAGTATACTTTTCATCACGCTACGATCAATAGGAGCAGAGCAGTGAAGGGAAATGTTGGGAAAACGGGATAAGTTACTACATTTTTAAGCTGCCGTCGCATGTGCAGCCTTAATGGCCACTTTTTAAAAAGTAAAAATGTCCACCCGTGCGAAGCTGGGACGGGCCGCTAGTTACAAATATTTTTGAGTCTTGGTAGTACGTCACTAGTGTACGATTCTCTCTAAAATATACATATTTAATTAATTCCTTGTGTAATTTGTTTACGAATGAGTTACTCATGTTACAGCATAACACTTCATCGTGGTGCTGTATTTTAATTACGTATGTTTGGCGAAACGTATAACCTAAACAGTTTGATGGATTTAAATAATTGAGATGTCGTTATATCCTCTCTTATAAATAGTATAAAAAAAACATAGCAACTATAAACAGACAATAACTTGGGAAAATTGTCAGCCGAATTTATTTCACTTTTTCCAAACCCCAAATGCGTTGTAATATGTTTTCAAACGTGCTTACACAGTTGGCGCAAAACTTCCGTACGGCAGTAGCGAGTTGGAACAAAAACACTAACGCATGGCTACGCGGCGTGGCATACTCGCGCGGCGGGGCTGCTTTTCGTACAGCGCGGGTATACATGCTATCCGCTGTGTGGCACGGTTTCTACCCTGGCTACTACATGACCTTCTTCGCCGGTGGAATCTTCACGGTCGCCGCCAGGAACGTACGTATGGCCCTCAGTTCACCTTAGCGTGACACTTCATGCTCTCTGCTAAATATTCTGTATGTAATTATTAAATTGTAAAATAAAAGAACAAAGTAATGTTTTCATGATGAGAGCTGAATATTGAAACCGGCAAAGAAAGAGAAGGAATCTTATTAATATAATAAAATTGTGACTAAAAAATGTTTGTACATAGATATTTAGGAAAAATTATATGAGGGGTCTTAATAAGACCAATAAAAGCCAAAATATTTTTGTTTTTCAAATTTTGTTTGTTTGTTCCAGCACCACGCAAAAATTACTACACTAAATTGGATGTAGTTTTCATTTTTATGTTTCTAAAGGTCCAACTTAAAATTTGATATACACTATCTGGAAGTGATAAATTTAAGTGGTTTTCTTATTTCTGAAATTCACGTGTATGTAGTAGCGGGCAAAAAGATAGTCTAAGATAAAACAACTAATAAACTCAGTATAAAAAAAAAAAATACTGACGTGAAGAAGAAGGCTCTCCATTTCACACTTTTTTTTCGAACATTTAACCGAATAGTCTCTTATTAATCTCGTATTCTCATACTTTATTCAGAAAGTTTGTTTTTAGTAAATTGTAGATACAACTATGGACATATTTTTATAATGTAATAGTATTAGAATGTGATTAGAAAGAAATAATATTTAGATTTGCCAATTTTAAGTCTTCTATAATAGTCTATTGGGATTTTTACATTACTAGATGTAAAAATCCCAATAGACTTATCTTTATTAAAAAATAAATTATCGTATGCTAGTAACATAAAAATTCTGACTTATTTATGCAGGTACGAACAGTGGTCCGCCCCATGTTCCTGGAAAGTCGCCCTAAGAAGATTTTCTATGATCTACTCACATTCATAACAACACGTGTTGCAATGACGTATGCCACGGTGCCATTTATTCTTCTACATCTTGGACCTAGTCTCGCTTTCTATGGGTATGGTTTTATTTTTTGTTCTTGTACACTTATTTTACTGTACAAACAATAGGGTTCTACATATTATCTATATCTACTTTTTCTGTTAACATAATAGTCCACACTTTCGCGATTTTGTTTTTGTAAGTACCTTTCCAAAAGGAAAAAAATCAATTTCATCCAAAGGACCGGGATTTTGAAGTTTTCTTCGAACATCGGCCATTTAGATTACAACAGCCTTATATTCACAACAATAAATTACTTTTGACTCTTGTGGAATTACAATCGTGAACAAAAATATTTTTACCCCACTAGTACTTAAAGAAAAGGAAGAAAATAAAAAGAAGGTAATGTCATTTAATTTATACTTGTATCATTATGTAGCTTATACCAGTGCTTATAGGTTACATGGTATTTAAAACATTAAATTTATCTTTTGAACTATATGTTATTGATCAATAAAATGTAAGTAAATATAAATGAAAGTATAAGTATGACTGTTTTAAACTATTAAAACTTGCAGAATTTGACTATCGAATATTTTATCTATGTCATTTTGAAAAATCTTTTGTAAAAATTAATTACTATATTATATTGTTTCAGGAAACTGTATTATTCATTGCATTTCATTGCCTTAGGTGCAATGCTACTGCCATCGTCGAAAAGGCGCTCTCCTAGTGCCGCACAATCAAACCATGAGCTTCCACAATTATCTTCCAAATCAAACAAAGATAATTTTTCTATACATGAAATGAATGGAGATAGCAATGGTAATCTGAAAATATCTTAATTGTGTATTACATTACGTTATTGTATAAGAAAAATATTTTTAACACACAAGTTGGAGGTGTATTGATATCTGCAATCTTTTTAAGTTAACGGGTGCCTACCCCATTTCTACTCACTTTCAACATAATTGATTTTCGAACTATTGTCGCCATATTATTATAATTCATTCCTTTTTTCCTCGTAAACGAATATGCATTTGATAACTTAAAATTTAAATCAAAAAGCACAAAGAATAAATTATAAATGTTATGTTTAGGAAAATAAAACCTTGGTTATTTTAGTAAAAAAAAAAAAAGAATAGCAGTTAAACACTCCTTTCATTATGTCCAGTAAGTGAGCACATTCCATATGGAAATTAAGAAAACTTGAAACAAAACGTAACTCTTGGAATGAATTGAAACATTCCAATTTTACACATTTTGATATTAATGAGTGCTTGTTTTACCGGCGTAATATTCATAGACCAGTATTATATATTTATATAAACACAAGTATTTTAGCGTTTGCTATAACCATTTTGTCTTTATACCAGTTTAAAAAAATCTTAAATAGTTAAACTATTTAAGATTTTTTTTACACCCTTTCCTACAAATGTTCATTGATTATCTTCAAATTGAAGGTACATTAGAAAAAGATATTTATATAGCCATTGCAAAATATCTCGTAATGTCAGACCCGTTAGGCCTGTGTAAATACCTTTAACTCGTTAAATTACATATGAAAGAGCACTTAAGAGTTGCGTAGGCGATGAACATTTGTCCGCCGAGGATAAAATTTTCCCTTTTGTGCAGCTAACATTGTAATCTGTGCACTAGCGCGGACATATGTATGTCGTAGCATGCATGTGTTCTATTATGACAGATAAAAATATACGGCGATGATCGTCCGTTGTTTACATTAGGCCTTTATTGTGATGAATTTTTACATTTTTTTATCGCAGAATAAGAAAAAATATACATTATTCACGAAAAGCCTTATACCTATCTTCCAATTGTGCATCGCGGCGTTAATCGCGGTAGTAAAAACAAACATGGTCTGCCCGATCATACATAGTTACCGTAGTCTAACACATGGACATAAAGTTTCAAAGCTTCAGCCAGTGACCAATCTTAGTAATGCATGCTGTTTGCATTACGAATTTATTTGTATATTTTAAAGACTTAGGTATGTGGCATAGTAGTGCTTACATTATGTGAATGAAATCGCATTTTGGGTTCTGTTTTCGGTTGTGCTATTTTAAGAAATTATTTTTTGTAAACACAAAATACTTTTATATCGTGAGATTGCTTACTGGCTGTACAAGGCTTTATAATAATATATATATTTTTTTGTTTTTTTTTTATGTTAATGATCAGTATTTAATATATTTTTAGATGCTATAGTTTACAGTTAACAGTTATTATTATTATTAAATGTCTGTATTACATAGAGCCTATATTTAGGCAAAGCGTATGTTGAGAATCTAAGATGCAGATACTGCAGCGTAGCATAATATAAAATGACAGAGCTTAGAAATCAATGCACATAAATGGTACATTTCTACAAATAACATGTATCTGCTCATAGTATTTGATAAGCGTCTATTTTTTGGTTGATTCATGAAAATAAACTCAAAAAGAAAATTTTGCATGAAACAATAAAAAAACAAATATACAAGCGTCGCAGTGAGACACGTTGCTTGCGTTCTCAGCATATTCTTAGCCTTATACTTAACATCCTTTAGTATTTGACAGTATTACTTGATTCGACCATCCACTGAGCAAACTGTAGAAGATTTTCATTTAATAACAAACCGACTATATCATAGATACATAATGTATTGTTTAATACAACATTGTGATTTTTAATATGTTACCATTTGGTAACAATTTTGTCAGTATATAATTGATATATTATTTATGGTTGGATTAAGATACTGAGTAAATTATTCGCATGTAACATTTTATCTAATAAAAATAGTGTCGACATTATCACATATCATAAAAATGTAAAGAAATATGATAAAATCAGTTTTGTTATTAAATTATAGTTTAACATAAAAATAAGACATCTCGAACAACTTTCTAGTTATAACGCACAAAAACTAACGTATCATTTAAGTTTATATTTTAAGGTGCATCCAGGTTTCAGTTGATTTGACAAAATTATGATGTTTTATAATTTACAATAACAAAGAATTAACATCCTACTGCTGGACAAAATACTCCATAAGAGGAAAGTAGCCTACTAATAGCAATCTGGGGAAGCGGCTTGGGATATTGCTTCGAGATTTTCTCTTGTACTTGTGTATCACTTGTCAAATGGGAGTAGAAAAGGAGTGATGACACATTTCCTACTTTATCAACAAAACGGGGGTCAGTTACCAACGAAATTGGCGAATTGAATATTCTCTTGGTTAATTATTAGAAAAATGTAAATAGTTTAGAAAAAAAAAAAAAATAGAAACTTCTTAGAAATACAGAATTTTAGACAAGTAACATCCGTTAGTAACAAGTGAGAGTAATATCCCAATTTTCTCAATGGACTAAATCACTTTACAGTGATATTAAGGCAATTTTTATGCTTGCTAATTTAATTAATTGTTATTGTAGATATAATGACACTAATGATTTAAAACACTATTCAAACGCAACCCTAAAACGTTTTTCCCTATTTATTTTATTTACATATTATGTAACAAGGGTAGGTACGAGTCGGTAAATTAAGTGCCTGTTCTACGAGTTGCAAATAAATTCTCTGATAAAAAAAATGTTGATCCTATGTGGGCTTTTGTAATTTTTATGTTTAATTTTCCGATTTATGTATTACAAATTGTTTAGTTGATACATTTTTACCCAGTGGAGTTTTATAGGGTTAAAATGTATTATGCAAACAAGTTAATATCATTTGTCAAGAGGTGGTATGCTTTTAATCTAAAAAAAAAAAAAACTTATTAACAAGAACTATTCTGTTGAATCGTGGTAGAAACATGTACAAGATATCATGGCGGACGATATACCCAAATTATATAATTACCTAAGCATACTTTTATACTCCTAAGAAGATCAGACAATTCTAGTTTCATATCTATACTTTGAATTCATATATAAACTTTGTTATATAAAAGTATTACTAATATACAATAAAGTGAAATAAGTAAAAATTTTAGACATGATTACATATTTGTTGATAATACAAAGTAATTACTAAGAGCCTATTTTTTCGTAATCGTAACCATAAATGAAAATATTTTTGAATAACATAATTGTGAAAAGATTAACCATATACATTATAAAATATTTCTACTAATAAGAAACCTAGAAAATGCATCAAAGTACCTGATTTGAAAATTTTAATGTTTATTATTGTTGTATACAAATGATTATCATAATTATTTGCATTTTCCTTCAAAGTTACCAAAATGACACCTGTATCAAACTGATACCCACCTAAAGCCTATTATAACAAATTAAACAGAATCTAAATCTCTTCCAATATAATTTCTATGTAATTATATAGATATTTTCCTCTGTGTAGATAGATATTCTAAAATCTCTAAACTGCTTTAAACCCGCCCTTATGCACACCTACCCTCTTTTCCCCCCTCTTGAAATTGTTTTTTTTTTTTTTTTTTATTTTAAAATAGCGAAAGTGCCATTCGTTTTATAGATAGCAATTATTATTTATGAACTCCAGATTGGCAGTTTAAAATCCATAAAAATTAAATTATATTTCGACTCCTCGTCTAGTTAGGACGTATAATGTGTAGTTAGCTGCTATAGTCTACACTATGATACATCACAGTTGATATTTTATCTGAAGAAATGTTAAAAAAAAAATGTAATACACACGTTATGTCAATCTCATATTTGCATAAAACAGTCATCTTAATAAATTTTAAATTGTGTGTAAAGTTATAATTGATTGGATAATTAAGAAAAAAATACATGCTAAGATTGTTACTGTATATGAAAGTATAAATATGTATATTAAATAATTAAATTTCTATTTTTACTGAGATGACAAATTAATAAATAAAAATATGTACACGAGTAGACAATCGAAAAGGATAGTTGATTCCAGTGTGTGGGCATGGAATTTAAAAGTAGAAACTATAAAGAAGGAGTTTGAAAACTTAATCATGAAAACGGGTTTTGTTGTTATATTACTAATTTATACTTTAATATATACTTTGAGTATCAATTTTTTTACTTTATAATAACCATCTAATTCTAGCTAAATATCGAAAAACATTTGCCAGCATTATAATAAGAATAGACTGGGTAAACGTAACACTCGTGTACTTTATGATATACTTCACAGTGTGACCAAAATGCATTCTTCTTCCCTTTAGATTCTGCATAGGTTAAAAAAGTTGTCATAAAATACGCATTTAATACATAATTTTACGAGATGAGATACCGTACACGACACTTGTGCGGCGTAAACGAGTCACATCTTGTCACTGCGGTGTCTGTTGCTTGCGAGCTTAATTTAGCTATTAATTAATAGGAAACCGTCAACATGCCAATTGTTATTATTATTGAAATTACGGAAATGTCAGTTCTACTTGGATTGATTCTTATGGATACATTATTATTTTCGAAAGGGTTTGGTATGGATAGCAAGTTATAACATGTGAAATATTTACCTCGTCTATCTATTATTATTACATGTTGTTTGGTTGTGCCTTAAATAGCTAATTTTTACATGAGTGATGGAAATAAAACTACTCAAATGCATAATAAACAGGCACTTTCTTAACCTTACAGTTTCAATTTGCAAAACTATTTATTTTCTGTTATTCTTTATTACAATAATATAATGGTTTTATGGTTGTAATACCTATTTATCTAATTATTGCTTGAACCCGATTATTTAATAGTTTACATTTTTAATTTATTGTATATTATTTTGTTAGAGCAGAGGTCTGTTTTAGTTACATTATCAGATGTAGGTACTATGGTTATGTCATACTAAAATGTCAATGGTTTCTATGTATCAACTTGGCTAATAATGATGCCAAAGTAGGGATATAATTATAAATTAACAAAGTATAATAGTAAATATTATGTAACTTTTTAAACTGATAAATTTAGGATGAGAGGAAAGATATTACCTCAATATGGAATTGTATAATTTTGTTAACATTTAAGTAATATAAGTATTTTACATGGTTGCAAATAAATTTACATATATTTTAATATATTTTTGGATGGTTTCATTAGTGTACTATAATACACAAAAACTTTTACCTATGACAGTTTATAAGTGGATACCTTTGAAATAGGTATTTTAGATCATCTATTACTGTTATTCATGTATGGCATAGACTAAACTGAAACCACATATTTTGCAATTTTGAACAAATTTTACAAGATTGACAAAGATAGGTCATATTTTAATTAAATTATCTCGTTAATTCTTATAATCAGTTTCAGCATAGACTAACATTTAGTTTAGATTTGGCAAATGATGTGGAAAAATACCCATTACCCATTTTTTAAATTACTAAATATTTGAAATCACAATAGATACAATGTTTCAAACAATGTTTTCAAGAAATGACACTGTATTTTATATAAAATTATATGCAATTCTTGAAAAAATTAAAAAAAAAAAACTAATTCATAAAAGGTTTTTTTTTTAATTGCTTCTGTGTAAATTATTCTTCTAATATGTTTCTGAGTAATGTTAGATTATAGGTACAATATAGAAAAAAAAAGCTTAATTTCAGTTATATAATATTTCAATATACAATTAATATTATTTATTACTTTTTACTTGTTCTTATATGAACAAAGGCTTGCCTTATGCAGTAGAGTGCACCAGGTAGGTCATTTGTTTCTTTGAATTTCTTTTGCACTTCTTTAAATATAGGTAACTTAGGTGTAACATTTAGTACTGAAACAAAAAAAAATATATAATCATTATTATTAAAGGAAAAATAATATACACATAATATTCTATTCAGATTGGTTCTTAATTCATAATTTTCAGGTATAATTGTGTGTCATGTATTAAAATGGACCAGGGCCATATTTTGTTCTGAAATATTTAGAGTCAACAGAGAACAAATTATACATAGAAATAATATAAAAAAATACAGCTAAAATCTATAGATAATGGTTACCACTTTCCATCAAGTGGGCCATCTGCTTGTGTACCATTCCAGGTTACATAATAAGAAAGACTTAGTAAGTTCTAAATTAATCTGATATAAAAAGCATGTTTGTCACAAAGAAGAGGCATCAGCAATCATAACATTTAGAGATAACAGGAGTATAAAAAGCAGTGTAATAAGATTATATAAAAAATTATACAATCTTACTATACTCACTTGACTTTATTGGACTTGAAACAAGTTATGAACAAATTAAGTACTTGAAAAGTCATATCCTGCTACTTTTCAACCACATACTTACAATCATAATTTCCTGATTTAGAATCACGTGATAAACTTAAGGAATAATTATCAGAATCCTTTTTGTTTTCAGTAAAGAATTGTATAAAAATTACTAGTTTCTCAGTGCTTCTGGACTCAATGGTATAATACATCTTTAGAAACTTTTTATAATACTTCTTAGCCATCAAAAATGCTTCATGTGTTTCTTTTATTTCTTGAGAAAGAAGTTTTTGATCTGTAAACAGTATAAATTTTTTTTGATAAATAACAATAACTGTAATGTTATGAATATAACATAACATGATAACATGCATTAATTTGTAGAAAATTAACATTTTGCAATATTTCAAAAATAGATATGTGATTATAATATTTGTTATAAATATGTAATTGGATTTAAAAATAATGTACATACAATGTTAATTATTGATAATGCTGAAAACAATGTTAAAAATGATCAATATGTTGTGAGTGTACTCTATAACAAATAATCAGTGTGTTTTTTTGTATTTATTAATATTTGTCTTACCTTGTTTACATTGTTCATAACGTGTCTGACGTCGTGCAATTTCTTCCAATTTTACCTCAATATCTTGCCGAAGTTGTTTATTTTTATCTATGAGATTTTTAAGTTCATCGTCATCGTGATGTTGAGCCATATTCACATTGTAATTATAAGTTGGACTTTTAAACCCATCATCAAGAAGCTTGATGATATGCTCATTCATATTATTAACTTTCAAATTAAATTCAGAAAAATTTTCTTTCTCAATATCATGTAAATCAAACTGGAAGTTCCAGACATCCTCTATAACGCTCATTATTGATAAATAAACTGGCAGGCACTATTTATTTAAATAAAATCCGATAATAACATTAAAACAACTGTATTTGTTGACTACAAGTAACGATTTTCTGAATTTAAATTGTTTTGATTTTGAAATATGAAGGAGTGTCGCAACCAAACTGTCAATGTCATACATGACACTATTCTACACCATCTATGTACAGAAATTTTAGATAAAAAATAATTTATGGTTAGAAATTGGAAAAAGCATTTACACCACAATACACACTTTCATCAATTAAATAATATTTTTAAGGATCATAATGGAATGGTAACACCCACTGCGTAAATACGCTGGCGGGCTACTAAGACTCTAATAAGGGGTGATAAATAAGTATCACAGTAATGACTGAGCATGTGAGACTGAAACGCACACCAAAACTCACACGTTCACTTTATGTGTTTGTAACATACAGAGTGACCGTCACGGTTAATTATTTATTGACTGCTCTCGTTTCTAATTACCCCGATCTAGGTGTATATGAAAATGAATACATTTTTGGAAGATTTTAAGAAAATCAGATATTCATTTCAAGAAAACTAAGTGATGTAGTTAACATCAAATACCCAAATTTTAAAGATTATGTTCCCGGATTGTATGCCGAATCATCAAATGTTACTTTAATAGATTAATATGAAAAAAATTAATCCAAATTTTAATTTGTTCTTATTCACCTCATTTTACAGTCTTTGGTTTCGATCTGTCAATGTCAAGTTGTTGTCAATTTATTGTATTTTTAGTAGTTAATCTTTTTTTGTATTCTAAAATATTATATTACCCTTAAATGTGGAAAGTATTTCAATATTTTGTTATGCAGAAATCAAACCCTCTTATAATAGAAGATATATAATGTATTTAATTGTTAACCCATGAAACAAAGAAGAAACATACGACGTTAATAAATGGGACTACTATTAATATCAGGTACTGTTTTATTAGTGAAGCGAAATATTTTTGCTTAATATACAGGAAATCATAGTTAATAATTACACGTCTTTATATATTTCAGATTTTAAAGAGTATTTACGGAAGATCGCTACAGAATCGCTTTCTTATCATTATGTTTTATAGCATTTACAATGAAAAACTGACTGCAACAACTAAGAGTGTTCGTGTAATTGATAAGAACTTTAACTTTTTAGAGATCTTTCAGTATATTTTGTCCAATGGGCCATTGTCTCAGTTGTTTCAAGAATCAAGCTAATGCAGATATTACAACATCTCAAAGGAAGAAAGATGGTGAATATAACATTTTTATAAATATTTTATTGAAAATTTTTAACATTTTTCATAATATTAAGTAAGGAGGTATTAATGCAATGCTTATCATTATTTTCAGAGATGACAGAAATTGTCACTACAAACCAAGTGCCTGCTGTCATGGTATCAGATTATCCTCAAGAAGAACCACTTCTTCGTGATAATGAAAATAGTATTACTTGTTATAGAAACAGCACCAATTTACAAAATACCAACACGGTAACTTCATTTGGGGAGCCTTGTTCAACAGAGGTAAACAATTTGCATAAAACACAAGCAAGTTGTGAAAAAACTCCTAAATTATTTTATCAAAAGTTACCATCAATACCACGTACAATGTCATCACTAGGTTCAAGTGATCTAAGAATATCTGAAAACAAGATACATCAATTATTTGACCAATATAAGGATTCATTAGAAGATACAATATTAGCTGAAGGTATTGAGAATCTATGTAATGATTTACAATTGAACCCTGATGATTTTAAAGTTTTAGTACTTGCTTGGAAGTTAAATGCTAGTCAAATGTGTAGATTTACAAAGTTTGAATTTGTACAGGGGCTGAAGGATATGAAAACTGATTCTATCAAAGGTATACAGCAGAAATTAAATGAAATAACTAGTGAATTAAAAACAGATTCTGAGCATTTCAAAGATTTATATAGATTCACTTTTAAATTTGGCCTAGATGTAAGTACAGGCCAGCGCATACTGCCAACAGACATTGCTATTGTCCTCTGGCGCCTAGTTTTTACTAATAATGAACCTCCAATACTAGATAGATGGTTGGGTTATCTAGAAAAAAATAATCACATAAGAGGTATTCCGAAGGATACATGGTATATGTTTTTGAACTTTTGTGAGTTTGTAGGGAATGATCTCAGTACCTATGATGATACAGAGGCTTGGCCTAGCCTTTTTGATGATTTTGTGGAATATGAAAATGATCAAATGAACCAGAATGTAACAAAAAATGACATAAAGATACAGGATTAAAATTCTATGTTTGCCAAATTTTAACTATTTTAGGTACTTAAATAAAGATATTGAGACTGATAATCCATTAAAAATGTCTTATAATATGGTTATTCCTGTGTCATAAAGTGGTGTAAGAGTAAGATAAAGGATGTTTTAATATTACAATGAGCAAAAAGAATATGAATGCAGTGCATGTAGGAGGTACTAATGAGATTCAAAATGATTTAATGTATATATATATATGTGTTAAAATTAATTAATTGCAGAAGTATTTGTACTTTTGTGTCTAGTTATAGACTTAAGAATAAACATTCCAGGAATGGAATTAGCCAAAATCTGTATATAATTATAAATATCTTTGCAATTTTGGTTGCTTAAAATATTAAATTATAATGATGTACCATAATTATGTAATTTTTTTTCTTGCTGCCACCATCATTTAGATGTTGCACCAACTGAAAATTGTCAAAGCTAAAAATATAGAATTATAGAATTTAATCCATATAAAGTTTTTATTTATTAAAAAAAATTGCATCACAGTCTGTACATTTGTACTTAACATTAAATATTTTTTTATTGATTACACATTGTATTTCTCAATTACTTTCTGCCTCCTTTGCCTAGGCGTCATATAAAAACTACTGGATTGATTTTAATAAAACTTACATATGTATACTCATATGAGTTTTGAAAATTTATGCCAAATGTTGCAATGTTCGTTTGAATGGCACTAGGTTATTGCAAGGTTGCAATAAACACGCTAAATACCAAAATCGCACGCCACTCTGGTTGTCATCCAATGTAAGCATGAGCAATGAGTCTGTATCTATCATCACAGATTACATTTTATTAGTTTTTTTTTTAATGAAAATATAATGATGGTACTAGGTAAACGATAGGCGAGGATAAAACGAGTCAGTTAATTCATCGCAGCAAATATTACTGACCTTTCTTCCCAAACGTACGTCAAGGATTGTATTGTCAGGTGCAAGCGAAGTTACCATTCTATTCTTATAAGCCAACTTTTGCGACTTCATCCTCGTATATCATCTTCATGGACCCACTTATATCCTACCAGCGTATACAGAAAGCAAATGCAGGTTATATTTCCATTATTACGCATTAAAAATCCGTCACATCACACTTGCCACAGGTAAGTACATGGCTAAAACAAAGTTATATTCCACGGAAAATAGTCTCGTTAATCTGCACAGACCATTTCGAATTAACTCGCATAGTTGAATTATGGACTTCAATAGAAGAATATGTTGCTAATAGTAATCTAAAAATACTAAATTTTATAGACCATTTAAAAATACAAAATTTCAATCTTTTGTGTATTGAAATTTGAGACAGGGAACTAATGCATGTCATATTATTTTGTAGGTAACTCACAGATGTTCCAATCGTGCCTCAATCAAGTAAATTAATTTTTAATATCAATAGCTTGTTGTGAAATAAGGTTTAAAATAACAAGTACAATAGTATTAATAAAATTTTATTTTATTTTAAACAAAATAATATAGTTGCAGCCTGCCAGTGGTCGCTCGGTGTGGAGGCGCGCCGGTGCGCGAGGCGAGCGAGGCGCTTCTACAAGGCACTGCAACGCGGAGCTCGCCTCGCGCCTTTCTTATTTACGTACTTCTCTCTACTGCAAGCGTTTCGACAAAATAAACTATAGCACGAGGTGGACCTACTCAGGGACCACGCGCGCCTCGCATCTTGTCCACTGATATACACAAAATATTATAATAATATACAATCATCTCTAGACGTAAATCTGATTATATTAAAAAAGCTGAAAATTTATAAATCCATAATATACATTTACTATAACAATTCGGAGGTTGAGCCGAAGTTATAAGAATTAACTTTCTTGATAAGAACCACCGTTACATTCTGCGCAACTTTCCATAAGTACTCTTCCCTACATTAATACTTGATGCATGAATAACAAGCTAATATTGAAAGTATTTTGAATATAGACCGTCGCGGCGACGGTTTACTAATCGAGGCCGCCTCGCAATAGGGTATGGTCATAATTATAATCATAATTTAAGAGTAAATAAAACATCGACGTTTCAGTGTTTCCCAATTTTTCACATTTTTGAGTTTTATCTTGACAACATTGGGACACATTTTCGTCAGTAGAAATTGGTCACTAAAGCAATAAATTATAATCTAAGCATAATTCGATACAAAAAGTATTGCAGATATAATTAACTTTAAAAACAGATACCACCGAGACAACTGTTGATCTATGCAAATAAAATGTGACTTCAGTCAGAGACTAATCACAAATATCTTTTATAAATATGTGTACTGTATATCAAACTACTAAAAAATAAAAACATAATTTTGCATTTAAAATAGGAAACAGTACTAATAACCGTTATAACCATAATATGTGAAAATATAAACACTAGCAATTTGTTACGTGAGTCAGCAGGTTGGACTAGGGAGGAACGATAATGGTAATAAAAAATTAAATTGTTGTTTAGTTACTCACTAACGCCAACCTGATGATTATCGTAACAAATTAGTACATGAGAGCCTTATCCATCGTACACCGTCATTGCCGAGTAAAATATAACAAAGGGGTTAATGACTTATTATTACGATTTCGTGGTATAATATCGTAATCGATAAGTTTTTATTCATAATTAACAGAAACGATCGTTAGTATTTTGGAACTCTACACGATTATTTGCATAGCAAATATATACAAGTTATGAAATAACTACGCCGTTTTCATCCCTATATCTGGGGTTGTAAGGCTAGGCGAATAATGCAAAAAACATGAGTTCCAACGATGAGGCTTAAAACTAAAAATTTCTATGCATCAAGTGACACAGATTAACAAAACGTAGTTCCTCGTCCAGAATAATACAAAAATTGTAAGATTTTTTTAATTATAAAATAACGAAACTGAAAACACAAATATATCAGGTAGAGTTCCAGCACGAAATGTATACTGTTATGGCAGTAGCTGTAAAACATTATTTTGATCGGGACTAGCACTGCTATTTCAATAAACAGGCAAAATATACACTTTCTTAATTAGAAATGATGAAGCAATAATACACTCGAGCTCTCACATGGTACAGATCCCAAAATCAGGATTACATTTTACATGCATGTCTGTTGATATAGGTTTTGGAAAGGCCTATCCTAGCTAAATTACAAATTGTAGTGCCAATTTACTCAATCACTTTTAGGACTTTACCAATCGCAATAGTTTTATCTGAAACAAAAAATATATATTGTGCTATATAGACTAATAAATATAGAAGTACTGCTGTGTGTACAGCTATACTAATATAATAAGAGTGTGTTTGAATATGCCTTTGGAAATTCCAGTCGAGTGTGAAATATTCTTTTTGCATATGATAGATAATTTTTTTTTGTACAACTTTGAATGGCAAACAAAGTACTCACCCGATGGTAAGTGGCAACCATTGCCTATAGACATGAACAGTACCATGGACATAACAAAGTATACTGTTTCATCCATGATACCCCCCCACCCCCCTTATGCGTTGCCATTTCTGAGATGTATTGAATAAATTATATGCTACAAATTAATAATGACTTTTTTATGTCAATTTAATTAACATCAATCCACTAGATTTATGAAATAACGAAATCTACAATAATATATGAAATTTTATATGGGAAATAAAATATCAGAGAATTCACATCACTTACTTTCGTCTCTTAGTGTGAATCTGCCCATTTGAGCAAATTTCTTGAATGGTTCTAAACAAATGACTCCCGCGCATTCTATCCTCATGATGGCCACTTGGTCCTGTTTGACGAAGCGCGGTCTCGTCTTCGACTTTTCGCCCGTCTTCTTATCAACCAAACAGATTAGCGCCTGCAAATATACAAATTGTCAGCCCATTTGATGTAAAATGGTAACTGTCGTCTATAAACATGAACAACGTCATCACCGAATATACTGTAATGTCTATCGTATTCCTCATATATTGCAATTCCTGTGAATTATGGTGTTAAGCTCATTCAAACCAAAACACAGTCAAGCAAACACCAGAAACAGGAGTGGGACATATGCACCCAATCAGACAAATTATGTAAAACTAACCATTTCCTGCTGCGTTACCCGCTTCTATGAAGTTCCTGTATACATGTACATTCCCATTGGAACTCTTCATGAATCCGGTCTTATATTGTATTATATACTTAAATGATAATTACATACCTAATATGTTCATAAAGTGTCAGCCAATTCAACTAATCGGTTATTGTATAGCATTTTATATGTGATTCTTTAGATTGATATTGAACCAATTGAAATAAAACAAACACTAAATGTTAAGTGGAATAAACCACAACACATTAGTAAAAACCGCATTTAAATCAGTTAAGCCATTTCTGAGATTAGCGTGCACAAACAGACAAAAGTTGTAAAAATCATTGTTTTGGGTTCCATTGCGTTCATAAAGTCCCCCTATAATAGGTTTTCTTATATATCTTACATATACAGACAGTGATCAGTTACAATTTTATTATATGTATTGATGTTGCTCAGGTAAACAAATTATTTATATATGAATTTTATCATCAATACTTTGACTATTGTTTCCGAAAATATTTATAAATATTAATTAAAATAAACGGTTATAAATATTACCTTAACAGTGACTTCTTCAGCTGCACAATGTATGTGCATAACTGCAGAGTAACCGGCGCAGATAATAGATTTGTGCTCCAAAATTACAACTTGAGCATCAAAAACCTGAGGAAACAAAAATAAATTTTATATATAAATACACTCAGATATTTGGGCCGTGTAATCCCGCATTCATATAATAATAAGTCAATACTAACAAAATATAAAATTTATGATGCAATATCATATTTAAACATTTTAATAAACACTATTCTTAAAATACTTTTATTGATTTTTAAAAGAAATAGGTTCTCAGTTCTTATGTGTTTTTTTATGGCTATGCTACACCACTATATCAATAAATCTAAACTGATTTTGATATTTTTTTACAATCGATAGTTTATTTGTGTTGGTCTCCCATACAAATTTTGTGACAATTAAAGATAATTTTTTTCTATGCAATGCAAAAAAAAAAAAACTTAATGCAAAGTAAAAGCTACTTCAATACCTGGACACTATATTCAGCATTCGAAATTAAAATATTTTCTTTCAATTTATCTATGAAATATGTAATTTATCATCATATTTTATCTGATGAAGTTTGTTTTTTTATTGTTTCATATGATGTAATTTCACTACCATAACCTACATTTTAAACAAAAACGCAACCATACAAGCAAGGCTAGTTTAGGTCAGAAACAAAAGTAGAACAGATATAAAGCACCAAACTGACTTATACAAAGTGTTCCTCTGGTAAACAAGTTGTTATAATTATATGTATAGATTTGAAAATGATCTTACTCTTCCAGTGGTAATGGGCTCGGTAATATCACACAAAACGAAACCAGGCGAGACATCCTCCTCTTCAATTCCTTTGAGTTTTACTTTGACATTTTCGCCAGGACCAATGGACGTCACTTCGATGTCATCTGACCATAACTGGTCTACATTCACTTGTACCTGAAATGGGATGAAAGTAAAATGTGCTCAATAATTTATAACAATAAGCAAACAAAACTATTTTTTTTACTGCTAATAGTTCTCTCTATCAGTACGTTATAAATAATCCCCACTACTATTTTATGTTATTTTTATCATCATTAAAAAAATATGAAATTTATGTAAGTATGTGACTTTTGAGTAAATGAGATCTCAAACGCAATTCCCAATTAAACCAATATAAAAAGTAAACTTTTCTAACCTAGCATGAATTAGGATGTTCTTTAGCCTAGGTGACTATTATATATAAGCCACAAATCTAGCAAGAACTCCAAAAAAAGAACCGGGACATACACTTATTTATTATATATTTGTATAATATAAAAATTTTACATACCCTATTAGGCATAAGGAATAAGGTACTGCCTTTTCGTGTAGTACCCGCCTCAACTTTTCCCATAAGCACCGTGCCCATATCCTTGTATTTATCGACTACTGGCATGATGAAGGGGCCGTCCATTTTACGATTCAGTGAGGGTAATTCGTCGATTAGTTGGATGAAAGATGGACCGCGGTACCACGGACAGATTTCCTCAGTTACCTGAAGAAAATAAATAATATTGACAAGTGGGAATAGTTAATATTAATGTAGCGTACATCATTTCAGGGACTCAATAATTTATATCCACAATATATTGAACTCGACAAAGAATTTATATTCACACTATTCCCATACGTTATTAACGTAAAAGTAACAGTTTCGAGGCCTGTTGTCAATATATAATACGATATAAACGCACGACTTTTTGTACATAAGAATCTGAATGTCACTAGATTAATTAGTATGAATAACAAAATGGATGTCTCGTCGTCCAAATTGCACGTATCTTTTTCCTTGTTTGATAAAAACTCAGCCTTGAAATGAGCATAGAGTTGTATGTTATAATTTAAAACTTTAGGTTACAAAGACTCAAATAGAACCTATGGTATCCATATTAATTCAATTTCATAGGTTTGCTTTCAGTGGCTTTTTAAAAAAAGTTTGTTGATGAAATCAAATCATTACCCATTTCAAGGCTCTCTGTCGTCTGTCCTATTGAGAAAGGAAAAAGAAAAAGTTTAAATTATGCAAAAGGGTTGAGCATTGCTAGCTTAATATGCTAGCTTACCAACCATGCTAATAATTAGGTAACAAAAATTAAATTAATAAAAGTAGAAAATATACTTACTTTTTCCAATAAGCCTTGTCCAGTTTGACCAGAAACAGGTAAGAAAGAGAGATCCTTTGCTGGATTAAAACCCAACTTCTTGAGGTAAGGAAGGATTTTGTCTCGACATTCATTGTATCTGAAAAATCAGAAATATACTGCATATATCAAAAGCACAGCTCTATTGCAAAGGTCTTACTTCTATTGATATCCTATTATGATAGCAGGTCTCAAATCAGAAGCAGTGTGTACTTATTACAAAGAGTCTATCTAAATATAGATTCTGATTATTATAAACAAAACATTAATTCATGATATTTATGTAATATTAAAAGAGTTGTTATATCAGATACTGCTATCGAGAGTCCTGACCTTTCTTATGTGCAAACTCGACGACTTTCAGCCACTCAAATAAGCTGGCTTCTGAAAGGGCTTTAGCATCATAGACCACATACATACGCTACGACAGATTATACAGAAGACCGAAAGGTATAATTTGTCACTGTATCTGGCATTTATGAACTATGAGAAAGCCTTTGATTCGGTCGAGTTATGGGCGGTACTACAGTCTCTGCCAGATTGACTATAGGTATATCGACGTATTGAAGTGTATGTACAGTAAAGCTACAATGTCTATTCGAGTACAGAACCAGAGTATAAAACCCATCCCAGTACATAAAGGTGTAAGACAGAGTGACGTCATATCCCTGAAACTCTTCACAGCTGAATTGGAAGATGTTTTCGAACTCTTGGACTGGAAAAGATATAATATAAACATCAATAGCGATTTGCCGATGACATAGTAATTACTGCAGAATCCCTGAAGGATTTGAATACTATGCTCAATGACCTCAATGGTGCTTCTCAACATGTAGATTTTAAGATGAATATGGACAAAATTAAAATCATGTTTAACGTCCATGTTACACCTATATCGATTATGATTGAAAACACTACGCTCGAAGTTGTCAATGAGTATGTATAACTGGGACAAGTTGTCAGAAAAGGTAAGTCCAACTTTGACTGAGATATCACCCACGAATCCAACTCGGCTGTTTGAAGACGAAAGTAATTAACTAGTGCGTGTTGCCAGTGATAATTTATAGAACCGAAACATGGTCCTGTGCAAAAGCTTCAAATTACTCAGCGAGCTATGGAGAGGACTATGCTCGGAGTTTTTTTAAGTGATAGAATTGAAAACGATATATTCGCAAAAGAACCAAAGTAAGCGACATAGCCCGAAGGATAAGCAAGCTGAAGTGGTAATGGGCTGGTCACATAGCTTAAAGAGCTAACAACTGATAGGAAAGGTTCTTGAGTGGTGACCCCATACGGACAAACGAAGTGTGGAATGACCTCTCCCCCACTAAATGGAGTGACAACTTCATTGCAGGTAGTCAATGGATGCAGGTGGCTCAGGACTGTTCCTTATGGCAGTCTATGGGGGAGGCCTATGTCAAGCAGTGGACGGATAATGGTTGAAATGATGATGATGATGTTATATCAGATATTACTCTATAATTGTATGTAATTGACAATAAATTCAAATAGAATAAAATTTTCATAATTTGATAATATTTCTATATTTTCATTATTAGATGTTATTTAATTAAAACATGAATGAATAAACAGAAAAATTCAGTTTTTCCTCAACTATTATATAATTCACAGTCAAGGTGAGTAGGTTGGTACATGATGTAATCTAATTATCTCAGTTTATATAGGGTTATCTAATGAGTGATCGAAAGTTTGCACAAATATGATAATAATATACCTTTTTTCATCCCAGTTGACAGTAGGGTCATCCATCTTATTCACAAGTGCCACTAAGTGTTTCACACCTGCTGTTTTAGCCAACATAGCATGCTCACGAGTTTGCCCTCCTCTATCGAAACCGGTTTCGAATTCACCTTTACGCGCAGATATGACCTGAAATTAATAAATAGTATTATGTTAATAATTTACTCAAATTTCGCATTACACATAAAAGTGGTATAGAATTTTATATGCCATTATTGTATAATTTAGTTAAATGTTCAGGACTGAACAACACATCCTTATAGTATTAAGGCTGAGTTAGACTAAACACAGAACACAGTATTGACCATAGAAATATATAGCTGTATAAATATATAGCTGACTGTGTTAAGTTGCCATATAAAATGCCCCATTCGCTGATATATTATATGTCTTTATTCATCGTAAATATTACATGTATACTGGAAGTTGATTCAAAGAATTTGGAAGAAAGGTTGATCCACTCGTAGATGATTGGGCTACTTTAGTTTGTGGCGGGTTGTACGGTGGTGAAAATCAGCCAGTACTGCAAGATCAGCCTGCGCTGCACCTCCAATCATATTGGGTACAAAACTCTTGTGCCCAGGGGCATCAAGAATAGTGAAATGCTTCTTCTCAGTCTCGAAATATGCTCTCCCCACTTCAACTGTTTTTCCCTTGTCACGTTCTGTATAAATGAAATGATATATATGGTAAACAAATTATTAATGTATATACTTCTATAGTTAATCTAATTATAATACTTTTATTTTATTTTTAATAAAAATCATGGTTTTCCAGGTGGTAACACCACAGTCTATGACAGTCTGTAATACCAATATTCACAGATTTCTAGACCTCGCAACAAGATCTCCTGCGTCGTGCTAGTCTAGGTTCTACCAGAGGCTTAGTAAATGATTCAACAAATATCGCAATCTGAATATTAGAAAAAGGTATGGAAGCAAGCTGGTTGTAGACAAAGTTTAGTCTGGTTCTAGCAAGTTCCATTAATATTTTTAAGCTAAAAGAGTTCTGTGTTCAATTAATTTCTTCAGCTAATCAATTTCTAGCTTTTTTTTATGCAACTTAGAATGGCAAACAAGCTGACGGCCCACCTGATGGAAAGTGGTAACTATCGCCTATAGACATAAGGAGTATCATGAACATAAAACAGGACTGTTTCGTCGGTGGGGGTGGGGGGGATTCGTTGCCATTCTTGAGAACTAAGGTGTTATGCTTCTATATCTTGTAAATTCACTGCCATATCCCAACCTTCAAACCGAAACAGCCATCCAAACACAACTGCTTATCAGTTATAATATGAATGGGACAGGTGCCCAAGCAAACGACTTTTGTACAGTCTCCCTCTGGAAAATAAGCTAGCTAAGTGATTATTCACGTGTAACAAATATTAAAGACTACCATCATATATATAATGGTTAATACCTATAGTCACCTATAATGTTATGTAACCATCATTGGACCTTATATGACTATTGACTACAAGATCTGATTTATAAAATCTTTATAATGTTGCTAGGACAATGTACTGAAGTGATTATAGATTAGTCACAGTAGATATATAGTCGGTAAATTATCGTAACACTCAAATACGTAACAGATAATGTACAACTACACTGTCAAATATTGTTTCACGACATATTTGATATTCATTTTTTTTTGGTCTACAATAACATAAGTATAGGTATAATTACTTGTAATAAATGTAATAAATTTGACGATTAGAATTCAATGTGAATAATAATAGTACTTAATATAAAAAAAAAATCTATTAATATAATCAAAATAAAATAAATTGTGACTATAGTTACATAAGTTATTAATAAACTTTTAGCTTAGTATTGTGGTTTAATCATTTAAAAGGAGCCAGTAGAGCGGGTGAAAAACATGCGTGGATTACTAGAGACAAATTTATATCAGGAGCTTCTAACAAAGAGAGTGACCACATAACACAGTGCGAGCAAAAATTAAAAACTAAACTAGTGGTTGTAATACATTACGTGATACCAATTTGTGTTGCATTTTTGTATTTTATTGAACATTATATTACAGGTGTAGTCTAATTATTATCTTACCTTCTTGATTGGTGTCTAGTGCCCATGACAAGTACCAAGATTCTCTTGATTTCTCACGTGCCTCCCTTTCATATTTGTCCAATGTTCTTTTGTCAACCATCCCCGTCAACGACATTATTTGACCACCAATAGTAGATTTTCCAGCATCTAATATTGAACAATAGTTAATTAGTTTAAACTATTATCTTATATTTTGAATGTGAAAAAATATATATTTAATAAGATTATTACTTTAAAGGTGAATTATTTGACAATTTTGAAACATTAATATGTCACACACAAATAAGAATATAGGCATTCCATTTTGTTGAGGAAAAATAAAATTAACCAATCCTATCTGAATACTATTATTTATCCTATATAAAAATAGTATTTTGTTTCTATTTTTCTTAAAGGGTGATAATGGAATAGTAATCCCGCCTGCGCTATCGGTATACGCTGGCGGGGCACTAGTGAGCGATAAGAGGTGACAATGAAAGCAGGTCAGTTAGCCCACTGTGATGAATGCCACTAGAATTAACTACGATGGTTTCCATGGGGAACCACGTGGAGGTCGACCTGACAGGGTGTATTGCCGGAAATGGATCAGTTAGACTCCATTACTTACAATCCCTTTCTCCTGGTATTTTGGGTTTATACTATAATACGTTTTAAGCATTTAAAAAATATCTACCAATATTAAGTGTTATGATTATAGAAGAGTTAGATAGAGGCTGGTTAATAGCCATCATCAATTCTTTAATTAAATATGAACTTACCAACATGTCCAATGAAAACAACATTAACATGTTCCTTTTTACTTCTAGTATCTTCAACTCGAGGTGGTTTTTTCTTCGGAATTTTTTTTGTTGTTTCACCATCATCCTAAGAATGCAACAAAAATTATTTAATAGCCAAAGCAGTATAATATGTCAACTATGTCTTATTCAAGGTTTCTAGGCCATAATTAACATTGATAATTAGAAACAAAAACATTTGCTTGGATCCTAATCTGATAAAAAATTGAGAAGCTATTGTTTGTACACTGTGTAGAAAAAAATTATGTACTAAATATATATAAAGAATTTCGAATGTTTGATAAAGTCATGGGAACAGAAGTGGTACAATGTAAAGATATAAAGAGATAAAATAAATTGATAATATTGAATTTACACTAACTGTTGCTTATTGATAAAAAAGCAATTTTATCAAGTACCTTTGCCAATTTCAGCAATAGTAATAATTGATGTTTCAAATATTTTCAATGTAGATTTACTAAGATGAATGTATTTAAATTGGCTGAAATATCCAAATCACATTAAATATGTTTGAATTAAATATATGGTATGTCAATGCGGTACAAAAAGAATGTTTACAACATTCTTTTTATAATTGCAAAATAAATAATAATAAAACTTGGTGATGTTTTTCTTTTCACTCTTCTTCCCTTTTATCTTTTTTCTTGTTCCATGCTATAAGTTCCATTTTCAACTTTATTCATACCCCTACATGTAGAATTTGATGTGGAGAAGAATTTTAAAATTTTATTATTATTATAAGTCAATCAATGTACTCGAAAGTACTGGTCGAGAGTGGAAGTTAAGGGCACAAACATTCTAACTGACTCAAAAACAATAGATGCGACTAAAGTTATAAAATACAGACTGTCACATTTAGAATTAAAGTGTTTTATATCATCGATGCAAGTTAAAAATATCCGAACATAAATACGGATCTAAGGACACACCATTTAATTAACATTTAACACACAATCTTTCAAGCAAATGGCTGTTAAGCCATTAGGCTACACTGCTTTTTTTTTTTACTTTTTTGGCTAAATATTTATAGATCTTTAATTACTAGTCTTAGTAATTAAAGATCTATAAATCTATCTTTAGTCATCTCACTAGGAATTTGGTACATTTGTGATGGATGATATATGTCTATTTAGATACAGGGTGATAATTGAATTTTACATAAATGGAAACATTCAAATTCAATTGGCACCCAAATAACATACTATAGTATCTATACGGAAATACAGAAGAATAACGTTCTAAATTGTTTTAGGGTTTTCATAATTTTATTAGAAAAAGTAATTATGATTAATTTGACTCTAGTATTTTTAATGGATGATAATAGAATCGTAACCCTGCGTGCGCTAACGGTATACGCTGGCGGGACTCCAGTGAGGGATGATAGGTGAGAATGAAAAGGCCGATGATTTCCAGGGGGAACTATGTGGAAGTCTACCTGATAGCATATATTGTTAGCAATAAGACTGGTAGTCCACATTACTAACACCCCCTTCCCCCCTGACTGTAGTATTAACAAAACCGAGCCTTACAATCTTAAAAATTCAGACCAATATTCTATACAAATTAAGTAAAAATGTTGATACCAAATTCAGGCAAACAGAAAGTGAAGTTTCATTCATCATAACATCATATGTGAATGTCTAATTGACTATAATTATTAATTATATATAAATTAATAATTATTTGAATATGATTTTAACAGCATTTTATTTCTTGATGTTCAACATCAAGTTTGTTTCTTTTCATTTAGCTCTAAAATTCCAAAAAAACTTTCATGATAGGAAAACACACCTGTTGCTCTGTATCTTCCTCTTCTGGCTCGTTGTTATCTTCAGGGGTAAGCAGTGCATCATCAGCCTCAGCTTCCCAACTATCAGCTGTAGGTGAAACATCAGGTGGAACAGGGAGTGTTGCAGTAGCAGGCGCTGCAGCTGGCGGCACGGGCGGGGGCTCCTCTACTCGCGGAGAGGCCGAGGCTGCACCACCATCCCCACTTTCAACTCCACCATCTCCACAACCTGTTGTAGTAATATTACATTACATAAAATATTTCTTATAAATCTTTAGTACGTAAGTACATATATATAATATAATTAAATTTCAATAACTTCACATATTCAGTGGTTGTAGACCATTCTAAAGGTAAAGATAATTTTGATTAATGAACTACATTTAGCAACCATATTTGTGGAGAAAATTGTTTAAATTGTTGGTTCCTAAAATGACTTTAGGAACCAACAATTTAAACAATTTTGTGAGTTAGCTACCATAAAAAAAGGTAGAACTCTTCTATTGGTAGTATCAAGGAGCACACTTTGTACAGTTAACATTGTAATACTAAGCATAAACTACCTTCTTGTTATATCGCTCTGAAGCTTCACAATAGATGCTATAAAATTCAAAGTCTATATAATAACTTTGAATGATAGATATGCGAGTATTAAACACATTCCTAAAACTGTCTACTACCATACAAAATAATGCATCATAAACTGCCCCTAAGTTTATCCACTAACTCTAAATTGTCACATAATGATTTGTGACATGCCAAAGGAGTTACAACAATTTGTCAAATCTGTTTATTTTAATCCACAGATTTAATATCCTATTGTTAGATCTTTCCTGATAGATGGAGGATATAGCTTACTATTTCCATACTGACTAGGCCACACAAATATATAAATAACAAAATACTAACAAGGGGTTACTAACCCCCTTTTTGTTATTCTTTTTTTTTTATACAACTTAGATTGGCAAACAAGCTGACAACCCACCTGATGGAAAGTGGTAACCGTCGTCTAAAGACATGAGCGGTAGTATGGAAATAACTGAGTATACTGTTTCCCCCATGATACACCCCATGCGTTGCCATTCCTGAGGACTCAAGTGTTATTCCTCTTTACCTAGTAAATTCACTCCATATTCCACACTTCAAACCGAAACACAGCCAAGCAAACACAACTGCTTCACAGTTGAAACACGAATGGAACAGAGTTACCCAAGCAATCGACTTTTGTACAAAGTCTCCCTCTGGAAAATTCATTAAAATGTCAAACCTCTTATAAACCAGTTTTAACTATTGAACTGTTTTGTCTCTTTCTTTTACAATAAATTACTAATTTGAAAGAAAGTGATAAAACAGTATAATAGTTAAGTAAATTTGTATAGTTTTTTGTTTTTATGAATGGGTTTTAAAGTGCAGACCAAAAAAAAAGTAAAAAAAATTATAGACATTTGATAATAGGAACATAGGTACAAATAAATATATATAATTCTATATTACTTTTAAAGAAATATAGATAAATATAATGACATTTTATATAATAAAACTATAAAAATTATAGTTTGTTTCAGAGGATAATATATTAAGATACTTTTGACTATTTTGATATGTTTAAAAAAAGGGTTGATATTGTAAACAGCTGATGTGTGACAGCTGATTTAGTCTATATATTTTAACCTAACTTAGTTAACCTAACTTTCTATTATTTCTTATATAATTCATATCAATTAAATAATATTTTTTTTGTCTTAGTGTGTGTGTGTGTGTACGTATCTAATAAAATTTGTGAACACATTTTGTGAGATAAATGTATAGAGTTTTTTTTTTTATGCTGCTTATACATAGATTGTAAATGTTAGTGAAAGTTTGTAGATTATTAACAAATAAACACACATAGCTATAAATAAATATATAATTAATATTAGTACATAAGGCAGAGTTATAATAATTCTTCACATTATTATAAATGTAAGATATTTCTCAAGATATAGAATCTAAAAGATGAAATAATAGATACCTATATTTTTATATGCAGTATTAATAAAACAAAACACACCTTTTGTATAATCCATATGGAATTCCGAATAAAAAGTAATTTAAGAGAAAGTAACCAAATAGCGATTAACAAATAGGCAGTCTCTCGCCGCGTGTCTCGACCTAACCCGTTAGAACTGGATTAAAAAAATAGTCATAGGACGTATGTTGCGATTGTATGCTTATTACATTATGATATGCGTGATCAAAATTTTAATTAATTTAAAATAATTTTTAGCAGGTAATACATGCTCAAGGAATATTACTCAATTCTTGCAGCAACATTGCAGATATCTAAATGACAAGACAGAACTTACCATTTATGACAGGGCTTTCTGTAGAATTTGTAGAACCACTTTCAGATTTTTGTGGTGATGTGGGGGACTCAGTATTGTCGTTAGCCTGAGAAGGCTTACAAAAAGAAGGCACAAACTCTACGGCATTTACATTCAACGTGGAAAATTTAGTAGACACATCATTGGAATCTTTTGCACCTTGTTCACCTATAAGATCCGCTTGACTTTCCCAAGAGTCCGGAGCACCGTTATTGGACATTTTTAATAACTGACAATGTAAATTTACTAAATAAGTCTTCTTTTACCAGTTAATTTTATTATTATTCGCGTTCTTTTCTCGATAGATCCGCGTGTGTCTTTATCCTACACCGGAAGTTCATGGCAATTTGCCAAATAAGTGTTAACAAACATATTATAGCATATGAAGACAATAGAAGAAAATTTAAAATATATGTACAGTAACATTAATTATATGGATTAAAATATTTTTTTCATTTTTATTTTATCCCAAAGTTAAATGAAATTATGGTTTTTAATTAAATTGTATTACAACTGATTATAAACTTCCGGTATTTAAAAAAAAAGGAATAAAAATTGCCATGTATAGAAAGTAAATTACAGAGTTTACGTATTCATGAAGAACTCTGACGCGTGGTATTTACAACTCTTATGAAGATTAATATAAAATACGTATGAAAAAATTTTCTCCCCATTTATGAAGAACTGATGATAACTTATAGTCATAAGTCAGCCAAGCTGTATGAGCTATGCTCTTTGTTTGTCATTTTTAAACGAATTTTAAAACAACAACTTTACAATGTTGAGTGCACAGATTAGAAAAGTTACGGTATACTAATCAAATGACGAGGATAATACAAAATGAAAGATCGATATAAAGTAAAAAAAATTAAACTATAAAGTTTAAATATCTAATATATAAAATTCTCGTGTCGCGGTATTTGTTACCAAACTCCTCCGAAACGACTTTACTGATTTTTTATGAAATTTTGTGTGCATATCGGGTAGGTCTGAGAACCAGCTAACATTTATTTTTTATACTCCACAATGATAAGAGTGACCCACCCCAAAATATTCTTTTTTATTTTTTTGACAAAATTTTTTATTTTTATTTTATTAGGATTTAGCGTTGAAAAATACATACAACTTCAAAATTTCATCCTTTTACGATCAACCCCTTTTTTTTAAACACGATTTTTATATTCCGAAATAGGGTTGCAAGATGGGAATCAAATATAATAATTGTAGTACGAGTAATTTCCATATATAGTCTATAATTACAATTTGCTTTTTGATGGATGTGGAATGTTACAGGAGACCAATAATGTTATTTAATATTTTAAATATTTTATTACGTGCAATGTTACAACGATTATTTTAGTGACAAGACACAAGACAGTTTATTTTTCTATTTAATTGAGCTGTAGGTCTATGGCCGTGTACAACCTCTTTCTTACACTCCTCCTCACGGCATAGTATCTACCTACTGTAGGAGTCCCAGCTCTTGGCGACAGTATTCATATTTAGGACGAGGCAAAGCTTTTGTAAAGATGTCCGCTATCATATTCCCTGTTCCTAGGTATGAAAGTTGCACCACATTTTGTTGCACCATATCTCTTATAAAATGTTGGCGGATATCGATATGTTTGGATTTGACGCTAATGATAGGGTTCATTGCTAACTGTTGTGCGGCTTGATTGTCGTTGTGAATAGTAATTCCTTTTTGTTTAAAGTAACCCAAATCAGTCAGAATATTTTTCAAATGAACAGCCTCTTTTGTACATTCGCTCAAAGACATGTACTCGGCTTCCGCCGTTGAGAGTGCTACAGTCCTTTGTTTTCTTGACTCCCAACTTATGACCGCACCGTTCTTTATAAAACAATGGCCGGTATATGACCTTCTATCTAATGGACACGATGCCCAGTCGGCATCTGCGTAACCCTTTAAAATTTTATCTCCATTCTTGTGGAATGTTAATTTTAAATCTATTGTACCTTTCAAGTATCTAATTATACGCTTTGCAGCTGCCCAGTGTTCTTTTCCATAATACGCATTGAATTGACCAAGATAGCTAACAGCATGAGCTATGTCTGGTCGCGTAGCAACTGATAGGTACATGAGGACTCCAATCAAGTTTCTATAGGGTAAGTTCGAATCTGGATATTCTTCTTTCTTTAATTTTAATGCTGTTTCCATAGGAGTTGCCACAGGTTTTGCATCTTGCATAGAGAATTTCTTAAGGATATCTTTAATGTATTTCTTTTGACTCATAGTAATTTTTTCTTTATCCTGTTTAAATTCTATACCTAAACAGTATTTCAACTCTCCGATGTCTTTCATTTCGAACTTTCTCTCTAGTGCTTTCTTTACTTCTTTTAATATTTCTGAACTTGAATATGCTATAATTAAATCGTCAACATAGACTGTTATTATTATTTTATCTCCTCCTTTCTTCAATAGGTATACACTTTTATTATATCTTTTTTCTTAATTTAAATTAATCTTCAAGCCTTACCGGTCGATAACTGATCATCTATCAATCGATAAGTTACATCACGGAGTAGGGATCAGAACGAAGCCGGCCTCCTTTCTATCACTCTCTACTATACAGTTTTCGTAAATTTTTTTTATGTCTTAATTGTAGCAGTGACTGTTATACATCATCATATCATTTTAAATTTTCAGTGCAACTCTCATATCAATTCTATTCTCATAGTGAATTTATTATTATTAGAAATAATAATAAATAGTTGCTATTAAGTGGTCAATGGTACTTTGAATAAGGCATGCCCCCATTGTCATGTAGTTAAATTTAAAAATGAGCCAGTCGGGATGTGTTGCTCATCAGGAAAGTGCAACTGAGTTTGAAACATTACCTGACCTAGTAACAGGATAGAATCTGGATCCGTACCGATGTACGGATCCAGATTCTATCCTCTTCCTAAAGTCAATGCGCATATTCAATTCATGTTTCTAAATGACATCTTTCGGTGCATCAGAAATAATTCAAAATATTGCTGCAGACGGTCAACAATTTAATTCCACGTTTAAAATCATGAGCCAAGTCTATCGGAAAGTAGGCCCATTGTTGCCAATGCCAAGCGAATTTCATAATTTTCTACAAATTTACTTGGGTGGCGAGGACTCCGAACGCTCATTTGCCCATCGTGTGGCTTAAATAAAGTTTACTTTAATTGTGTACAATGCTTCAATCATCTTTCAATTGTAATTACATCTCCACACACGTATAGTGTCAGCTATTTTCTATTGAATTAAGAAAATATTCTCTACAAATAATGTATATGGCAAAACAACGTTTGTTCAGCTAGTTTTAGTACATATAAATTTGAATTAAACGATATAAATCTGGGAATTTAGTCGCGATGGAGCGTTTATTGTGTGTTTATCAAAACAACAATTCGTTGCGAGGCGAAAACACAAATTTCGAAAACACAAAGGTTTACACAACTTTGATCCAGCTCTCCAAACGATTAATTGGATTGCTAAGTTGACCGGTTCGACGTTAATAACCGCGGTTGGGTCGCCCAAGGACATCACGTACGGAACAAAACATCGACACAGTGGCTCAATCATTGAAAATCCTACACTCAACTCGTCGTTAGAAAATAACAGTTTTTTGAAGAAAGATTTACTTATGCACCCTTACAAAATTCAGTTGGTGCAAAATTAAAACATTGTCAAATTGTTCAATAACATAATGTTCTCTGAAAATCCACATTAACGGACAAAACATCAATTTTAATAATGAAAAAGCGTTTCATGGCATCATAGGGCCTTACTTTTTTAATCTGTAAGTTTTTATCAAAACTTTGTTTGATGCAAACACAGGATTCAAGATGTACGACTCTAACCCGCGGTCAATTAATGACCTAAAAGAAAACATCCGCAGAGAAATGGCAAGCATTTCAGCAGTGACGTGCCGCGCAGTCATCGACAATTTCAGAAGGCGTTTGCAAGAGTGCCGTGACTGTAACGGATTACATTTGGACGACGTTATTTACAAAAAATAATTCCCTTTTTTCTAGCTATATTTAAAAATAAAAATATTATTCATAGTGTAATTAGTTTTATTTTAATTAAATTTTTTCATTACTAAGGACTTATGGGCCACCCTGTATAAAAATTAAACGATATAAATCAATATTTTGTTTATATTCTTTTCCATCTCTAAATGTGCGGTGTAATAACTCTTGGCATTGCTCCTTCTTAGAAAATAAAGTTTTTGGAGACCTTAAAATTAAAACATTGTCAAATTGAAAAATAAAACATCTATTTTAATAATGAAAAAGCGTTTCTAATCTGTAAGTATCCTGTTTGATGCAAACACAGGATTCAAGATAATGGGCTTGTTATTACTGTTTTTCGAATAAAAAAAATGGCTAGTAGTGGGTAACTAGCCGATATGGGGAAAAGAGATTGTTAGTAATGGAGATTTACCAGCTTCATTACTAGCAATATATCCTATCAGTTCAACCTCCACGCGGTTACCCCAAGAAACCATCTTGGTTAGTTCTTGTGGAATTTATCACGATAGGCTAATTGACCTGCTTTCATCCTGATCTATCAGCCCTCATTGGTGCCCTGCCAGAGTATACCGATAGCGCAGGCGAGGTTACCTTTCCATTATCGTTCTACAAAAAAAATGTCGACATTTTAACAACGGTCCATTTATTTGTGGTGTAATAGCTGGCTATTTGGCTATCGGCTATTGTACGATAGATACATCACAATCGACCCAATTGCATTACGGTTAGCGTTATCTACTTAGTTTTAAGTTATAGGATACGATTTTCTTTATTTTTTTATTCAACAAATTACTTTGTAGTCGTTATTATATTAGGTATATCCATTAATAAAAAGCCACTTAAAGGTAATGCTTTTTGTTTAAGGTTATGATGTTATATCGGTTCGGAAATACTGCTGTTGGAAGTCGATTGCAAAAGAGTGGTTGTGTGTGGAAAAAAATGCATTGAAAAATGCACGGTGGAGGACTGCTATTCATCCAGATGATTAGAATAATACTTTAGTTTGTTGCGAGTTGTACGGATGTGATAATCAGCAGCAGATATTAATCCAAACAATTCCTTAAAGTACTTCCCATGATAAATTCAACAAAAGATTGCATCTCTTATGCAATAGTTCTACACAGTTTCAATAATTGTCATCAATTATTCGAGTCCCCCGACTTTGAATGCGGTCCAACGGAAGGAGCAGTTACTGTGCTCCATAGGTTATAACAGTATTTCATATGTGGCATGAAATAACTTTTTCCTAACTTTTTGGAAGCCATCTTAGCCTTTTCCTCCAGATGACCGCAAAACTGGTCGTCGCAAGATATAGTAACACCAAGGATTCATAGACTAAACTTATTATAAAAGAAAGGAGATACGACAAACGGCGTCTTTTGTGCGTTAAATACGAAAACTTGTGTCTTCAGGGGATTGAATTGAACACGGTTCTGTTCGCCCCAGATAGAAACTAAATCGATTAGCTTTTGGATTTATTTTATAATTTAATGAATTAATTAATATGTAAATAAATAAATAAATATAAATTATAATTTAATTTCTACTAGTTGAATATAGAACTGTTTACTAACCTAATAAGAACTTTGTTATTGCCTATTCAAAGCAAGGAAAATTTGTTATTATTATTATCTACTGCCACTCTCAGAAAAACGAATGAAATTAACACTAATGAGATATTAGTTAATGATAATTCAAATCATTAGTTGATATATTAACGAAGTTAGCAATTACCGTTAATTAACGTGTGCGACCATGGAACGAAAGGAAACGCAGATACAATGTTGACAGTAGATTAAATATATGAAAACTTCCATAAAATGATTGAACTCGTATACTGTTTCATACTGTTTACTGTTTCATTTTCAAAGACAGTGACAAATTTAACAGTAATGAATGAAATAACGAAATGATTACTGGCTGTAACTGATTTACTAACTTGAACAACGTACCAAATATACAACTGTGTACCGTCATTATTGAACATTTTGATATCAAAGTTGTTGGGTAGCACGGACATCTCCATGATAAATCGTCAATCTAGCTTCTATTTTAAGTTTATACGTATTATTAATAAAAACATGTCGCTAAAACGTACACCACACCACCACCGCCCACTAACAAAGGGAATCCAATACAATCATACGGTTCAGAACCCAATATTTCTACTTCACCGCAGGATTTAAACAATAGTCCACCTATGTAGACAACATCGCGTAATATAAAACGGAAGCGTGAAGATACGCGAACTCAGGAATTAAATGAGTTAAAAGGTGACATAATTGATATGTTTGAATCCAAATTCACTTTAATGAGGAAGACAATAAATAAAATTAAAGATCAGGATGTAGAAATTCATAATACAGTGGAATTCATGTCTACAAAATATGACGAACTGTTACTAGAAATAAATTAATTAAAAGAAGAGCGGCAGGAAAATTGCAATTTAATAGAAGTTTAATATAAGTTGGAGAATATGGAGCGAAATTCCAGATCATGTTGTGTAGAAATTAAAAACATCCTAACAGACATAAGAGATGAATACAGGGTAAGTTCAAAAGGTAGAACAAGAAATAGATTGTGCTCTCTTCTATCCATCGTATGTATGTGTTTTGTGATCATCCAATAAATGGTGTTCAAATCGTGGTGTTTTCTTTGTTTATAATTACAATAAGTAACCCACGCAAGCACCCCGTTACCACAAAAAACATCAAGAAATATAATAAAGAAAACATGTCATATCAACGTTCATTCATTGTTTTTTTGTTCCCTTGTTTTTTTTTGCTAACAACGATTACTTACTGTTGTACATAAATCCATTTTACATATTTGCTGACCATAGATGTTATTTTCACGTAGGAAAACCCTTACAAATTGGTAGCAGAGCGTGGTTTGTTGAAAATGGCATCAACATCGAGTTTCCGTAATATCGAACCGTTAAACAACGAAAATTATGATACCTGGAGTCTACAAGCACAGGCTGTCCTAATTAAAATTATTATTGGAACATCGTAAGTGACGCAAAAACATTATCACCCGCCGCGGATGCGGCAATAAAGATGGAAATTAATAAGGAAGATTTAAAGACAAGAGCTGAAATCCTACTATTACTATCGCCTTCAGAATTAAAACAAAACCTGCATGACATCAAAAGCTGTGTGGGAAAAATGAAAATTAATTAATTTATTTATTTAACTCTTTATTGCACCATAAATAAAAAAAAAATACAATGACAAGTGAATAATTCAAGTGAAATGCAGTAACATAAATACAGATTGAAATATACACATAAAGGTACAAAAGGCGGTTTTATCGCTAGGGCAATCTCTTACAGACAATCTTTGGTTAAAGGAGAATAGATAGAAGTGGGTAGGTTTAATTTATCAAAGCCCCGTCCAGCAAGATAAGCAAACTTGTTAAAACAACTTGTTCTGAAGCGGATGATAGTGGGCGAAGACATTCGTGACCATATAAATAATTTAATGACATGGACATCAACAATACCTCCAGAATTACTCAGTATTATGTTATTGTACAGCCTGCCAACAACGTTTGAAACTTCAGAATAGCCATAGACTCTCGAGATTCATTACCTAACCCTGAAGACCTGAAGGTAAAAATCCTAGAAGAATATCAGGCCAGGAGCGGTAATGAACAAGAAAAAAGTTCTGAAGCATATCATGCTAAAAACAAAAAGCATAAATACTGCAAGTCTTGTAAGAAAAGGGGCCACACCACCGAGGCATGCTGGGGCAAGAAAAACAGAAATGAGAGAGAAAACGGCAAACCGCACAAAAACTTCAATGTTTGTTTGAGTACCGCAAATCCAGATGCAAATCAGAATATATGGTGCTTTGACAGTGGCTGCTCATCTCATATGTGCAGTGACAAATCAATGTTTTCTACAATGACCTCTGATAATGGTACACTAAGGGTGGTATCAAATAAATATATCAGCGGAATACAAGGTAAAGGAAAAGTAACCGTAAGTACAACCTATCAAGGTTATAACTTCAATAACACTTTGTATGTTCCGTTTCAAAATTTCTAGAACGAAAACGTTGAAACCAAAAACGTACCGTGCTTTCTTTTGCGACACTAGCGCCGTACACATAATTAATCCTTCGAGCTGTTTCTGCAGCATTGGTGCCATGATAGAACTCGTACTTATAAATATACCGATATTTCATGTTTTCCATTGTGCAGTAATAAGCGACGTGAAGGAAAAAATAATGAGAAAAAACCAAATAAATGACTGTTTTCAAAACTCAAATGTACCAGCTAAATGAATTTATAAATTTGAATTTGGAATTCTTAACCAAAGAGGAGACATCAGGTCGCCCTCCACGCGGTTTCCCCCGGAAACCGTTGTGGTTAATTCTAGTGGCATTCGTCACGATGGGCTAATTGACCTGTCTTTTCATCTTTATCTGTCATGTATATGTATATTACATATTTCATGTATATATATTTTACATACTATTAATAAAAGTATGTAAAATATAATAGTAATTCCATTTAAATTGTGTTATTTTATGGTATTGTGATTATTTTTTTTTATTGGCGACACTATAAATATACTCATAAATAATCCATTTTATGCAAAAAGTTTTAAACCGCATAAGAATTTTGCCTGTTGATTCACTTAATTACATATGGTTTATGTAACACATGTAAAACCAATATTACTTATATGACAGTCCTTTAAAACAGAAAATATTTTATAGACTAATAAACTTTCTACTTTCTAGATAATATAACGTTTAGTTTGTTAAACGGAAGTAACGAAACGTGTTTGATATTTGTTTACTGCAAACAGCCGGTAAACAGTGTCTAAGAACACAGAATTTCGTGGTTTAGGCCCAATTAAATAGAATTTCTTTTAATTTTACATACTTTTATTAAGAGTAAATAATTATACTAATTTTGAAGACTATGTAATAATAATTAAACATATTTTAAGAGAAGTTAAAATAAATTTTATAATTAACGCCATCTAACGATGTGTGCCAAAACGAAAATTTTAAATAATTATGAGTGATATGGCGCTGGTATAGTATCATAGATACCTGTCGCTAAAAATGGCGTTCTTGTAATAGAAGCTTTTACTTAATGTGTAAAATTCATCTATTAGAAATTCTCTCGTGTACTAACTATATTTTTTAATTATAATTGGTATAAAAAGTCTTAACGTAGTAATTATATGTGACTGTTATGTGTAAATTGGTGTTAGTGTCGACAAGAAATACGTTTTTAAAACGTATCGAAACGTGTGTTTTATTATAAGTGCTAATTCTTTCAAGCTAAATGATAAGTGAATTGATATCGACAAATGCATGTACATTGTCATGTTACATAAAAATAAGTTCCCATCTATCGATTCGCCGAAATGTCTGTGCACTATAAATTCAAGAGTGCTCTGGAATACGATACTGTCACTTTTGATGGACTTCATATATCTGTAGGCGATTTGAAAGCGGCGATCTCGCAACAAAAGCGAATTGGAAAGACTTCGGATTTTGATTTGCAAATTACAAATGCTCAAACAAAAGAAGGTAAGCAGTATAGTCGTTGGGTTAGAATGAACTAACAGTGTTATTTTTCACATTGGACATGCAGTTTTTTATTGCTGGTTTTTTGTTCTTTCATCATCATTTCAGCCATTATTCATCCACTATTGGACATAAGCCTACCCCATAGACTGCCATAAAGAACGGTTCTGAGCAACCTGCATCCATTAACTCCCTACAATCCATTTCAGGTCATCACTCGTTTGCATTTACCCATACGGGGTTGGCACTCAAGAACCTTTCTTCCCCATCGGTTATCGGTTCTTCAAGCTATGTAACCAGCTCATTGTCACTTCAGCTTGCTTATCCTTCGGGCTACATCAGTTAGTTTGGTTCTTTTGCAAATATCTTCGTTTTAAGTTCTATCACACAAAGAGACTTCAAGCATAGCCCTCTCCATAGTCTGCTGAGTAATTTAAGCTTTTGCATATGGGTAATTGTGTAGGACTATGTTTCGGGTTTATAAGTGGTTCATTTTTAAATGTCAGGTATTTTGAATGAAAAGATATGATGTAGTTTTTTGATTGCTGCCCAGCCTAGTTGGATTCGTCAGTTGACTTCTCTGTCAAAGTTAGATTTACCCATTTAGACAACTTGTCTCAGGTATACATATACATCAACAACTTCGAGCAAAGTGTTTTCAGTCATAATCAATATATGTGTGACTTGGATATTAGACATGATTTTAGTCTTGTCCATGTTTATATTAAAACCTATCTGTTTTTAATGGAATGGTAACCCTATCTGTGCTAATGGTATACCTCTCACTACTAATGAGAGGTGATGGATGAGAATGAAAAGGCAAGTCAGTTAGCCCATCGTGAGGAATTTAAGGATAAATTGGTCATGATGGTTTCCAGGTAAAACTATGTGGAGGTCCATTTGATAGGGTATTGATAGCAATGGGTTCTTACATCCCCATTACTAACAATTCTTTCTCCTCGAGACCTACCTGTTGAGAAATACCAGGTCATTGAGCATAGTATTCAAATCCTCCAGGGATTCTGCCATAATTACCATGTCATCGGCAAATTGAAGATGAGTACAGCACTCACCTTCGCCATTGATGTTCATACCATATCTTTTCCACTCCAAGAGTTTGAAAACATCCTCTATCCTGTGAAGAGTTTCAGGGATATGACATCACCCTGTCTTACACCTTTTTGCAATAGGGTGGGTTTCCTACTCTGATTCTGTAGGATAGACATCATTCAGTTCTGTTGTATTATTATTATAACTTTTTCTCCACTTTAGTGGTCCCCAAGAGTAAAAGTTTCCTCCATCTTTTTCTTCTTATTTGTTGCAATATTTGTTCAGTTTTTTCCTACTGTCTTTATTATACATCAGCCAATCTCTTTCTTTGCCTTCCAACATTTCTAAACTTCCAACACTTTTTTCCTGCTGAGCCTTGCCTTTATGATTATTTAGAGATTGTATCCACTTTTTATGTGTTGTGAGTTCTTTGAAAGCTTTCTTTGAACTTCAGAACTTTATCATGTTTCTATTAATAACTGTTCTTCTGTAATTATCATAGTCTTTCCTGATTGCTCTATTAGATTCCTTAAATAACTCCTTTATTGCTTTTCTAGTTTTTTTGGTTTTGTGCTTCTCTGTCATCAGTTAGGGCTTCTAGAGATTAGACTTAGTGTCTCACCACTAAGGATTTTATGTTGGCAAGCATTTCTTTTCTTATCAGATCTTAGACTTTCTATTATTATTTCTTCCAGTTTATTGCTTAAGGCCTGTATCTTCCAAATTAATCAGTAAATCATGTGATATTGCTATATTCATTTTCAGATTTCCTATATAGATGTTTCTTTCCTTAGTGGAGATTTGGTAGTGTTGAAAGTTCTTCTGCTTATTTTCGGCTTTTTAGTTTTTAGGGCACATCTGACTAATCTGTGATCAGATGGAAAGTTTATTTTGTTTAATACCTCTATGTTACTCACAGAATTTGGATTGGAGCTCAGAATGAAGACAATTTCATTTTTTGTTTTATGGTGTGGTTATATATATCCATATCCATTTTGTAGGTTTTCTCTTAAATAATGTATTCATAATCATCAATGAATAAGTTATCATTCTGTTCTAATTGTATTTTTAAAAAATGTAGTTTTACACTGGTGGAGTATCAAATAGAATTTCTTTTATGAATTTTTAATAATATAAGTATGTGAGTGAGTTTGTTTATTGGTGTTCAGGCAGGGTAACCATTCCTTATTCATTTATTTAAAAAAAAAAGAAAACTTAATTGTACTATCAGTATATTCTGTTGAGATACCAGTAATTCTACTCATTTTACTCATCTATTATTTCTCACTGGTGCCCCACTAGCATATACCGTTAGCACAGGTGGGGTACTATTTAATTATAAAAAAAAAAAATTAAAAAAAACCTCAAATGTATCGCAGTGAGTCAGGTGACTTAGGACCGTTCTTTGTAGCAGTCTATGGAGAGAGGCCTATGTTTAACAGTAAATAGATAATGGCTGATATCGTCATAGTCATAGAATACTGACGGATCTGACAAAGATTACATATAAAGATCTGTCAGTATTCTACGACTATGGCGATATGATGATGATGATTATATATAGTTGCTAAGCCCCTCCAGTATATATTAGTTGCATACCAGCTATATGGTGAATATTTATTTTGATAGTGGAGTTCTCACCTTTGAATCTAAATGACATACAATATGTTCAATTATATATAATATTTCATAAACAAAAAACTGCATCATAAAAATCTGCTGCAAAATGTACAAATTAAGCTATTTTATATGATACCCCACTTGGCCTGGTAGGTCAATTTTAAGTAGCTCTTTTGGAAAATAGAAATAACAAAACAATAAAAATAGCAAACAAAAATAAAAAAAAAATTCTATTATTTCCATTGCAATAAGCCACCAATATATAGAATTACTCCAAATTTCAAATTACTAATTGTTGAGTTTAGAGAGCTTTGACAGATGGACAGACAAATGATGGACAAAGTTGCATCATAACAGCTCTTTTGTAACTTTTTGGTACAGAACACTAAAATAACTTCAAAAGTATTTAAAATTTACTTGAATAAAAAATATTTCTTTAACAACACCTTATAAAACATACAAATGATTTAGCTGGAGAATTATAGCACAACAATCTGTAAGATAGTAGCTTGAATTGAATCTGAATACCAGAGCTACTAAAGTTTTACAAAGTCATTCTAAGTAATTACAAAAGCAAATAAAAAATTTTGTTTAACATCTTCGATGTTTTAGAGGGTTATGAGGGTAGATTCACAATATAAAGCTGGCCATGGTTTGTTGTCTGTTCTATCTCAATCTGGTAAGTAGAACCACCAGTCATGATTGATTGTGACTGGAATGGAACTGCATGTACAGATAGTATGTTTTGTTAATGTAGTACACATAGTTTCTTTTAAGATAATATTTTAACAGGCTGACTGAGTTTGTACCATTGTACCGGCATTATCTTGTGAATTTGGCTTAAGTAATCTTTTACCACTAGGTTTACATTTTGGTTTAACAAAATATATATGCAAAATGTTTTTTATTTTACTCACTTTACTCCAATGGTGTGTATGTACTGACAAGTATTTTCCCCTAATAATGATCTCGAATCATTGAATTTTCTTAATTCAAAGTAGACAATGATTTGGTACTTACTTTCACAACTCATTTGTTAACACTAAAATGGAAAAAAAAAGTTTTAAGCATCTTTAATAATATTTTTTATATTTCTACTACTCAATTCGAAATAAAATTTCAACTGACAAGTATAAGTGAGCATGACTTTTTGAAAGTACCCAACTATGTCACATATTTTACTACGTCATTCAATATGACAGTCAATATACTCACTCATTATAAATTTGAATATCAGTGATTGTAAGTAAATTTCTATTTAATTATATTTATATTTTTTTAGTTTATGTGGATGATAATACTTTGATTCCGAAGAACACATCTTTACTCGTTGCTAGAGTACCACTTTCTCAGCAGCCAAAAAAACAGTGGGAAGGAACTAATAGTAATTCATCAGCATTACATAAAGATGTGGCACTTAATAAAGGACTTGCCGATCTGTCACGCATGGAAGGTAGCGAACAGGATAAAATAAATGCTATGATTTCGCAATCAACATTTGACTACGATCCTAGCAAGTAAGATTTGCTTATTATTTAAATATTTATAATTCTCCTTTAGAAGTTGGAACAATGAAATAATTTGTAAAAAGCTAGTACATTCTGAATTATTAATTCTGAAATATGAATTGTTGCTACTTTTATTTGGTTTATGTATTGTAATTAATAATTATATCTTTGCAGTTATCAGAAAATTAGAGGACAAAATCAGAGAGGTACAGTGCCAGCAAACTACACTTGTTATAAGTGTCAGAAACGTGGACATTGGATTAAAGATTGCCCAGCTGCTAATTCGGTATTTAGAGGTTTTTTATCCATTTAAATTATTAACGAAGTTTAAGTAGGCATAATTTTTTTTTTTTTTTTTTAGGGTGATTCAGTTGATATAAGGCGTAGTACAGGAATTCCTAGAAGTTTTATGGTACCTGTAGAGGGACCAAAAGCACCAGGCGCAATGATGACTCCTAGTGGAACATTTGCAGTGCCTGCTGTAGATCAGTAAGTTTTTTCTAATTCTATTTGTGTATTTGCATTCATTGATTCGTCTGTATATATTTTATCTTTCTAAGATCATTACGCTTTCAAATAGCAAATGTAAATCAATAGAATGTTTTTGTATGAGATAGTAATTCCGTCAGTTCAACTAACAATACAAAAAATGGGCTTAACTATGTACTTTAAGTAAAAATGCTTTAAGTTACTTGATGTTGTATATGTAACATTTAAAATACATATATAATAACTGTAAAAAAATGTTATAATTAATATCATATATTCATTTATATCACTGTGTTAAGTGTATAATTTATTGATTGTAGCGAGGCCTACCTGGCTTCAGAGAACGCTGGCGGTGCAGATACACCTACCAATGCTCCAGCTGCGCCGGAACCCAATATTCCTGATGAATTGATCTGCAGTCTATGCCGTGATCTTCTTACTGATGCTGTGATGATACCTTGCTGCGGAAATTCCTTCTGTGATGAATGTACGTTATTTGTTAATCAAGCTAGCCTAGTATATTTTAACGAACTTTTAATGAAGAAAATGAAATGTTATCTATATTGTAATTCCAATTATAGTTATTTGATTTGTGTGTTTGATTTAATTCCTAGAATTTGGTTTAAATATGCGATAGTAATGAATCTTTCTTTTCTTAAATCTTTGATTCCTTGTTAGAAGAATAAAATTTAAAGTTTTAATGTTTCTGTATTAATAATTAAGATTAGGAATTTCGACTCCTTTGAATATTTTATTATTTTCATGAAAATTCATCTAGTACTTATATGTCATAACAAGATGCGATATTTGCTTTATGATTTCATAGGTATTAGAGGAGCCTTGCTAGAATCTGAAGACCATGAGTGTCCAGATTGTCGTGAAAAGGAAATTGCACCCACAACACTAATCCCAAATAGGTAAGTAAATGAAGTCGTTGATATCAAGATGTTGGTACTAGTAGTAAGAATGAATGCATATTGTAAGGTGTATTTACAACAGATTCTCGCCTTTAATCCAATACTGTCATTATCCAAAAATTACAAAACTATGACTATCTTTCTTCAGAATAGTTGTTATATAGGATTAAAATTTTGCAATTGATTTCGGGAATATAAGTGGTATAAAAGTGTACAATTCTTTAGGAGTAATAAAAAAACACGAAGTAAAAGTATCCAGTACTCCTTTACATACCAGTGTAATTTTGGTAAAATTAAAGCAATCGGCAGGGATTTCGATTATTATTATTTATAATATTATTTATTTCAATAATAATTACTGTTATTATTACTGTTGAGCTAGAGGATAAGTTATTTGACGAGAATGGATAAGATTAAGAATGAGTATATGAAAATTCTGAAAGTAGGATCGGTAATAGAGAAGTTGAAGATTTGGTTTGGGCATGTGTTGCGTAAAGATGAAGAGAATGTGTGGTGTGTGTAGAATTATAAATGTGGATGGACTATATGCAACACGATATGTATTATTACTTGTAATAATTATTGAAACTATTACCCTAGGTTCTTGAGGAATTCAGTGTCGTCATTTCGTAATCAGACCGGCTACAGCCGACGTGCACCGCATCGACCTGCTGTGGCACCGATGCAAGCTCCTCCACCAATGATGGGTATGTATTTTTTATGTGCTTTTTTTTTTTTAATATAATTAGATGATATTTGCATTTAGTAATTGTGAAATAGGTTAATATGGTCACTTTAAGCAAACATCACATTTAAGTTATATTTTCATACTAGTTTTCATCCGTGACTTCGTCTGCGTGACTACGCTATGTTCACTGACTGGGATAAAAAGTAGCTAATGTCTTCTCTATCTCATACAGTGCCTGTATACCAAATTTAATAGTGATTGGTTATTGGTTATACATTAAAACGGTAACAAATGAATAAACTCACTTTCACAAAATATTAATGAAATATAATCTTAACTAATCTTATAAACTTGAAAGTGAGTTTATATTTTTGTTTATGACCTTTTAGCGCTTTAATGGTTTCATCAATGATTATGAAATTTTGTATACAGGTAATATATGGAATGGGGGAATTTTAGAATTTTATCTCGCTTTTATTCACCTTTGTCTGTTTTGTTATTTGAAAAGTAATTAATCAAACAATAACATAAACAATCTGATATGATATTATAAAGGATTACATAAACTTTATAAAATTATCAAACCTACTTAACAAATTAATACTAGGATTTGTAAGATGGTAATGATTTATTACAGAGCCGCTTCCAGCAGTTCCCGTGCAACAACCCCCGAATGGACCCGCACAGGCCGCTTTGCCAGCCGGTGGTGAGTAAATTAAAAAAGAATAGCATTACGCTTGCGACTACATTCGCTCGTCACTAAAATATCGGCGATGGGGCTCTCGGTGCATGTAATGTAAATTGGACGTAATCAAACCGCTTTCCACGCTAACTTCATATACAGCTATAATTAAATTGGTATCGTTGACCAATCGAGGGCTAAAAGGGGGGAATGAGCGTTGTTAACGACAATTGTTCGGTAGATGTGGGCGCACCGGGCGGCGGAGGCGGGCGGGCCGAGGAGTCGGACGGGTCGGCCGACGACAACATCACGGTGACGGTGCCGCCGGCGCACGCGCACCCTCTGCGATACGGTACCACTTGCCCGCGGGCCCACTCGCCTGGGGGATTCTAAAAGCTAGCTTGTTGTAGTTGTAGACCGCTATTTTGTTCCGCTTTACATATCCCAACATTTTTTATAATTTTAATTGTGTGTTGTTATTACTATTTTTTGAGTTCGTTCGAAATAGTAACCCGCATATCATATCGTTTAACTTGGAATATATTTACAACAGAGATGGTCCTTTCGCAAAAAAGAATAAAGGTTGGCTTTTTTAAATACAAGACTACTTGACTGACTTCACTCGATGGAACAAGAATAAAACATTTTAATGCATTTATTTCACTACTGTATAAATTTAATAACAAAAAATGTTAATACTATTGAGGAATATACAAATCAAATTTTCCTATCAGACCTACTTAACGTCAACGTAAAAATCGTTCATATACTGTAATTTTAATTAAATAACCAGTTCAGATAGTGTATTTTTTTTATGTTACATATGTTGTGCTTGTTGCCTTCTGTTGTAAATATTCTGAGCTTAAATTTATATTGTATCCATATATGCTTTTGTAATTAAAAAACTAATAAACTATATTATAATTTGTCTGTTAATTATAGATTTGTTGAAAGTCAGTTTTATTATTATTTATCTTATAAAAAATATATGAAAATATTAAGCTGTTGAAATACTGTAAAGATAATAGAAGGAGTATAAGCGCTTAATATCTATATATTATTTGTTACAGGACCACCACCATCTCTTAAACCTCCTGGCTTGGATACACCGCCACCAAATATTCCAATGAATGTAAGTAAAACATTGATTTAGATTTATATTTGGATATAGTCTAGGATCTAAGATGTTGATGAAAAAGCAACATCTTTTTCATTAGTCATAAGTAGAAGTAGCTCAATTCTTGTAAAAATAAATATCGTTGAAATGTAACATAGACATTCCATAGACTATATAATTAATATATAATATAAGGAGCGTACTATAGTATTGTTTAATATAAAATGTTAGTTGACTCTGCAAATTATATTTAACTTTCTATAAGTCCTTTATTGGAATAAAAACTACTCTATCTCTCAAGTTGAAACAAACAATAAAAATTTTGAAATTAAATTAAAATCGGTTCAGCGGTTTTGAAGATTAACATAAAAGAATTTCGTAACATTAGATTTTTATATATTAAGATAAAAAACTCATGTTCGTTGTACGACTGAAAGGTCGCATTTTTTATATGTTAATTTAGTACTATGAGAGCATATTGGTTGTAAACATTTGTTGAAAATGGGGGCAGCCAGTAATATATGTAATGATAAAGGTCTTTGGAGTCTGATCTTTTGCCTATCTTTCAAGGACTTAGTGTGGAGATATGTATTGAAAATGGGCATTAAGAAATGGTCTAATTATAACTTGTATGAATTTTCTGAGTCTTTGCTTTTCAAGAGCTTTAAGGACCTTATTCACCACTGACCCCTAACTATGTCATCATTTGTCTGAGCTGTTCTGTAAGGCGGATGTCCTCACCCAATTGGGTGGTTGCAGTTTTCTCTTTTCCCGTTTTATCTTTCTCTAAATTCCAATATATTATGTTGGTAATTTGTGTTTATTTTTGCTTTTATATTAATATGCTTCTATAATTTTATAGATATCAAGAATTGAGGAGCAACGAGCCAGCACTCCAACAATTGATGAACGACGAGATCCCATGTCTTCTCAGGTAATTTATTAATTATATATTTGTCTTAAACATCAAGGATTTTTTATTGCTATACGGTATTGTTCTGTATATAAAATACATCTGGTATAATTATTGGGCAGGGGCATTGTCGTGGTGAAGAATCCAACGCCCCTCTCGCGCCAATTCTTTGCCACACGAGCTTTGAGGCGTCTGACGTAGAATTTTCCATCAACTGTCTTCAGGTTGTATACAATCTTGTGGGCCACCAGGTTTTATGCCTTCGTTACCACCGTCGCGGCGTTACAATAAGTAATTTTTATATAATTATAACTACTTAAAATCAAGGATTTTTTATCTATTTTGGTATATATAATAATTTATTTGTATTTGTCGCGGCGTTACAATAAGTAATTTTTATATAATTATAACTACTTAATTTTAATTACGACGACAGCAATGTTCAATTATGTATACAGTAATTAAATAAAAAAATTAGTTGTATGGTGGCGCAGTAGTAATATTATGTCTGCCATACTTTTTATCTTTAAAATTTCATAAGATGTGATTAAGCAAACATACGGCACACTAATGTAAGAACAGTAAAACTCGAACTAAGTCTCTACCGAGCTGCCTGGAAAGCGTGGTAATAGTACATTACTGCAGCGGCGAGCAACTGAGGCATTGATGGACGAACGTGCAAATGTGGGCCGAGGCGTAGCCGAGGCACACATAAGTGAGTTCATCAATGCTTAGTTGTGGACAAGGCTTGTTGTATAGTACTTTTCTCAAACAATGCGCGGAAATCAAAAACACAATTTTACTTTTTAAGTTCAATGACGAATAACAAACAATAATAATTTTTCACGCGCCATATTGGTCTTTTGTTTTTTTTTTTCAATAAACAGCTTTCTATTTGCAAGCCAGTTCGAAATTTAAATAAAACCTTTTATTAGTTACCTCCTTGGTAGCCATGTTTAGAAGTAAAAGATCATTCCATTTTTAAATTACAGGACAGATATGAGTTTACATAGTAATTTATCTGGCCGCAAAACACGACAGATATGGATTTTTTACAACTTTTGCCGGCCGCTGTCCGCAAATATCTGGCCAGTATGGCAATTTTTATTTATCTCTAAGAAGATTGTCAAAATAATGCTCACATTTCCAAGCATGTTTGAGAAAAAGTAGATTATGTCCTTTTTATACGAGGAAAGCGTTTATTTATTTAAATAACTTTATTGACCAAAATACGGTACAAAAGGCGGACTTAATGCTAGTAACAGTCTCTACCTCTAGTCAATCTTTGCGATGAATAGTGAGTCACAAACGCGATAAAGAAAGTAACAACTAATAATTTACATCTACACAAAATAAATAATACGTACATTAATAACATGTTGTATTCTTTCCAGCCCTCCTTATAGTAGACATGGACCTAGGCGTACACCGGGCCCATATGATGATCCCTATCGTCCACTAGAGCCGTATCAGCCACCACCACCCGGAATAAAAGACTCACCTTCTAATGGGTAAGTAATATAGTTTTATTCATAATGTTAATTATTTTAAATAGGCTGTTTCCTTTGTTACGTTCACGCGATCACTTTATCTTCGTTTCTATGGGAACGTCTTTGGAAAATATTAAGTATAAGAATTTTTCGGATTTTGATTTTTTCGCTATTGATCGATATTTGTACGTAGTGATAGGTTAGGTTGATCACTCGTACTTATTTGTTTCGGTCTTCTTACCAATGGTCACCTGTCTCGTGTCTATCAAAGGGCAATGAATGATCGCGTGTAATTGTCATAGGCACGATGAGGATCCGCTCGAGGCGTTCAACCGAATGATCCGTGAGAAGGAAATGCGAGCAAAACGCCGCGAAGAGCGGCGGAGAGCGCAATCGGGGTCGCGCAGCCCACGCTCCCGCTCGCCGCGCTCGGTGCGCTCGATGCGCTCGCCGCGCTCGGTGCGCTCGCCGCGCTCGGTGCGCTCGCCGCGTGCGCAGCGCTCGCCGCGCTCGCCGCCACGCTCGTCACGCTCTCCCCGCTCGCCGCCACGCTCGCCCCGCCCGCGTCCTCGTAGTCGTGCCTCCAGCCGCCTCCGGTATTCTAGGTTCGTTGGAATCCATTAAATTTTTCATCGCATGCTGCTCTATTATTTATTTATGTGCATAATCAATAGTCTCTCAATCTCTCCATAGTCCCGTAACTGATGTATTTTAGCATTTGGTTTTGGGTGCATATTTTCAGCTTTTCTTGCGATTTGTGTATATTCTGTATTATGGATTTTCTGTGCTGTTTTTGTGTCGTTCAAATTAGTCTCCGTTATTATTTTGCTTATTGATTGCTATAATCAAATAATATTGTATTTGTTAAAATTATAAAATTTTAATATTATTAAACCCAATTTTTTTATAATATTAACATTTAATTTTTATTTTTTTCTGCTTCAGTAATTGCATGCCAAAGTAAAGTAGGCATATGTTAGTTGTGATCATTAATTGTTGTTAGAGAATAGTATTTAGGCCTAATAATGGTATTTTAATCAAATTTATTAATATGTTTACCAGAATTGGATATTTTGTAATTATTACAAATTAATTGATTTAAATTTGAATCAATTCCTTTCTCATGGGTGTCGTAAGAGGTGGCTAAGGAGCTTAAAAATCGAGAGATGGACAGTAGCATCCCTCTTAGAACATCACCAAAACCTGATTGTGGTTGCCCACTCGGCTGCTAAGCCTAGCAAATACTGGCAAAACCCCCTTAAAGGGGGAGATCTATGTTCTGCAATACTAATGACTATTAACGCCTGATGTGATGATGATAAATTGATTCAAGTTAATCAGTTTAACCATTTATATATGATGATATATAATACGTATATATACATTTTATATACATATAATTCACTTTGAAATACAAAATAATTCACTGATGGAAAGTGAACCGTCGCCTATAGACATGAGCAGTACCATGGACATAAAATAAATATACCATGCGTTGCCACTGAGGACTCAGGTGTTATTCCTATTAAGTTATCCTTCAAACCGAAACACAGTTATGCAAACACAACTGCTTCACGGTTGAAACACGAATGGGACAGAGGTACCCAAGCAATCGACTTTTGTACAAAGTCTCCCTCTGGTTAAATATACCAACACCCCTATTAAGTTACTCTTACTTACTGAAAAACGTTTTCCATACCTAATAGTTGGTGTAAATAAATAATTACTCATTCACTGTTATCAATTTTACATTTCTACTTACAAATTTAATACATATTGTGTATAAAATTTATAGAAAACTTTCTATTTTTTATGATAATATTTTCTGTTTAAATTGTCATGTTTACAACAATGATGTAACACAAGTTATTTACCTTCATTTGAATAGAAAAAAAAGTAAAGATAGTTAGTTGAAAAGCTTATCCACCCTTATTTATAAAACGTCAAATATCTAATAAAATAGGTATTTTAGCTATCCAAGTTTTGTCTTTTTTTGTAGAATTCTTTATATGAAAGAAAGTGATGTAGCACTTGAACAGTAAAAATATCTTTCTAGAACATTATAATTGTTATGAATAAGACTGATTAGGATATTATATCCCAAAAATTCGCAATGAGAATAATCATTCACTGTGACATTTGTGTACAGGTCCCGGTCGGCATCTCACGGTCGCCGGCCTCGCTCGCCGTGGTCGCCGCGTTCACCCCGCTCGCCGCGACGTCGCCGTACGCGGGAACGGACTTTATCACTTACGAGGTAATTTACCCATTTATTCATTATTTTTACTGTTTTTTTTTTTATACAAGTTAGAATGGCAAACAAGCTGACGGCCCACCTGATGGAAAGTGGTTATCGTCGCCTATAGACATGAGCAGTACCATGGACATAACAGAGTATACTGTTTCGCCCATGATATCCCTCATGCGTTGCCATTCCTGAGAACTCAGGTGTTATTCCTCTGTACCCTGTAAATTCACGCCATATCCCACCCTTCAAACTGAAACACAGCCATGCAAACACAACTGCTTCACGGTTGAAACACGAATGGGACAGAGGGAACTGTGCTCGTTCCTTCCCGTTCAGCAGTTATGCGAACGAGATTTGTGTGGAATTGAATAGGATGCAATTGGAAACGTGACTCAGCCTGGCCTATTCAGGGCTCGCGGGGCACAGTTATTGATGATAGGTGACTGTAAAGTTTGGTCAGATGGCCGATTATGACTAATTACTACAGGAACTAATGATGAACGACGGCTTCTATGGGTGAGCGCGTGGAGTTAAACCCGACAAGTTATATTGAATGCAATGAGATAGTTACTTTTTGTTATTACTAGCAATCTCTTCTCTCTTCTCCTGTCCAATATATTAGACATACTTTTTATTTGTCTTCATTTGGACTAAATATGACGGCCCGTGCTCGAGTGGGTGATCTCGTGTACTTTCAACCGAAGTGTAGGGCTATTTCTCATTAGATTCAACAACAACCTCAAATGTGTCGTAGGGGGACATTGCATGGAATGTCAAAGTTATGATGATGATTGGAATTGAAAACAATAACAGTAAAAAATAGAGTTATACTCTATTTTTTACTACATAAGTAGTAATTAAAATGATCTGCCTGAATCCAAGTATCCACCACAACTCATGAGCATTTGCAATGCTAGAGCTATGGCTCATGCATTGCTGTGACTAATGCCTCTAATGCCGCTATTGTTGATCTTAGTTATTTCACTATGTTACATTTCAATTCGAATCGCGGTAGTGAGTCACCTCCCGAGCCACTGCAGTTTATAATAAGTATTGCGTCGGCAACTATAATTTCTTTCACGCTTTTCTCCCATATCCTTCAATCCTTTCTTCCTTTATCTCGATTCTTTCCTTTATACCCTAGGTAGCAGACACCATTAACAAATGCTTTCCCAAGGACAGTTGTTGTCAGGCAGGCGGTCAGTCGGTCAAAACCAAAAGCCAAAACCTAAAGTAGTAAGGATATAAACATATTACACTGACCCCAAATTATTGGAATAAATGAAGAAGATAATAATAATCGCGGTAGTGAATGTAATACAGATTTGTTAACATATAAATAGATAAGACAGATGTATCAAGAAGTTTATGTTTTGATAGGTCGCCATCGCCCCGTCGCCGACACAGATCTCCGTTGCGTTACCGCTCGCCGCTACGATCGCCAGGCCCACGCTCTCCGTTGCGTTCGCCGCCGCGATCGCCGCCGCGGTCACCGCCACGTTCGCCGCCACGTTCACCGTTACGATCTCCCCGTAGGCCGGTGATGCGTTCGCCGGTGCCGCGTCCCATGTCTCCGCATCGGTAAGTTATTCTTATTGACCGATTAGTGTCGCACGTAAGTATTGAAAATTTGTTATTGAGAATCGACGCACTTCATGTGCTGTATGTATGTAGAAAAAGAAATTCTAAAGTTGGAAAAGAAAGCGTTTTAGGATTGTAAAGTACGAGGTCTGTCCGGAAAGTTCGTATAAAAGTGTTCTGGAATGCGAGAAAGAGGAGTGGGGAGGCCAGGTAAGCGCAGGACCCCTTCCTTATGTCCCTAACTATGATTCAGTTCTGGTCTGACCGCCGTGAGGTGCGAACTGGCTTGTCACGCCATCTGTGAAGTTACCTCTTAACGAAACCCCGTCGGCATGGAGCCCGCTTCCGTTGAAGAGCAGCGCGTCGTAATCAAGTTTCTCTCGAAACTCGGCAAGAATGGCCGTGAAATTTTTGCCGATCTCAGAACAGTTTATGGGGATGATGCTGTGAAGGAACCAACCGTCCACAAGTGGCTAAAAAGATTCAGAGAGGGCCGAGAAAGAGTTCGATGTTCGGGGGATTGTCCATCAAGAATTCGTCCCTCCAGGCCAGACAGTTGATGGAAAATTCTACGTCGATGTGCTCAGACGCCTCAAAGCTCGTGTGGCACGAGTTCGTCCAGAATTGGCGCGAAGGGGCGTTATTCTTCACCACGACAATGCCCCTGCCCACACCTCTCTTGTTGTCCGTGAGTTTTTGAGTAAAAATTCCATTACGGTGACCGAACACCCCCCCTATTCGCCGGATTTGGCCCCGGGTGACTTCTTCTTGTTCCCAAAAACCAAATTGGTACTTCGGGGGCGGCTTTTAGGGTACATAAATGAGATAAAAAAAAAGTTACGACGGGGCAGCTGAGAAACCTACAACCAGAGGACTTTCAAGGAGCCTTCTCACAGTGGAAACGGCGTTGGCACAAGTGCATTATGTCACAGGGGGAGTACTTTGAAGGGGATAAAATTGATTTACCTGAATAATTGTAAAATAAAATTTTTAAAAAACTTTTATACGTACTTTCCGGACAAACCTCGTATTTAAAAAAAATATTGTAAAAATATTTTTGCACATATTTGTTTTTGGTTACTTTTTACATTTATTTTGTATTATTAAATGACATATGTTAAAAACAGAACATTATATAAACCCTGGTTCCACACAATCCTGAAATATCACCATTCCCTTTTGAAAGTTACGTTAAGTTAGTTGTAGGATATTTACTAGTTTCGTTAAATTACTGGGCTGTATGCTCTATGCTTGTTGCAAAACATATTATAATAATACTATTTTTTGTCCTCAGATACCCTGGAGTATATGACGAACTGTTGTCGCCGCCTCGTCGTAGCATTGAGTCATCTTTTGGATCCAGGTACGAATGTAAAAGTCTAAATAGTGTCTACACGCGCCCTTTTTTGTCACCTAAGAGATTGTGCCTAACGATTCATATAAGTTATTGCCGAGCGGATTGAACCTGTGTTTGCCATTATAGTGCTTTTTAATTCAATTGCGGACATCGTTATTTTTACCGGTTGACTATTTTTAATAATGTTCTAAATATAAGCTTCTAAATATTACGTTATGTACCTACTTATTTTTTTTTTAAATATTATTGGCTGCGGTGTTAAATCAGCATTAAAATTTTCGGGTATGGTAAGTATAAACGACATAAAGTACATCAGAGGCCACCAGTCATCTCCGATTTCTTCAAAGCTGAGCTGCTAATTAGTAGTTGATATAAATGAAATATGTGACTTTCAAAAATATCTACATTTAATGATTTAATAAAATCAACTTTTGTTTTTATGTGTTTAATTTATTGAATAATCGTACTTGGCTGTGACAGATTGTGATAATATTGTTTAAATTCAGAATTTTTAGTTATAAGTATATGATAAATATACGGTAAAATTTAAGTAGAAGCGACATTTAAATTATGAATAATATAACAAATGTGATTAGGAAGGAATATGCCCTGAAAGTTGCTTTGTATCATTCAGGATCAAATAAAAAAAAAGGATTATAAGTGATGTATTATAAAAGCGAGTAAACTAGTCAAAGTTTTTACATTATTGTACCCAAGTGCAAACTAGAAATTTAAGATTATATCAGTCTTTAATTTTATTGTTAAATAAAATGTTTTACATTAGTTAGTAGAACTTGATTAACTTTGTTTTTACCAACTAGGAAAGAAAGATGGAACAACAATGTCTTATTTATTTAAGTTAGAGGTAAGGATATTATTCCCTGACATTTTACATGAGAGTGTCCATCAAATGGTGTTAAATTAGGATGGCGCTACAGTAGCAGGTAGGTAAATTTTAATAGAAGCTCTAAAAAGTTTCATTAACTACTCTAGTCATCAATAATATAAAAAATGTCGACTCATAGTTTAGCATAGTACCTCCAGTATAGATATGACATACAATGACAGTAATATTTATAATGAGACACCATTATAACCAAAACACAGAGGTGTGAGCAAGATCGGACACTTTTTGTCTAGTTTTATTTACGCTTTTTTATGTTTGTATAATTAAACTCACTTGCCATATTACAAGCAATATATTTACATTACCCGTTCAAATTAAATGACTATGCCACTATTATACGTCGTAGATAAGGAGATATATTTTTTATTTAACCGTTTTCTCATCAACGTCATTCTATTGCTATTTCATAATGCATAAATTTCACCTTAAAAATGTTGAATTTTTCAATTCTAGTCGTCAAAAATATTAAATTCTTTAACTCTGCATTCCACTTCATCAATAATGGCTTAAATAACTTACATTTCATACTTTCTTGGTACTCTAGCGCCATTTTAGAGGGATTTGGAACTGTTATTTACAAATTTTAGATGGATACTTTTGCTACTTTTCGTCTATATGAAACAGTTCTCCTTACCTCTATCATCTATAGTCTCATTAATTATTAGAAATTAAATAATGACATTTTACATTACCAGAATTCTATCGAATTTATTTATAAAGATCTTAAATGTATTTAGTATTTTATACTTTAACCCTTAATCAGGCATAGTACGATTTATCGACCACCTAGGTAATTGGAGTTTAATAGTGATCTTTGTCTTTGTTTTAATTCATAAAACCTTTATTTGATTACCAATATTTGTATCTTTCGTATATAGCTAAACATTTTTTACTAAACAATTCATTTTGGGAAAAATCATTATTCAAAGAAAGTGGTCATTATATGCCCTATAACCGTCTGGCGGTAGTATGATATAGACACTGTTTCCATTATACAAGAGATGATTTTGAAATAAAAATATAATTGTAAATTATTAAGTTTTTTATAAAAAAACAAAAATAACATTCTGCGTTTTTTGAACAAAAATAACATTCTACGTTTTTTTTTAACAAAAATAACAATCATTGCAACGATATACGTTCAGTGACATATACAATGACAGATTGACTTTTATATTACAAATCATTATAATAAACAATATTCATTGCCGGTTATCAGTAAAGAGATCAAAATTCAAACTATGCAGTTCCTAATTAAAAATAGGGATAATGGAAACAAATTATAAAACGACAGAAAGCTCCTTAACAGGCAGAGTGAACTTTTTTGTCCTAATTTTAATATTTTTTAAGAAACAAATCTTAGGTATACATTGTACAGGTAAAAATTGAGAACACACCATATTTAAAAATATGTTTTAATGCCAGTGCACATGGGGCCTGATTAAGGGTAAATCTGTTTTTATTATTGCCTTTTATTATCTTAAGAATTCTTAAGAATGATAGTAAATTTAATATATAAATAATACGGTATAATTTATTTATTGTATTATTAAATATTATATTATTCGTAATTGTCGTAAATTCAGTAATTTTTGTTTATAATTTGACTATAGTCAATTTGATTCTGGAGGCTAATTCTTGTGGAATCGAGTGGATCACGAAATGGAGAAAATATTCGAATGCGAACATTTCTCGAGCGAAAGTCAAGTTACGATATTCTGGGTATGCTGATTTCGACATATCTCGAGGGCAAACCGATCGAGTTGATTCGAGTGATTGTGAATATTCGAGATGAATAATGTTGATTCAAACCACGACAAACGTCAACGCAATTCACGTTGCAACGCGTAGTAGGATCATTATATTTAAAAAATGGCAACATTTTAATCTTCAATCGAGATTGTTTCGATTTAAATTTTGATTTGTGCTGAGAATACGTAATTCGAGAAAATGGCTTCGAATATCGAGATTTTATAATAGAGAAACGATTCGAATAACTCTATTTCCAGATTATCTCTAAAGAAATTAGAATTGGCCTCCTGAAGTGCAACTTTGCATAGATATTATAATAATAAACAAGACTGTCAATTTTAATTATACAGAATCTAAGGGGAGGTTGGCAAAAACTAAAACTGTGAATTCAGACCATTGTTATGAATTGAACACTAATGGAAATTCTTTTCGAATAATTTCTAATTTTTTTCTTGGTTTTTTTTTATTTAAAATCATGTAATTTATGATATTATGTTACAATATAAAGAAATAATAATATTTTATAGAAAAATATTATGAAAAATCAAAAAACAGCAATTTAATGTATGTATTAAAATCCAAATGCGACGCGCGGAATCAGCTGTGTAAGGTCAAGGCCACAAGCGGTCGAAATTTATCTATGAAGAAACGGCATTGAACGCGCGTTGTAGGCAATACACGTCGTTTGGATTATAAAAATACATAGCACGGTGTCAAAACTAAGAATTGTTAATTATATGGTTGTGGTGCAATTCGGGTAGAAAAATAATCTGCCATCTGATTCAGACCATTCATCTGAATCAGCTGTTTTCGTTTTAGCCAACTTGTTCCTTCCACCCTGTATAATACTAATTAGTGAATTATATCAAGACTGAATATTAGTATTTGATTATTTTGTCATGTTCTTACATTTAATCTAATATTAAAATAAAATATTGTTCTCTACATTGATCAAATAGAATACAAAATATTTGCATATTATTTTCAAAGTTTATAAAATAATTGTACATATCAGCAGAAATATTTTTTGGTTAAAATAGATTGAAATTTAATGACGACAATGCTTAACAACAGATGTCTGTATTATATATATTTGTTTTTTATTAACGGCGCGCAGACATTATTTGTTTGTCTATATTCTATTTATTTGGATTCAGTATAGTATATTTTAAATTTCCAGTGACGATCGTTATACTCTGGTTCAGTTTTTATATATGCATATCATCTTTCAGTCATATCTTTTATTTGGACTTTTTTTTATGCAATTTAGAATAGCAAACAAGCTGACGTCCCACCTGATATGAGTATTTTATTTACACTTTATTTGATCAACGTATTTTTTTTTTACGTATATCCACAGTCTGATTGCACTTTACAATTCGGTGAAATCAATAAAAAAAAAATTGCGTCATTGTTTAATTTCAATCTATTGTGCAATATAGTTAGCATGTGTAATATATATATATATATATATATATATATATATATATATAACAAGCATTTCTATAAATACAATCGTATTTTATTGAAAGTAATGTAAAATTTTGGTTGTATAGAATGTTCTTTGTTAATATGTATTATTCATAAAAATGCAAAACTAATCATTTTCGTTTAAACTTTTATTTAAAGAAATAGACCAAACACATATGTCATTAGCTAAAGGAATCTTGATATTTTTTTAATAAGAGGGTACCTGTACTTATAGTAAATATAAAGCTATGTATGCTTTTTGGGTTGTTGTAATGTATATGACTATATTTTTAATATGTTTACGATTATAGCAGTATTAACAGTAAAACTATTATACTAATAGATAAAATGGAAAGATCTGTAAAATTAGAGATCTTGTGACATTTTGTTAAACTTTTTGGCACCGATATTTTTTAAGATAATTCGACCCTTCTAAATACGGTTCTGCCCGCTGTCTTTTCCTCTGCTCCTTCTTTCCCCCACTTTTACCTCTAAAACCTACCTACCTACCTACTAGTACCTAACTGCGGTTTTTTTTTTTATTTCCTACAAAAATTATTGAAGATAATAGAAAACGATCAAAAACCCTCTCTATAACATTTACATATAGATTATATTAACAGGACTAATAAGTTATAACATATACTTACTCGAAATGCATGAAAATTCTTTTTTTTTTATATAAAGACTAGCTGACCTGGCAAACATTGTTTTACCTTATACATTATTTGTAGAAAATATATTTTTAGTTCAATCAAAAATAGCTAACACTATAAGTGTGTGGGGATGTAGTTATAATTGAAAGAGGAATGAAGAAGCGTTATACACAATTAAAGTAGCTAGTTGACTCGGTGTGCATATTTTTCCCCCTGTTAAC